AGAGAGAGACGACTCGAAGCATATCCTCTTTCTCTCTTTCTCTGGAGCTACTCCCACTGCTGCTGCTACTGCTGCTGCTGTGTTACACGTTCCACTCTCACACGATACTGTATACTAAGCTAGTACTGAGGGAAACGGACTTATCGTCTCCAGCGGTCGCATCCTGCTGCAGCTTTTTTTTCGGCGCAAGGGCTACTCTCGGCTGATTTGAACTCTGCTCTCGAGCCGTCGAAAAAAAAAAGAAAAGTAAAAAATAGTAGCACTACTTGCTATGTATATCGTCCAACCTCTCACCCCCTTGCGTCCCCGATTTCTCTTTGCTCTACTTCTCTACAAAGACGCACTCGACGACCATCCAAGGAGAGAGAAGTTGTGCGTCGTAGCTCCTCGCGCGACGACGACGACGAGGACACGTTCACAATGCGCTCCTCACGTCCTATCTCCTCTCGCTATGCTATATTGCCTATATGTATACCCATCTGCCTTTGTCAAGCGATTGAGAGACGACGAGGACGACATTGCCATTATGAATTCTCCAATAGCTTCGCTTCGCCTCGATCCCCGTGTGTGTCCGTCTGCGTGTGTGTGTGTGTGTGAGTCGCGTACGAGATACGCATCGCAAACGAGACCACGACCATTGACGACGACGACGACGACGCGCCCATATTAGTCGCGCGATGAGAGAGAATTTTTGCGCGCACGCTGAAGAAAATCGATTACCGTTTATATCTGGGAATAGGTACGATTGAAACGATTGACGTCTATAACGTGTGTGCGTGCGCGCGTGCAGAGCCCATTTTATTTTTTATTTTTTTATTTATTTCTGCGTCCTTTCTCTCCGCTTCGCTCTCTCTCTCTATTTCCGTCGGTCGTAAAGCAGGTTTGGGGCTTTATATACGTTGTAGCCTATAGCGGCCGCAGCTCGACGCGCGTACATACATGCTTCGGGACGAGAGTACGAGAGCGTAGAGGGTGCAAAAAAAAAAGAAAAAAAACAACGAGAAAAAAAGAGTAGCCGAGAGCGTCCCAGTTGCCGCTGCTGCCTACATACCATGAACGACCATTTTCGTTTTGGCGTGTATGTGTGTGCTGTGCTCTGTTGTGCAGTGCTGCTGCACCGTGCAGACTACGTGTCATCCCGCGGGGGCTGCTGCCGCCGCCGGGCTGGGCTCATTGTGTTACGTTCCAATGGTTCACGCTCTCTCGGCTCCGCAAGCCTTGTTACACATAGTCTTTTCTCGCGCGTGCTACTCTCGTGCATACACACACACACACACACACACACATACGAGCGCGCAACGCCTATAATGGATGCGACGGCGTCGGCCGACGCGAGCGAGCGAGAGAGAGAGAGAATTCGACGAGCGCGGCGCAATTGTTGCGACTCAGCTTTTGCATCGAGGCGCGTTTGTATGCAACAGCAGTATATAGGCAGCAGCAGCCTGTCCTCCTATGTACGAGCTGCTGGGCACGGAAGTGAACTGCACATGTGTGTATGTGCGAGTGCATATTTGTGTGTTGCTCTTTCTCTCTCTCTCTCTCTTTGCTGGCTCAGCAAGCTTACAACCCGTCACATTCGGCTCGTTCCAATTATCTTGTCTAGCGGCTAAATAATACGCGCTGTGCACCTCTTCTCTCATCTCATCTCTCTAACGACGCGGAGGAATTTCGCGACGAGTATCTATAATAATACACGAAATATTGTACAATGCTACGTGTATATGTGGAGCTCTCTCGCGCGCGCGCGGCCTGTGGAAAAATCGCTAGAGGCCACGACCGATTTAAAGCTGACCCGCTCGCGCGTGCTATACGGAGCCGATCGGTCATTCATCACGGCTGTCCTGCCTAATTATCCGCGGCGTCCCCGGTTTTAACTCTCTTTTACGCGCAAGCCAGCCTTCGAAGCATTCGGTCGCTCGTCGATGATGCGTAGTACCAAGACGTCGCGCTGAGAGCCATAAAGCCGGGACACATGTCACGGGGCCGGTGCTGAGATGTACATCTTGCTCTCTCTCTCTCTCAATTTTCTGCTGGCAATACCGCTATGCCAGAAGCCCTAGAAATCGACAACGTGCCTCTGTTTTTAGAGCGTCAAAGACCAATTGAACGCGGGGCACAAGTGCCTTATAAGCTCCAACAATCGGTGCTCTCCGTGCATATATACGTACTGTACTCGCTTTGTTTTCTCTCGGACCCGGAGAAAGATAGAGGATAGAGAGAGAGGAACGGGGATTTATATATAGAGAGAGACCAGCATAACGAGTGAGCACATGTCGAGTTCGATACCGGCTCCGCTGCAAGCTCGCCTCGAGTTAAAAGTCCATTGAGATGCTCCGAGACTGCTCACGTGCTTGGCGTGACTCCAGCGAGAGGAGAAATGCCGCCGCCGCCGCGCGCCCAGGAGCTCTACTCCGTACTCGCGTATACACGAAGAGAGCGAGAGGGAGAGAGGTCTCCCCGTATGTTGGTTAGTTGTATATCACGAAAACTACTATATGACGCGTCGGATAGTCGTTTGCGTCCAAAAAGCTCTCTCTCTCCGAAAATTTGCCTTTTCGCGCGCCGCGACTGCGAGAGAGAGAAGAAAAATTACGCGCAATTTGTCGCGTACGTCATCTTTGAAATGTCGTATTATAAATTCGCTCGAGACGAGCGCGCGAGCCAGTCTCGGCGGTTATTACTGATGATCGTTTGCCTAATAGTTTCTTTCGAGCATTATAAAAGAGAGCTTAAATACTCCGCTCGCGCGCGCGCCTACCGAATCTGCAGCAGCAGCAGCGGAGCTTTTATATACCTATGAAAGCTCGCAAGCTCTCTGACTCGTAGCCAAAGGAGCTCACTCGGCCATTCGGCTTATAGAGAATCGACGTCGACGCACACACACATATGCATGCATACGAAGAGAGAGAGGGAGAAAAAAAGGCGACGACGAGAATTTCGAGAGCCGAACGACGTTGACTCGCTGCTACAGGCAGAAGAGAAGACGAACCACGTCGTTGGATGGTAGTATGCCTTGAGGCAAATTTGGACCGACGCCCGACTATATACGCGCGTACGGAGAGCAGGTTCGCGACTCGCCGCGCGAATCTCTCGCGCGCGCGTCTGTTTTTCTTTTTGCCTCTCTCTCTCTCTCCTCTCTCTTTCGCTCTCTATGTGGCTGTTGCGCATAAGCCCATATGCACGCACACACGTAGCGCGCAATGTACAGTAGCAGCAGCACATCAGCGCGCGTGTCTCGGGGGTTTATGTCACCGCCCAAGACTTAACGGGCTATAATGTCATTTTAATTAAAACGTTTCGATGAAATATAGCCGGAGCGGCGAACGAACGAACGGAACGCGCGGCGGTGCGGAGCAATGTACACTGCGCTACTTTTACGATACATAAAACATTCGATTTGATGCGCGCTCGAGCTCGCGGTGAGACACACGATTTATGGATTAATATATATTTAGTTGCCGGCGGCGGCAGCGATCATCGCCTCGAATATTTCGAAGCGCGCGGGCGTCGCGATGCTGTCAAACAGCCTTATGAACTCACGAATGGATAGATCGTGTGGGGACAACGCGAAGTTTACGCGTGTTATTATATAAATAATGCTGTTCGATGGGAATGTTTATGAAAGAGATTACAAGTGTTGTAGTGTGGCATCGGGAGCCCCCGAATACGTCAATCTCGTGTCGTAAAATCAGTGTGTGTGTTGTGCCTTGTCAAAAATAATACAAATTTGTTTATTTTCCAAACGTCATAACATAAAAGCCAATCTGTTTCTCGCACGCATTCTAGATAAATTGTGGCAGGCATCGCCACGCACGCACTAATTGAATCGCGGATTTATTATATACACACGCGCGGCCGATTTCCGATCGTGCTCGGCGCTCGACGCCGAGCTTGCATCTCTCGCGAAAGCTCGCGACATCGTCATCCCCGCGCGGACGGAAGTGTACTATATACGCCCGTGCACGCATAAATATAATAATTCTTCTCTCTCTCGCTCGCTCGGAGCGTCGTAGTAGTAGGCGCAAGCCCAAATGACCGTTTTTAACTTATATACATGTAGAGGTGGAGGTACGAGGCGATAAACGAAGCGTTGACAGGTTAGTCAAGTCGGCGAATGAATTTTTCGTTAAAATAAACAAATGGGAGTCGCGTGGCGTGTAACGCTTGCGTACAGCACGTACACCGACTGATGGATAGAGTGAAAGAGAAAAGTCTAAATATTCGGATGTAGCGGGGGGGTAGGTAGCTTTTTTCTGGAGCGCGCGATCTACTTTCGGTTCTCCGATAACCAATCACTTATCTAGACACACCAAAAAAGGAGGAAGAAGAAAAATGAAACGTAATTGATGCCGAAAGTAATCAGTACTTCGGAGCTACAGTAGCATATATCTATATAATAATACATGGTTGCACTCGAATGCTGCACACCTCCGGCGCGTTCTTGTGTGCGTGTGTGCTTGCGCGCTCGGACGTGGACGTTTGAGCGTTCGATTTCGAGCGTGTAAAGCCGGCCCTCGCTCGCGTACCTATCTTGAAAGGATACTATTTTCGTCGTTGAGGATGAAGTTTTATAAATATAACCAACGCCGCAGACCGACCCCCACCAGCACCAGCACCATCACCTCTCTCGTATATATGTATTGCGTATCGTATCTCACGTTGCTTATTCTCAAAGCGACGGCGGCTCTCTTTCTCTGTACCACACTACTCCTGTATGACATACGTATGTGTGTGCCTGCACATGCGTTGCGCGTATCAGTCATTTTGCTGCCCGGACGCTCGACGACGCTGTCAAATTTCATCTTCGTTTCGCGTTCTATACATATATTACTTACACACACGCACTGCATGTATGTATGACTAATGTGTGCGACACATGCTGTAAACGATTGTGTGTATACATATCGCATATAATATATTCAAAAATGTTCAGCTCTCGAGCAGACGCAGCGTATAACTAATGGCGATTGTATTTATTTGTTTTTCTTTTTTGTTCACAGAATCACGAGTACGGTGGCTACGGAGACGAACCACGACGCAAAAGGTAAGCGTATCTCGTTACTCTCGTTTAGCTCTTGTTTCTTCACGACAAAAAAAAAAGAAAAGAAAAGAGAAAAAAAAAGTAGAAAATCGCCCGCAAGCATCGATGTGCGAGAGATACATACATACGTATTATATATAGTATCATACACTCATGAATATATTTTGCTCACGACACAAAGCATCAGCCCATTACTACAGAGTCAGAACAAATTATTATTGTTGTTAATATTCTATTACTTGAAAATAAAAATAAAGAAAGATAAACACGCGCTTACATATGTATGTATAAAATCATTGTTATGCATATATAAATACACTGAAGCTTTTTTAGCTGTTCTCTTCATCAATTGAAATTGCATAATATGAAAATGTGGCATACACCGTAACGCGCGTCAATTACTTTTATTTATACGCAGATGTCTGTCCCCGTGCACCATCTCGCAGTTCTGTTCGAGACTTTCGGACAGATATGTATTTTCAATTTTCGAGTCACCACAGAGAACTTGCAAGCACGCGAAAATATGAGCCTCTCAAAAGTTTGAATGCACACAGCAGCGAGCAGAACCGCAGTCTATCCGATTCTACTGCACGGCTGCGGTCAATTTGTCGCCTTTCCATATCGGATATAATACATTCGCGCGTAACGTACCCAACTACACGCACCCGTGTAAGAGAGAGACGCCTTTTATAATACCTTCGGGGATTTGAAACTCAGGCGGATCAAGCGACGTTTCGATCGGTATACACTAGCGCGCGCGCGCGCGTGTGTGTCAGTGCAGCTGCTGCTGCTGCTGCTGCTCTCTCCGAGGTATTATTATTGCAGTCTTTCTCGATGGATTCAGAGCGCAAAGCTGCACTCCACATGCACGACGGATGCGTGTTTTATAACAAAAACACGCATATACAATGGAAGAATCGATGGCGAGCGGGTCTCTCTCTCTCTCTCTCTCGTAACGAACGCGTCGCGGCTGCCGCTTTGCATGCGCACACGGTTTTGCTTCAGGGAGGCCAATGATCGACGTGGCGTCACACCGAGACCCGGACATAGAAAACTGCTGCAATGTGCGCGCGTAGAGCAGAGTCCAGAGCAGTAGACTCTCGTCGTCGACGCGATCCGTCGGGGTCTCTCTCTCTCTCTCTCTGCCTCTTCTACTCTACTCTACTCGTCGAGAGAACGCGCCGCGTCCCAAATCGTGCGCGCACTTAACGCTCGGCTTAACCCCTCTTATTATTAGACTTGGCCGAAGTACCTTCTCCTCCGTCGTCGTCGTAGTCGGCTCTAAGTCTAACTTCTCTCTCTCTCGCTCGCTCTATCTCTTTCTCACTCTCGTACACATCGTGTGCTGCTGCTGCATGCACTTGTGTGTGAACTTCGGCATAACTCTCTCCGGCTGCAGTCAGGCTGCTGCCGCTGCGATGCACCGTTTGCTCGTTTTAATTAATCTATCTCGCTCTCTCTCTCTCTCTCTCGCTCGCTCTTTCTTTCTTTCACGCGCGCGCGCGTCACATTTTTGGAATTTCGATCGATACTTCACCCCCGTTTTTTTTCTTTTATGCGTTCGGTTGGCTGGTGTAACTTTTGAGAGGCTGCAGGCACGGTTGGAATTTCATATATAATCTTTTAAATAAAGTGCATCGAATCGATAGTTCATTTCTGATAGTTAATCTTTCAATTTCCTTTCTATCCCATTTTTTTTTTGGATCAAACAGTTGGAAAACAATCTATTTGAAATGATTATCTACCGAATTTGGAAAGAGGAAATGATTTATAGGTTTATCGAGAGTCTAAGAGTTACTGAGAGTAATTGGAAATACGGTCGACCGATTAAAAATCCACACGATGTATACGATCACGAAATGATTGGATATGAATTAATTGACGGACGAAATTGAAAGAGTAAATTCGAGGCTCTCGATTTACTTATTGTTTCTATTGCATTTAAAATTATGTCAAAAAAGCTTCGAAGTTGAGCAAAGTTTTACCAATAAAAGTATTTTCTACATAAATATTCACAGATATTTTTATATTGGCCTAAATTCTCGGTAGATCGATGATGCGTAAAATTCCTCACGAACTCTGTGGACATTGGTTCAAACAATGTAATATTATACTTTTCAAATTGGGGTGGATCGTATTTTTCAAGTACTTTTCATTGACTATTTGACATGAAAATAATAAAATAAAGTGCAAACGAAAAAGATCTGAAAACTACTTTTGAAGTTTATTGCGGTGCGCGCGAAGGTGTATGCGCACTTTTCATATAGACCAGCTTACAAAAAACGTACATATAGATTTTTAGTGTTTCACGTTTACACAACTTTTTTTAGGGAAGACAATAATAAACCGAATCACGTATTGCTGTTTACAATTATCAACCCAGTATATCCTATCACGGTGGTGAGTACTTATTCTATACATATTATTTCTCTCTCAATCAATCAATCATAAATACACGAAATTATACACGAAAATAAACTATACACAATTTACACACTCGCTTTAACACTTGAATTACATGCAGATATGAGTTTTAGCTGAAAAGGGGTGCAGCAGGCAGCAGATTACGGATGAAATAAGGCGCGACATTTTTCTTAAGCTGCTCGAGAAGGAGAGAAAAAGAGAGAAGTAAAAAATAAACACATACTCTCAACAAAAGAGAAGTAACAAAAGAAACACGTACATTAAAAAGACGACGGGTAAAAATTATACTCTCGTGGCGCATTATATGCACGTTTTGGCGCGTCGTTCTCTCTCTCTCTCTCTCTCTTTCTCCCGCGAGAAAAAGGAAACTCACTTATGTGTGTAGGTGGGTGGGGTGCTGCTGCTGCTGCCACTACTTGCTCTCTGTGCTACGTGCAACGATGCGTCAGCTTTGCGAAAGCACCGAGACTTTTTTGTACGTTAAACAAATCGTTATATGTGCCGCCGCTCTTTGTTCTTTTTCTCCTCTTTCTTATTCTCTCTTCTCGTTTTCACTTAGGCCAATAAAAAAGGCTAACTAAAATTAACTTTACTCTCCTTATAACGCGCGCGGGTCCAAGCTTTTTCAGTGATTTACTCCACTTCGGCGGCTTAAGGCGCGCGCGCGAGAGATCGCTGGAAAGCATACACACACACACACACTCGCACCGGATCGATCGATTTCTTTTGTGCGTTAATCCGAGAAAGCGAGAGGTGCTTTCGCATGAAAATTGCCTGCTGCAGTATAAACTGCAGTTTTCTTCGAGAGGCGTGAGTGCAGAGCAAACTTTACTTCACTTGGCCGCGCGCGCGCTGGATTATTAGATTTTAGTCGCGCGAAATAAGAAGTTGGTCGGGGCGAGAGCGCACGACCCCCTTTTCTTTCATCGCCTCGGTATAATGAAATCAAAGATTGCACTTTTCGCGTGGAAGCTGGTTTATGTTTTTATAAAGGTACGTGCATATACGTAACGACTAATTCAATTTGCTCGTATACTTCGCGCACGTGGGTATACATACAATTTTGCCGAGCTTTTCATCCAATTGCGATTATCAAATTGACGGGGAAAAATTTGTGCAATCCTCTCGTGTGTGCTCTTGATTATCTCGATGCGCTGCCGAGTGTACATGATATAAGTTTCAATTTATTCGCGTCCAGCAGAGTAGATAGCTAGCTATTCCTGCTACCTACGCGTGCGTGTTATTTTTTCATCATTTTCTCTCTTTCTCTCTCTCGCTCTCTTCTTTTTTTTTGCGATGGATATATACAGAGTAGAGCACTCCGAAAAGCCGCGTAATTAATTATGATATGCACACACACACGTCGAGCTTATATTATCGTGTATATATACGCGAGAATGTAATTGCATGACTCGCGCGCGCGCACGCACCCGTATACGTACGGCTAGTAGTACTACGTGCATTAAATTTTCAATTTTTTTTCTCGCTTCCCCGTATAAGCCAATAGAGGAGCTTTTTCTGTCTCTCTTTCACTCTCGCTGTCTTTCCCTTTCTCCGGGATGAGGGTATATTTTATTCCGCGAGCCTAGCCCGACTTTATTGAAGCAAAGGCTTCTGCCATGTGCAGCAGAGAGAGAAAGAGAGAGAGAGAGAGAGAGAGAGAGAGAGAGGTGCAGCACGGCTATTACGTACAGTACACGCGTGGGTGTATCTCTATATACCGAAGCTTGCGCGAAGCTCTACATAAACTGCGAACTCATGCTTGCCTGTGAGAGAACAGTAGCAGCAGCAGCAGTAAAGGGCAGAATCGAGAGAGAAGCAGCAAGTCGCAAGCTGAAAAAGAAATGAGCCCGTGCAATTACGCCTCGAGAGTAGAATACGCAGCGAGCAGAGTTGATACGGGGGCGGTGGTGGCGGCAGGGGACGACTGGAATACGTATATATATGTAGCTTTTCTCGAATTTCGTGGTCTAATATTACCTGCGCGAGATCAATTTCCCAGGGGTGTGATTCGACACATTAGTCCTAGAAGTCGGATGTATGTAACTAGCTGCTGCGCGTGTACCGAAGTACGTAATACGTAGGCAGGCAGGGAAAAAAAGGGTATAAACGAAGTTTCGTTAGCTAGGTCAAGAGCTGTGCGAACATTATCGAATTACCGTGTTATTACAGTACCTCGAAATTCACTTTGTGTTTGCGTAAAGCGACGATATTATACAAACTTGAACTCTCGAGCTCTATATATCTACAAACAGAAAATACACACGGGGTACGCGTACGCGTCTCGAGTCGCTAGAAAAAGGAGATACGAAAGTAAAGCGCAAATCGTTCAGGGAAGCTATTCCGTATAGAAGATGAGTCGCGCACACGTTTACCCCACGAATTATATATCAACTACACGATGAAAGTACAAACATACGATTCATAAACGCACACATATTTATACGCGCAGACACACAGACACACATAGACACACATGTAATTTTATAAACAGGAATGTGGCAAGAGGCCATGCGTGCGCGTCTACCGTATTATACCTATACCTACCTACCTACCGACGATGACGAATATTTAGGCGCACACACATCCAAGAAAATATATTATTATTACTGTATTATATATGTAGCCCCGCTTTTATGCTCAAAGCCGGCAATTCCGCCGTTTTCTTGACTATGTTGCAGGAAGTTCTGCACGCCATCAGTCACTCGAGCGGGCAAGTTCAGCGCATCGTTATCTTCAAGAAGAATGGAGTCCAAGCCATGGTTGAATATCCTTTAATACTATAGAAAATAAAATTCAGTAAAAGAGAGCGAGGAGAGCAAAAAAAACTGTCCCGAACTGGATTAATCGATGGCTCTTTGTCTTTTCGCTTTTCTCTTTCTCTCGGCACGGCATCGGCATCAGCAGTACCGCCGCGGTTCTGAGCTGTATAGAGGCGTGCTCCGCTGCTGGGGTTGGCTTATAGGGGGAGAGAGGGTAAAAAGTCGAAGAAAGAGTCATTGATTAATCGAGGGCGAGGAATGGGGAAAAAAAGATGTGAGAAAAAATCGCACGATTGATTGCGTTTCTCACGTCTATATTATCACTCATATATACGTATACACACACACATTCTTTTCCTTAACTAATACCTTTCTTCGGTAATTACGTTCGACTCGGTCGAATCTGCCACGAGAGCGAAGGAGACACTTCACGGAGCCGACATATACTCTGGATGCTGCACGCTGAAGATCGATTACGCAAAGGTAAGCTTATTGCAACTATATACTCTTAAAGCTCGAGACATTTTACGCCCCCTCGAGCGCGCACGTCGCTGGCAAAAACAAATTAATTGTGTTATATATACACCTCGTGCAACGTCGCTCGAGCTTTAATAATGAGCTTAAAATTTCTGTCTCTGTCTCTCTCTCTCTTTTCCTACGGTGTCGCGTCGACTATTTTGAGAGAGAGAGAAAAAGAGCTTGCGGCGTTGGTGGCGAATATTCCGAGCCTCGAAATGCCCGCGTGTATACGGCTACTGGTCGCGTTATGATAGATTATGGCGAGTTCGGCCAATTCAAACGCAGTTTAAAGCGTATACTCATAAACACACACATACGTGCAAGCCCACTAATATGCGCGCATGCGAATATATGTATACTCGGACGCGCGAGTCGGGCTGCGATAATTTCTGCTTCAGCAGAGAGCGAGAGAGAGAGAGAGAGAGGAGAAACATTACTTTGATTGGGAGCTTTGCTCTCTCTCTCTCTGCTCTCTGCTCGAGCGTGGCGGGCTACTTACGAGTGTCCCATTCCAACTTAATTAGTATATACACGGAGAGCTTGCAAGCTCGCTCGCTCGCACGCACGAACGCCTAACGCGCGAATGGCAATAAAAGCCGAATTATACCGCATGCACACACGCAGCTGCACGAGCATTTAATGCTATACCGTAGACGATCGACTATATCTCTCTCTCTCTCTCGAATATTACCAGGCTTACTCGATTGCTCCGACTTTGCGTGCGTGTTTGTGTGTGTATATGCATGCGGTCGACACGAAAAGGGCAGCCAGAGCGAGAGACTTTCGATCGGCCGCGACGTGTCCTGTCAAGCGGAGAGAGTCCAAATTTATAGCGGTCGGGAAAATCTACATATTATATATTTCTATCTCTCTCTCCAAGTAGGGTGGTGTTGGTTGTGGTGGTGGCGGCATTCGAGCTTGCCTCCGCGCGCGAGTATACAGGTAAAAGGTAACGAGATGCGACAAATGAAGAGAGCGAGAGAGAGGAATGGAAGAAGGGAGGAAAATTCAGAGCTTGCGACTTTCGGGTAATTGGCTACGACGATGTCTTAATAGCCGCGCAAGCTGCTGCTGCTGCTGCTGCTGCTGCTGCTCTGGCATATATATGTAATATAATATAGAATATGGTATAGTAATATATAACGTACACGCGACAGAAGACGTAAATAAACCTACCGACCGTATGTGAGCGAGCTTGCAAGCTCGATGTGCGATCGCGCGGGGGAAGATCCTCCTATCTTCTGTCGTCTCAGTGCACTTTCCGCTGGGGTGGAACAAAAAAAAAGAAAGGACTAGCTCGCGACTATGTAACGTAATACGTAACCCTGCGCGACTAATCAGGTTAAGTGGAAAGTTACGCAGTATATAGGTTCTATTCTATTCTGAATAAGTTACGTAGGTACGTGTAATATGGAGTACGGATATATAACGCACGCGCCGAATAGAGGATCGCGGGTGGTACGGCTCTCGGGCGCTTGCGTGCACCACCTACGTTGAATACGCGCACGTATGCATAATATACGTGTTATACACAAACACAGACACGCGCGCACACCTTTGTATGTATAATGCGTTTATATGCCAGTAATCAGCGGCTGTGCGGAGATGTATTGCACTTTGGCCTATCGAACGCGCGCGGATATATACGTGTACTTACAACGCGTAACGCTCGTTCGTTCGCTTTGCCTCACTTTGTAAGTGAACCGCGGATAATAATTATAATAATAATGATAATAATGGTATGACACGCGCGCGCTCATCGTAAAGCTCGCGAAACGGGCCAATGGCTTTTCCTCGAACCCGTCGTACGTCTCTCTTTGTGTGTGTATTCATGCACGGGATGTATAATAGACTAGCTCGTCTTCGCACTTACACACACAGACACGAAGAGCAAAAGTCTTCGATCATTACATTTTCGAATTTTACGCGTTTCACGGCAATACGACGACGAAAACGGTACCACGGGTGGCGTCGCGCCTCAAAGAACAGAGAGCCGAGAGCCTCCCCGACGTTTACGAGGCACTCTCGGACTTGCGTCTTTTCTCTCTTAGCTTTTATATGCGTATAAGCGCGTGTATATACCTATGTGTATATACCCGTCAGAAGCAGCAGCAGCAGCAGCAGCAGTGAGAAATCTTCATTCTGTCTTCGCCGCCATTGTACACATCAGCGCATTGTCTGTTCTCTTGCGCTGACGAGCTCGCGTTATTACATAGACTATCTGCTTTCGCGCGCGCGAGCCCCCGAAGCTTTTACACTTTTAGGTCTTCTTGCATTACAGTCGCACTGGGCCGGTATATAGGCATGTTATTATACGCCTTGTATGTGTGTGTGTATGTGTGAGCGCATAGGCGCAGTGCACATAGGTGACGAAGCGTCTGTGCTGCACCGAGATGCCTATTTCGCGCGCCCTATAGCTCTGGAAAGCTCGACTTTATTATCTATCCGGAGCTCCTCGTTCGATTCTGTTTTGACTGCGCTAGTCGAGCGGGGCAGACGGTCTCTATCCGCGTTGTATTTAATTATGCGCTATAGATAATGCGATTGCGCGCGAAAAGCGTCTCGTACCCTATGATACGTCACGTGAAATGCAACGTTAATACTCGATTTAGACAGCTATGTGACATTTTCTTCTTTATCTTTTACAGCCAACAAAATTGAACGTTTACAAGAATGACTCGGAGAGCTGGGATTATACAACGCCTGGTCCTGGTGAGTATCTATGCGCATCATGTGTGCATTATATATTTGTAATAATACACGTACTCTACTTTATAAATATGATGCATAATAAATAAGCCGCGCGGGCGTACAATCACGAGAAACTTTGTATTGCGTATCGATCGGTTGCTTTATCATCGTTATTATTGTAAATTCCGGCGCGTTCGCTACTAAATACATATTTAAATATAAATCACGCCGAGTACAATAATATGAATAACAACAATAATAACGCGATACAATGTTATAACGGCACGTCAAACTGAAATGATAATAATAAAAAAAAAAATAGAGAGAGCTCAACTATAATACCGCTCGTATAATATTTGTGCATTATGCACGTGCACCGCGAGCTTTTTTGCGCGAATTTCGATAATTCGTTTTCATCGATTTTTTTTTATTGTTTCGCGCTCCTCTCTTTCCTCGTTTACGATAGACACACATATACCTACTCGCGCGTGCACGCCGTTATTATTAGCAATTTTATTTTATTTTATTTTTTTTTCCATTTTTTTATGAAGGCGCGTGCATATTATACGTACGCGTCATGCGTCAATATATGCGATACTTATTTGCTATTATACGTATATATAGGTACACGAAAAACATAAACCTCGACTTATGACTCACGCTTTTTGTGTACCTAATTCATGAATTATCAACAAAAAAAATTCTATAAATATATTATTAACACTACTCACTTTTATATATGAATGAAACATGAATGCATTCTTTGGGAGATGATGAATTTATAGAGGAGTAATACTCAAGTCAATATACGTTATACATCGTATTCTGTAACAGAGTCTTAGTACATGGGCCATACTCCTTTTTTTTTTTGAAGATATATAAATATCGTCCCGTATCTTTCAACTCTTTTTTTACCTCAATAAATTTAAATGGATGGGTCACTCGATAGAGATGCGCGGGTATGAATACGAACCCATTTATGATCGAGCTTCGCGGAAGCCTCTCGAGTCGGGGAATCACGAATGGAAACAAAAAAAAAGGAACTTACGCACGGTCATGCCTCCTCCACTTTGCCCTCTCATTATCACCGAGAAATAATCATGAACACTAATGGATTACAAGTTATATATGTGTACTCGCACAAACACACATACTGCACATCGAAACACGGACACACGCCATGGCACATTACACACGTACAGAGCAGTGCGAGCCACTCGACGAGCCAATCCACGCAAGCCTGCGGCTCGAATCACTATCTCTTGGGATGCTCTATCTCTCACTCCGTCTCTCTTATTCACTCTAGCTGCTGCCTTCTATATGTGTGCACTTTATAATAGCATTGTGCATTGAATGTATTCCCCCGGTGGATACGCGAGGCACACATACGCGCGACGGAGAACAGAAAAATATGCGCTCGCCTCCTTTTTTTTTCACGTTTTCTTTCTATTCACTTTTTTTTTATCAATTTCCTTCCTCGTCTGCCTTTTTCCCCCTACATATACCTATTTTGCATCAAAGATCATCGTTCGATGCATTTTCCACCTATTAAATCTAAAGCCTAATATCGTCATTGTTATCGTCGAGAAGCTCTTATGCTCGCCCTCCATTCTTCTCTCTTTTTCTTTATACGATGCAAAAATGTAACCACTTTCTTTCTTTTTTCTCTTTTTTTTTTGCGTTATTGTTTATCGATACGTAAATGTTTGTGTACACGGAGCCTTGCATGAGAATGAAGGATGCATTTACATTTCCGAAGATAACGTATAAAACTGTAAATAGGTTTCTGGGTGCGCACTGTCTTTCTTTCACTCACAGACAAACATTTGTCTTTGACTGTTTTTTGTAAATTTTTTTTCCTTCTCTTCGTTCTCTCTCGTTACTAACGAAATCGTTGCAGTGTAAAAGATATCGTTTCGTTTGTTCAATCGATAATTGACATCAATTGGTTCGCAAGCCCAAGAATTTCAAGTAAAATCTGAAAATAGTCACCACAATAGAAAACAAGCACTCATGAAACATCAAGATTTAAAAAATAAATAAACAGCATTAACAACATCATGTTACAACGAAACAATGGACAAGAAAAATTGAGAAAAATGAATAACAACAGAAGACACATCAACAACATCAATATCAACAACTACAAGAATCACAACTACAATCGGTTCAGGCATAAAATAGGTAATCTTGATAATTGGGAAAAAGAGGTGTTATGTTGGAATGTTTGTCTGTGTGCAGATGCAGCCAACGGAATCGTTGACGCGGGTTGATCACGATAAGAGATGATTCCGTACGATCGCGATGATCACGATTAAAATGACGTTGATGATATTGATGAAAGATGATGGCAGTGGCAAAGATGATGATGGTTCAAAAACGATACTGGATCGAAGGCAAACGAATAACAAAATTTGAATAAACGATGAATAAAGAAAGAAAAAGAGGTTGATACGTGCGACGACTAAACGAGCAGTTTTTCGCACTTTGCTCGCGTTCGCGCGTGGCTGTGGTGTGCGTGTGTAGTTGCGTATACGCACGAAACGAATGAAAATCCGCATGTGCCGCACTCACACACTCACCCATGCAAGCACGCACACGAGTTCAAGAATGAGAGAAACACGTACTGCGACGCAAAGATCGGTAAGTGAAAATTGTGTTCCATCGGAGATTCGGACAATCAGCAAATAAACATTTTTCACGATAAGTCTCATCCCTTCGTACATGTAAAAAAAAAAAGAAAAAGCTGCTAAAGCCAATGCAAGAACAACAATGACAACAAAGTACAAATTTGGTGGATCGGATAACGCTGGCTATTATTACAATTGTTTTACATCAACACCTATTTTTTTTTACACACGACTCTGGACTACAGTATTTGCTCAAGAAACACGTGCAGGCGCATCGGCAGGCCAGCTTATTTTTTTTCTCGATACTTTCACACGTCGAGAGTCGCACAATACGTAATTTGCATTGACAAATATGTATAATGTACATGCTAATCAACACACGGCTAATGTTTGCTTTACGACTGTGCAGCTTGGTGATGGTCTAGTTCTAATCTTTGTTACAGAATATTTGAGGGTATACACGTACTACTTTTTTTACTTTTTTCCATTCTCTCTCTCTCTTTTCTGGGCTTTAAAACTTTCCTTTTTCCTCGTTGCGTTGTGTATATCATATATATGTACTTTTTACCCTCTCTGTGTCCTCCGGGCAAAGGATAGAAATGAATGTGGAAAGAGCCGAGGTCGACCCGCGCGCGCGCGCTTGAGTGGCTACGTAGCTTTTTGTGCATTATGTATTATGAATCACGTGTATATAGCATACAGAGATAACGCGCGCGCGCGCGACCCACGTGTGTATATGATCGTTCATTTTTTGTCAAAAAAGAGACTTCGTATTAATCCGTCATTTATGTCAATAATAATAACTATGATGTATAATGATTTATATTATCCAGTGGCGTGACAATATAATTAATTGCATCAATGCATCATCCCCACCGCCGCCGCGGCCAATTTTGATATACGCTAATCGTATTCGATGTTGTACAGTGGATCCTCGTTGTCGCGAACTTCTTTGTAGCTAATTTCTCAAAGTAACTAGATGCTGGATCCCTTCCCTCGGAATAACGGATTCAAAATTTACTTGATTACATATTTATGTTTTTCGTTCAACGATGTAAATATTGAACTTTTGTGAGATGTTAGTTCTATACCACCTAGTAAGTCGTGTACATATCAATATTAAGATTAAAATGTATTCCCCGTCGACTGATTTTAAACGCTTGAAGTTGAATGTAAAAATACAAGTTCTTAACCTGGAACAAGTGGAAGACGCAGACGACGATGTGGTAATGGAAGTCGTGCAAAACTTTTTCAATGGTAAAAGAAAAATAACGACAAGTTAATAATTATAATACTTTAAATTAATTTTGATTAATTCGAGGTTCAAACTATCAGATTTATTCGCGACAACGAATTGAAATATCAACCCCCTCGAGCGTTTCGTTAATATCTAGAATCCACTGTATTATATCTCTATCGTATAATCTACTTAATTAATTAACAATTTATATAACTGCATACAATTTCACAATGAAATGTGTCAATGCATAATGGAGCACGATTTATTTGGACCATGTCTCTTTTCTTTTTTCTGTTCCAAAAACACAAGCAGGCGCCCACAAAAATGACAGCAGCACGGGCAACGGGAGGCCGGCACCGTTATTGGCTGAACCTCGCTACGGGGCTGCCCCTCAGCCATACGGTAAACGATTATTGCCACTTCCAAAAGGTTTATTTTGCACAGATTTTTTATTTTATTTGAGTTCCATTATTTTTTTGCTACGACCGAAAGAATACCGGATACTCGATGAACGACTCGACACTCTTTCATCTGACCTTTCGAATCTTTCCGAAACTTTTCAGGAGCCAGCGTGACCGGACAGTTCGGCGCGGGTGGCGCCGGCGCTCACGAGCGCTACGACGACAGCTTCAACGGGCCGGCCGGTTACGGCGCCGAGCCCTACTCCGTGGACCGCTACGGCATCAAGGGCTCCGGGCCCGAGTTCGCCGTCAGGGAGCCCCTGCACCCGACGCCCGGCGTGCCCGGCAGACCGGGCGGCGGCGGCGGCGGCGGTGGCGGGGCCTACGCGGGCGCCCTGAACCAGGCACCCGGAGCCAGCAGCAATCAGGGCTCGGTGATGATGGTCTACGGCCTGCAGCCCGACAAGGTCAACACCGACAAGCTGTTCAATCTGTTCTGCCTGTACGGCAACGTGAGCAAGGTCAAGTTCCTGAAGACCAAGGAGGGCTGCGCCATGATTCAGATGGGCGACAGCATCGCGGTGGAGCGCTGCCTGCAGAATCTCAACAACGTGATGATCGGCGAGGACGCCGGCAAATTGCAGCTGGGCTTCTCCAAGCAGGCTTTCCTGTCGGACGTGACCAATCCCTACCAGCTGCCGGACAAGTCGCCGAGCTTCAAGGATTTCTCCGGCAGCAAGAACAATCGCTTCCTGAATCTGGCGATGGCCAACAAGAATCGCATCCAGCCGCCGTCCAAGATCGTGCACTTCTTCAACACGCCGCCGGATCTCACCGAGGAGACGGTCAATCAGGTGTTCGTCGATCGCGGCATCGACTCGCCCATCACGGTCAAACTGTTCCCACTGAAGTCCGAGCGCTCGTCGTCCGGCCTCATCGAGTTCAGTAGCGTCGGGGTGGCCGTTGCGGCAATTATGGAGTGCAATCACACGGCTATCGAGAACAGCAGTCAGTATTCTACGCAAAATTACGTTATTTTTTCTTAGTGAACAATTGCTTACGTTGTTTTCTTCTTTCTTTTTTAGACGGAAAATTCCCCTACATAATGAAGTTGTGCTTCTCCTCGTCGCGCACTATACCTAGCAATTTCCCCCCAAGCAGCAGTTCATCGAGCTCTGCTAACAATGGCCACGCAAAAATGCAGCAAGACTCGGAATAGAACGGCGAGGCCCAGGGTCAGCAGCGTCAGCGTCTACAACAGCAGCAGCAGCAGCAGCAGCAACAGCAGCAGCAACAACAACAGCATCAACAGCAGCAGCAACGACAGCAGCAACAACAGCAGCAGCGTCAAAGAGCAGCCCTAGGAGCTCTTGGACTAGGGCTGCATCCGCAACTCTGTACGTCTCAGCAGCAGCAGCAACAGCAGCAACAGCAGCAGGCGGCCGCAGCAGCGGCAGCAGCCTCCGCCGCTCTCGCACTGTCCCCGGTATTGCCTCCGCACGCGGCACATCCACCGCACCCACCTCCCTTGCCTCCGCCGCCCACCTGTCTACTCATCGCAGCGCCTAGCCTCACGGCTCATTATCAGACGGCCGCGCCACCTCCTCCACCGCCCCTGCCGCCGACGGCCTTTTGGCCCTACTAAAAAAAAAAACTGCTATCATTGAAACTTTCGATAATCATTCCGCTGCTGCTGATGCGAAGATGCGCCATACATTCACCATCGGTTGCGACGCTGAAAGAATGAGGGAGAGAGAGAGCTGCTTACCCCCCACTCACCGAAAAAAAAATTAGCGCGACTCGCGAGCAATTGTAATTTTTTTTTTAATTTTATTAATGCGAAGATAAACAAAACCTTGTCATCGTACACAGGAAGCTCTGCGCTTTGAATCGCGTTCGTAAGGTTTCTGCCTCGAAAAGACTCGCGATGCTTAGTCAAAACAGCTTGTTATACATCGCTTTCATACAAAGCAATACTTTTTATCATACTCGACTGTAAACGTAAGTTGCGTACTGTACGATAAAAACACTCGCTTGCGATGTAAAAATAATAATAATAATAATTGATAAAGATAAACAATTGAGGAGGGACACAAGTTTTACGCAGCTTGTGCGTAGCAGAGCGTTTGTTATGGCTTTGCCGCCACTTTCAACTTTTTGACTACATAGACATTGACATGATATTTTATGTTTAAATTAAGCTGTAGCATTAAAGACAAAAAAAAATAGGGCGCAACATGATGAGCGGCACTAATCGAATTATCACTACCAATGATTTTTGTGTTGATATACTTTATTCTGTGTTCCTTTTTACTCTACGATAATTATTTTTCTAATTTTATTCAAGCATAGATTTTTCTGCATTGGTAATTTACTTGAATGGATGGTTTGATTTATGCGTGAATTGAATCAATTACGTGTTTTATCAACAATTTGCACGACTCGTGTTTTATTGTTATCTATTTTAATTTTATGTTAATTGCAAAGTACTAAGGCTACTTTAGTATAGTTATAACATTGAATTACCGAAAATAATTAAGATGCAGCCTCTTATATGTATATATGTTATAATAAATTGAACTGCTCTTAGAGTTATTGATAAAATACTGTCATTTTTAACTATAAAAAACAAAGTGTATTTTGTAATTTGAATTCAATTTTTTATTATAAAAACAAAACGAATAAATGATGAGCAACGTTATTCTCGATAATCTAATTTTCTATAAGGATCGCACCCTCGAATCAAATAATATTAATTTAAATACAGCTAAATTGAACTCACGTGTGCGTTCAATGTAATCAAAATGCGTGAACGAAAGTTCCTTTCACATTTTTGCTCGAAGCACAACTTACATAATGTTGGATTTTTAAACCTTGCATAGAATGTAACGAACGCCATTTATTTTGAAACTAATCATTCACGCTTGATATTTGAATATTGAACACCGTCGATAATAACGCAGGTGTCTCGATCTCTGCGGGCTAAACTGTAGAAAGAAATTATTTGTACGTTCACGAATTGACCTATGTTGTATGACCATTGATAATCACTTCTTGAGTACGCGAAGATATAGTTGTACAGCGCATGACAACGAAGGCTTGTCTTGATTGAAGAGTTTGCTTGTTTAAACGCTCATTTTTAGGCTCTTCGCTTTATTACATCCGGACAAATGTGTAAACGCCGAAGAGCTAGTCGTCATTTTTTTAATAAAAAAAAAAAACGGTCTTGTGATAAGCAAAAGGCTTATTTGCAAGCCTTATCGATTTAAAATGAAATGATATCTTTGTATAGCTTTATATTACACTCACACACGTGAATAAATATTTTATTTTTCTGGATGTTTAGCGCTATTATGCAATATATATACAAAACTATTATAGACGTGTAATTTATTAAACATTTTAAATTGCATATCGCGTCAGTAAACGAAATAATGAATGACTTATTAGTTAGGAAATGGTGTAAAGTAGGCGTGAATAAATTTTCAAATCAGCTGTGAATTGTGTATGCTAAACAAAAAAAAAACAAAATATAATGTGAAATTCGATGAATCTAATGATAAAAAATTTTTAAACGATATTCTTTATCACTTTACAATACATACATCGGGGGAACGATTTAATAATAATTAAAGCAACAAAAATGGACTGCAACTCGATCAATTATTGATGTATACAATTATACAAAAAAAACATTTGAGGTTGTAACAAGTAGTGTCGTTTTACCTTTTAATCAATGATGAGTATATCGATTAATGACACGAATGCGTATCAAACTTTTTTCGACAAGCAAGTAAATTCGTAAATAAAAACATATCCTTCATTCTATTGTAATATGTATATATTTGCAAGTGTTAGAAAATGAGTTTCGACCGTTTTTATGGATGATTATCATGTTTTAATGCAAGGTACATATATTTTTAGCTATTTCCGGCAAATTGAAAGGGTCGAGGACCAAACGTGACTGTATGTGCGCGTTTAGTCGAGCATCAAAAGAGTTACGAGGAAATTGTATGCGTTTGTCATACTGAATAAGTTATGTCAATATTACATGTATAAATTGCATATCGTTAGCATACGGTTGTTTAACTAATTCATTACGATTGTTGTTTGGTTATTGGTTAATTAATGATACTTCACTATTTTAGGATTAAATACTGCCAGGAGCGCTTGTTTGCTTACTCTGTAACGTTTGTTTTGGACAAACTTGTATTTATTATGTACCGTGGCGCGGAGAATAGAAAATACGTCATTGAACATATTAAAAACTCGACGACGTCGTTTGGGTATAACTTTGTGATGATATGCACATTCGTTGATGCAATCGACTTTTTAATGTGTAACTTTTGTAGTTCTATTCGAGAGACATTTCTATCATATATAAATGCTTGATGAAAAAAAAAGAAAAAAAAATGAAGAAGAAACTCGAGTTGTTTATTCAAAATGAATAATTAAAAGAAATATAAAAATCATTCCAATTGCGAAGTAGAATAATTAAGCGAAAAATAATGATCGATAATTAGTAGGAGAAAATTAGTTTCGCGCATCTTAAATAAACGTACATTAATATTAAACGTATGTATCGTTACAGAACAAGCAGAAGCGTAGTTGTAGTATACTAGTTCCCAAGTATTATTGTAGTGATACAAAACATTTCCCACACATATCATACACCCTAACTTCCCCTACTTCTCTCCCTCAAAAAAAGCTATCGACGGATAACTTTATATCATATCAATGTCTTTTTAGGTATTTATAGTAATTTAATCGCAAAAATCTGTGTGATTGCATATAAAACAAAACATTTATATAGAAAAATATGTATATATGTATCTCCAACCATACGTATTAAGATACGAAACGTATTGGAGCAATTCGTATAATAAGTCTCGTTTACTGCATAAAACTATCATTTTTACTCTATACGCTCTGCCGAATGTGAATATTTGCACAATTGTTTCGTTCCATTTTGAACTAATCCGAATTGGTCTTTGTACTTTTTTCCCCAATTTTTTTTTTTTTTTTTTTACGTAAATTCAATTAAAGAGCGCATTAAGAATTGACAGAAAGAGAGAAAGAAAAAGAGAGAGAGAGAGAAAGAGAGAAACTGCATCCTTGATGAATGGTGTGAAGCTAAATAATGTGATTCGTGTTCATTACTCTATTAGATTGATCGACTGTTAAAAGAATGTACCTCTTTTATTTGAGCTTGCTCTATTTGTTCCAAGTAGAGCAAGACACCGTGTACATAGTACATACTTTGACTGGGTTTTCACCTCAACTTGCATCCTCAGTTATTTTGTAAACGATATTTTATATAATAATATTTAATTGAATATCTCATTGTTTGAATGGAACATTTCTCCGACTTCAACAGGATATATTTGCTGCGAAAAAAATAAAGAATATGTAAGAATTTTTCTATTACTTCTCGTTAGCGCGTGATAAAAAAAAATAAACGAAAAGGGAAATAAATGAAGATGCAAGATGGCCTAAATTTTCTGCGCATCTGTTTTGTCTGTTGATATGTATATGTATATTTGATCCACGAAAGGGTCTCTGAGCTCTGTCTTCCCACGACTAAGTTTAAAAAAAAAAGATAAGACAAATTAGATACAATAAGATTTGTTGACTGTATACATTATATTATGCATTATAAATATATATATAAATATAATAACGTATAACGGAAGTATCGCCATGATATTCCCCAAAACACATTGTGAGCGGCGCGTGACATTAATCTCTAAGATTGTTTGCGCTTCGAGTTCGATACGACTTTGTCTTTGCACTTGAATGAAAAAAAATATATTGAAAGAATCGGGGTAAGATGATTCAAATTATGTGTATTATACATGATATTATTATCATTACAATTATGATTATTGTATTATCATTTGCTAGTGATTAGCAAGCGTTTTTTCGCTCTATATCGAAAAAATCACGGATGTAAATTTGCGTTCGAACGAAGCTGCGTTTCCGGGACCTATATTGATGAAAAACAAAACACTATACGCGACACGAGAAAGAGAGGCAATTATTTATATTTTTCAAGTGCAGATGGCAGTGTATAAGAATTTTTGGATTTCATCATTGCGCGATTTGAAAAAAAAACAATTGCGCTCGATAATTCGTCGTATAAAAATTTATTGTATATTATAAGAACAATATATAGTTTCTAGAAAGATTAAAAAAAAAGAAAGAAAGCAAAAAATAATAGACATACTGTACGTCATGGAAACAATTGTAAGTCTTTCGCATACCTCGAAATATTATAAGCTGTAAAACGTACCGAGGGTAATGAAAAAGTAAAAAAACTCCAAAAAATGAGAAAAAAATTAGTTTAGCCGATGGAAAATAATTGCACGCGTGTGTGTACGCTCGACGTTAATGGTCGCCTATAATACACACACGCGTAGCATGTATGTGCATAATTTACTGCGAGAGCCATAAGCGCGCATCACTATTAATTAGATATATAAAAAAAAATACTAAATGTAATGATAAAAAAATGACGTGAGAAAAGGAATTTTCGAAGCACGTTCGAAACAAATATTTACGCTTGTTGGCAGAACGAAAATAAGAAAAAAAAAGATGAAACAATGAGCGATACGAAGTAAAGGAAAAAAGGAAGGAAAGGAAAAAAAACCCAATTATGAATATTACAATAATAATAGATGAAAGCAAATCGAGTTTTGTGAAAAGGGGAAGTGTAATATGTGTATATTACTGTATGTCGTACGCTGTAATGTTTGAATTTGCGAGTCAATTATCTGTGCCTAGCAGCCCTGCGCACCCTACCAAATAATGTACCACCGTTATGATAAAAACAGAGAAAAAAAAATAAGAACAGTAAAAAAACCAATTATAAACGATTTGAAGTATTGATCAATTTTAAGAAAATGTACATTCACTCGAAGAATTATCGTAAGGAAAGAGGAGAAGATGGGTCGATGAGAGCAAAAGTCAAATTAATGAATCGCGCTGTTTTTTCTCTACGATAATGTATATAATTTTCAACGCTGCAACTTTTTTGCACACACGATATAATTGAAGAAATTTTTCGAAACTTTTTCAATAAAATTTCGACGGGAACAAGGAAAATTTTTTCGAACAAAAAGAAGATGAAACTTAATCAAACGCTGCGCCGTTTTCAGGCATTTATTGGACGTTACGATTGGATATTCGAACAAAAACGGGGGCAATTTACGGTTGCTCGTTGCATCTCGCCTGTTCTGCTCCTCTTTTTACTTATTGCCAATTTTTTCACAGAATGTTTTACGAAATAGCCAACGATGAAAAACAAAAAAAAAAATATTAAACACGCTGCAATGTATACCTGTGAGAAAAAAGGATATATATATATAGATGACAACTAAATACGTAATATATACAAGAACATATGGACTTAGTTTACTGAATCAACGATAATCCTTTCACACGTAAACATTTATTAGTAGAAAAACATCTTAAATCGTATCTCACAGTAAAGCATGTATGTTTTTGTTCACATTGTCCATGTAATATATATATCCATTTAATACATAATACATGTACATTATTACACGTAAAAAAAACGAAGGAAAATATTTTCCCTTTTACTCATTTGCATATCTATACATGGTTATATACTAAAACAAATTCACACTGAGAATTGATGTTTGCATATTCTGTACATGTTTCTTTCTTTCTTATTTTTTTCAACTATACATACACGGGTTGACGCCGATATACACACTGCTCGATATTTTGAATGCTTCGTACTATCGTATTTTATACGTCGAACTGGGGCACCATGAAAAATAAAAATAACCATGCACACAATGATACGACGAAACTGCACCACGATAGAGTCATAAATTATATTATACATATTATACGCAGGGAGAAATGGAGAGTAAAAGAGTAATCATACAAATCTTGCAAGTGAATTGACATACAGTGAATCGATTGATCACATTGATACATTAAGATATACATCGAGCACATATTTTGTAGCTATCAAAATGCACTCCAACATTATATGCACGAAAAACCCCCTAGAACCAAAACAGAAAGTAGATTGACATGTTGTATCTGTGTTATGTTTTTTTCGACTAAACAAGTAAAAATTGACAAAACAACAGCAACAAAAAAAGGACTCAAACCGAGAATGAAAAATGATAAAAGAACAAAAAACAAAAAAAAAAACAAAATTTTAATGAAACGGCGGACATAATACGACACAAATCGAAACTGCAGATATATTTATACCTGCTATTTTGTACAATGAGCTTCTCTCTATTTTGTATGCTTTTCCCTCACAACTTTTCAACGACATACAATATAATATACGACTGCATAAACATCTAATATAACTGTGAACTTTATATACATGTATATTTATATATAAACGTATTATACTAAAAATAGACTAGCTCACAAACTCTGAAAAATTCAATGACACTGTGGTGAAAAAAATTAAGTATGGGAAAAACAAAAACAACAAAAAAAAACGAAAACGAAAACCTACTCTCGCAAATATACTTGTTATATACTAACACCTGTAGACAATATAATATTATTAAATATATATAGGTGCAGTCGGTGCTGGTGAATTTATAAGTAAAAAATAAAAGAAAAAGTGAGAGAGAATGAGAATGATTGGGACTGCACAGCTATATAATATACATTTAGATTCTGCATATCATAATATACATATTTATTAATACGTAGATATCATAATATACGTAATTGTAGTCGACGTAAATTTAGATGTGTTAATTCGCGGTTTTGAACGTTATACTCACTTTTTTTTCTCGTATACATGTAGTCTATCGCTATATATTACATGTGAACACATAATAATACGCAGCTCTCGCTCTCTCGACGATATTCACGTGAAAAAAAAAATGAGAAAAAGAAAAACATTCACCCACCTCTCCCCCGACTACCCTCATAAATACTCTGTAAACTATATTTATATATATATAATGATACTTGTGCAAAGTAAGGGAGAGAGAAAGAGAGAGATCGAGAGAAATAAGTAATCCAGAATGAAAACGCATTGAAACGACTTAATTTAGCCATCATAATATACTATACAGATTCATTGAAAAAACATGTATACTATATACTCCGATATATATGTATATCGCATATAAAACGAATTCATTGTCATTTCAAAACATATTACTCATTTATACAACTTGATATAAAAAATATTTGACCCACGCGACCTATCCACATTATCACAACCAACATCACGAACCAAAAGCTCCAAATTTGAATCATAATTCATCACTCGATCACAGTTATAAATATAATCCAGATAAATTGATATTCATATATTCTATATACGAAGAAACATCATTGCAGTACACTCAAAAATAATCCAAACAAATTTTCTCATCTTTACGTTCTATATACTTTTGTCTCTTAGCTCTTATTATCACATGGACATTAATTTGACTTGATTACTTTATTTTTACATCACGTATCTATTCTTACGTATTTTTGGACAATTATTATACGTTACGTTGACTCTGGTGTGTGTTGCATCCCCGCGTGACATGACGCGGCTGGGCTTCGATTGCGGCATGATAGCGCACCCACACACAACACACATGTATAATATACCACTGCGAAGGACTCGCCTCGCTGATTTCCACGCGCCAAGGTAAGTCTGTGTGATAAATCGTCTTGAAGCACGAAAATTTATATACATGAAGTGTGAAAAGAAAAGCAAAAAAACTAGTCCGTTGCTTTTTTTTTTAATCAAGACTTTATTAATTATGAAAAATTTTTATATAACAACATGATAATAGTATTCGATTTATCAATATAATAATAATAATGTTAATAATGGTAATTAATACAGTATAACCGCGCCAGTGAAAGCCGATATTACACTATACATCATAATAACTTCGGACGTTAGTTAGCGCTATAGTTTTACAACGCCTCTTCGTTTTCGCCTTTTAGCAATAATTACGAAAAAAAATGTATGTATATAATGAAAAAGAATCGTCCGAAAGCATGACCGTCGGCTATTATATAGCACCTCCTCCTCGTTCTCTCCTATGCGTCGCGCGAGCTAGTATATAGTAGCTTGGAAATCTCGAGTGTAATTTATTATATATGCGTCGTGCTTTCGGAATAGTGGTCGCTGTTAGGAGAGAAAAAATAAAAAAAAAAAGTAGAACAATAATGCATCGCGTCTTTCGGGAGCAAAAAAGAAAGGGGACATAATTTATAATATGCGCGCGCGCGCGCGTGTATAAAAAAGTCGTATATTTAACGAAAATCGAGATATGTCTCTCGCGCACCGCGAGTTTACGTACACAATTACGTATAATTAGTAAAAAGTATATGTTTCATAGGTTTTTGCATTGTACATTAGCGTTAAATATACATGTAATATATTTTTGATATATTATTTTTATAAATTATGTTTACATAGGGTATTGGAAAATATATATAAATTTCACGCGTATCGCTTGTTTCTTTTCTTTTTTGTTTAACTTCGAGACTTTGTCATAGGAAATCGTTCACCGTTCGAAACAATATTGTTATAATATAAACGTCAAGCTTGAATTTTTTTTTAATAATATTATTTAGATAAAAGAAGAGTCATTTTTAAAAAATATCTGTTTGTAATCTCGGCTCGGATCTCTGAATAAAAAAAAGGTTTTACAGGTAAAATACATATAATTATTTTAATTTTTAATATATTACACGTCGATATAAGACGAATTGACAAAGGCGTGGATTTGCTGCGCACCCAAGGCTCCAACAAAACTTACCGATCATCGCGTCGGCAATCGCATTCAACGTTTTCTCGACTTCCCGATCTATCGGGCAGCAGCGCGCTCCGCGCTCTGAAAAGCCTGCACACCCGGCGCCGGTAGAGTGGCCTGTTCCGGGCCGTTTCTGGCCTCGGGATCGTTCGCCGCCGCCTCGGAAGTCTTGAATCGCTTCCACTTTCCTGTTGAACAGAAAAAAAAATAACAATTTAGTCGCGCGTAAAAAAGAAATAAGATCCGAGGTTTCAAATACTTACGCGCAACGCGAACCATGGTCACGCCCCACCAGATGCTCCAGCCCCAGCCGACGAGGCAGAACAGCACCGTGAAGAGCTGTGAGACGCCGACGAGGGCGTCGACAACGAGAGCTCCGACTCGGGCCTTGGGACTGGCCGTGGCCGAGAATCGGGGCTGGCCGCAGCACAGATTGAACAGACCCGCGAGCAGAGTACCGGAGCCGGGAATGCACACGTTGCAGATGAGGCAGAGCCAGGCGAGGATCACGGGCAGGCAGGGTATGGCGCCGCGCATCACCGAGCCGTGCTCCACCAGCACATCCGGAAGTTTCGGTCGATTTTCCTGCCGATTTATTATATCGGATTAGCTTACATGGAAAAACTTCAAGTACATGAAGTATGTGGGATTTTCGTACCTCGGACGGAGGAGCAGCCGCGATACTGGCGATGCTGTGCTTGCTGCGCCTCGGCTGGGCAGCGGCCTTCTTGCCCAGGCAGGACGGTCGACTGCAGCAGTTGCAGCTGCAGCAGATCTTGGACCAGAAGCTCCGGCATAATGCAGCAGGTCGACGCTCCGGCGGACAGCAGCCGGTGCCGCGACTCGCTCCCGCGGGCTGCGGCGCGATCTGACTCGGCTTGTGACGTCGCCTCCAGGCCGCCAGTCCTCCACCGGCCCCTGCTCCAGCTGCGGCGGCTCCGCTCGGCCAGCACTTGTTCACCCCTCGGCATCTGCAGGATCGCCGTATCCTCGCCCATCTGCTCTCCTTTGTGATGCCCTTGACTCCTCCTCCTCCTCCTCCCGACTCGGCCGGCTCGGTCAGGTGGGTCGACGAGGCGCCTCGCGGACGCTTGCCCGGCCACGGCACCGCCGCTTTGGGATCGCGCCTGCAGGCCAAACAGCGCATCTGGGACCAGCAGTTCTTCAGGTCGAGCTTGGATCGTGGCGCGGGCCTCTCTCCCTCCTCGCCGTCTGTTCCTCCTCCAGCGGCCGCTGGCCTGACTTTTGGCTTCTTCTTTTTGCTGCGGCCGAGCTTGCGACGCCAGAACGCCTGTATACGTTGCCAGCGGTTGCCACCGCCGCCGGGACTGCTGGAGTCGCCGCCACCCTGAGTCGCCGATTGATCGAGCTGATCGACGCCAGTTACTCTGTTGAACACGCGATTACCATGTAAAGTCAATGATTTTGGTTTCAATAGTCACCGAACTTTGATGCTATAATAAGTACTTAGAACTTTTTTGTCGCGTGATACACGTGGGCTGCAGTGTTAAAAGACGTGTATTACGGTATGACCGCCGCGAGCGTGTGCAGGACACGCGAAAAGAGAAATAGAGAAAGAAAGAGTAGGAAGGGTCGATCGAGTTTATCGCCAAGGCCGTATTAATCAAATCCGTGTACTATACATAACACGAGGAAGCTTGATATCGACGTATGCTGTGGTATTTGCATTTTGTACACTGCCAACTGGTCATACATCATGACGAATTTCGCAACGTTACGTAACGAGAAATTTTTGATGCATTGCATATTATACATAACATCGATCGATCGTCCCGAATAAATGAAAAATAACCGCGTCGCGCTCATTGGATCGCGTAAAGCGAATCGTTGATTATAATAATACGCAGTGAGATCGGTAATAAGTGTGTACATTTACATCGACGTAATTCGTGTCGTACAGTGCACATAAACAGTCGATCGCGGCAAATACTACTCGATACACGCAAAATAGAAGCGTTAGAATTCGATAAAATTCGAAAGCGCAATCCATCAAAAGCTCGCGAAACATAAATTACAACGCAGGTGATGGACGAAAAAAAAAAGGCGCAGGCAAGCTCGTGCGCGCGCGATAAATCGAAAGCTCGCCGCGTGTGCGTTCGCGCGATAGGTGCAGTTTATGGACAGTTCGATTATTGGAAGTCCGTCGTAGCTGAGAAGTGTCGTGCGAGCGGTGATGGATAGTCATTCAACTGGCGCCCGATGCGTAATAAGTTAAACGAATGTCGATGCGTGCCGTTGAACAAGAATTATTGTCGCTTACGTTGCCAAATACGAGCTACCTCGGAGGAGGGTAAGGATCAGGTAAACGCCCTTGGCCTTCGTGACTGCGACGAATCGGTTGTCTTTTTACGCTTTATATAACACACAACTCACCAGCACTGACAATTTCGAAACGATTCGAAAAAAAAAAAACGGGCGACAAAAATAAACGACGTGTGCGCGTCCGCGCGTCGCAAGCTTGCAGGACGGGCACGTCTCGACGACTGGACACACATACAGCGCGGAGCTTTTAAGAAAGCTCTCTCTCTCTCGGCTTTGACTGCGGCACGGAATCGGTTCGAAGGACGACGACGACGACGACGACTTGGAGCGCGGCCGTCTCGAAATAAGAGCAGCAGCAGGAGGCTCGATCGCTTGGCCGAGCTTTCTTCTAGGACTGTGGTCAGTCCTACATGCAAGTAGTTATGCACGTGTGTGTGTGTGTGTGTGTGTGTATAAGTATATGCATGCTGTGTACAATATATGCATATCGTAACGAGGAGAACGTAAGGCGGAGGGGCTGCGCGCGCGTATCCCTACATACGTCCAGCCCTACCTGTGTGTGTATTATAAAGGAAGGGTCAAGCTTTTCGCTTCTCTCTCTTAAGACGCGCGGGGGGTGGTGGACGAAGGAGGTGTACTCGTCACGCGATCGCGGCCAGCGCCGCAAGCACACCTTGATTTTTGCGCGCTCGACTGTAGTAGGTAGGTAGGTAGGTGCTGCAACCAACTCGCATACAACGAAAGAGATCAATATTGTATCCTGCCTCGAGAGAGTCAGTACGTTGAGTCGAGCGCGGCTTTGATTTTCTCGCGAGCCACGCACTCCCGCTTGACCCCTTCGTGCATAGAGCGATCGCGAGCACACGTATACAACACATACTTACACACATGGATAAAAGTTTATCGCGCTGACCATTAAAAGTGAAGGAGCGCGCGAGCGGCTAGTCTACTTTCTCGCTCACCGATCGAGACCAAACGTGTATATGGTAACATCTTAATCGGCCTCGAGTCTCGTTCTCTCGAATTCTTACAAAAGTTGTGATAAAAGTTTGAGAGACCTTAGAAAAAAATGATCTTCCTAGATACGATAGTTAAGGATTCACCTATCAGGATGATATAGATATCATTTTCGGTCTCTCTCTCTTGGGGTAAGTGACCTTGGCGATTGCGCGAGGGGCACGCGATCGACTATACTCTCCACGAGTCTCCGGATAGTCGTCGTCTTTCTACGACGAACGCGACATTTCTCGTGCAACGACGTATCTGTATGCGAGTGTCCGAACCGAGCAGTTATACCACTCGTCGGCATGTGTACGCGTGGGTGTAGAACGAGCGAGGGATAGTAGTACTTTGGCTATTTACGCTCGCGGACACACAGCGACGTTTCTGCATACATTTTCTCTCGGTGCGATATACATTGTATGGTCGTAGCTCGCGTCGACTGATTTACGAGAGTCGCGGGTCCGTTGACGTCTCTTCCGATATATATACAGACATACCGTGCATGTTATGTGCGAGCTCGAATCGACCAGAGAGAGAGAACGGGACGCGCTTAATTATATAAATAACAACCGCACCGATCTATCTTTCGCTGCGTGCGTATTATACCGTGTGGGCTATCTCTCGACTCACGTATTATGTTCCGAGCCGTTGCGCCTGACGACGTTGCCGCTCAGCGTCTCGATCTCCTCGGGCCTCTTGATCAGCAAGCCGCTGCGCTCCTTGGCCGACGATAGCCCGGTCGCGTTATTGCCGCCGCCTTTCACGGTGTCGACGCTGACCCCGGTGTCGGACGAGCGATAGCTGCCGGCCGCCGGCGAGTCCGAGCTTATGCGCACCTGACGCTCGGAACCGTCGGCGCCCGGGTCGGCGTCGGGACTCGGACTCGGTGCCGCCGAGGACGATAGTGAGGCTTGTTTGGAATCGCCGTTGCTCGAGGCGGCTGCCGAAGCCGTTGCCGTTGCGGCTGCTGTTGCTGCTGCTGCTGCACCGTTGGCGACCTTAACGACTTTTCGCGTGAGAGATTTGGAAGATTGACTCTGTTTGTCCGTTTGGTCATCCGCTGTAGTCGTTGGTGTCGATGCCTTTAATAAAGTAAATGAAAAATTAGTGGTATCAGTACCTCGATATCATGGGTCAAAATTAAAAATTATACCTTGACTGCTGCTCCTTGATTACTCTGCTTCTCCGTCGTGGTTGCAGTGTCATTGGTAGCACCAGTCGCTCCGGTTCCAAAGTGCTTGATCATCGTCTGCGTCTTGGTCTCTTGACTGGCCGGACTCTGAGCCGCCGCAGCAGCGTTAGTCGACCCCTTGGTCAACGAGTCGGGCGTCGGACTCGGCCTCGAAATAGTCACCAGTGGACTGCCAGCCGGTTTGTTCTCGTCCTTTTCCTTCTTTTGCTGCTGCTCCAGGGCCGATAATTTGGCCACGAGCTCGGCCTCGGCCAGGACGGCGGCGGCGTCGATCTGCAGCGGCTGCACCGCCGTCGCCGTCGTGGTGTTGACGACGCTCGAGGCGCCGCCCGCCGCTACGGAAGACTGTTTCAGCAGCTCGGCCAAATTGTTGCGCTCGGCGGGTACGACTTCCTCGGGAATGCTGCTGACGTTGTTACGACCATCCTGTACAAAAAAAAAATCGTGTTCGTGTAAGTGTAAAATTTATAGTACTCTTTTTGGTATGTATAAGAGCCGAATGCCGACCTTGGCGCCGTTTATCGTTGGCGCGGGTGGCGGCTTGTCCGCTGTCCCTCCAGTGGCAGTGACCTTGGGCGCGTCGGACACGGCCACAGCCGTGCCATTGCCACGCTGCTGCTGCTGCTGCTGCTGCTGCTGTCTCAGTGGAATTCTCGAGGGCGAGTCCGGCGTCGCGGGAACGGCTGCGGCCTTCGACTGATTTTTGTTGTCACTCGGAGCAGCCTTGGCAGTGACGAATCGTTTGTTGCCCTGGCCGGTATTTTTTGGCGGCACCGCGAGTAGATTCCTCTTGGCTCTTTCCGGTGACGGAGCGACGGTTCTTCCGTCGCGGCCGAGCATCGACGATCTCGGCGCTGGTTTCGGAGTCTGTGGCATTATACAACGAGTATGGTTTAAAGTAGCATGAGAATTCTCAAAGATAGAGCAGACTTTTCAATTAATCGAATGAATCAGTCAAGTAATCAAGCAAATGGATGAATTTGTTTCCACCGATAGACAATTTATTATTTTATTTTATATAATTATAATTACTCAATGGTTTTGAATTATTATAACTCTCTCATTTACTTTTATGTAAAGATGTAGCTATTAAATATTATAAAATAATTTTAAAAATGATTAAAATATCCATTTGTCTATCTTCTGGAAATACATTCATACCTGATAGCTTGTATACCTTATCTGAAAAATATCGATATTACCTTGATAACCGCCACGCCCGGTGACTTTGGCATTTGTTGGCCCCGATACTGCTGTCTACGTCCAGCCGCGTAATGCTCGCTACCACCACCACCGATACCACCTCCGTTCTGTTTTTGATGCTGCTGCTGTTGAGATACCATACTCGAGTTGTAGCGTCGAGCGGCCCTGCGACCGAATTTCGGCGAGGCTCTGTTGTTGCTGTCGAGTCGCTCGTTCTCCTTACTCGCCGAGATCGATCGACTTCGCGCCGGCCTCGGAATCTGGCTACCGTGCCTGGGACTACCGTGTTGCGACTGATTGTTGTTGTTGTTGTTGTTGTAGCGAGAGGCAGCTCGCCCCGAGGGCGACTGGTGAACCGTGCCCGAGGATCGGGACCTGGGCAGCGGTCCCCGAAAGCCTCGACCCCTGAACGGCGACAGTCGACCGGATGCGACTCCTCCGGGCGACGTGGGCCTCGAGGCCGGACTTGGACTGAGGGCCCGTGGCGTGGGTGCTCTGGCCTCGGCGATGATGGCGAAGCTGGACTTGCGCTGCGATCGGGCGCCCTGCGAGTGCTGCTGCACCGGCGCCACCTTGTACGGCTCGGGTGCTCGACTCGGTGGCGGCGAGCGCAGCATCGCCTGCGGCTCGTACAGCACCCGGGCACCGGCCGGCGACAGCACCCGAAACGACGGGGCCGCCGCGGCCCCTCCACCACCTCCTCCTCCTCCTCCTCGCATCATCCTCCTCGCGGATGATCCTGTGTTTGTGTACGAAATCGTTTTGCGCTGAATTTACGAGGATGCGATGAGGGTGGTCGTCGCATGCCTCCTTCCTGCCGTCGGCGACCTCCTCGCCCTGCGCTGCAGCGATAATCACAGCTGCGGCGAGCGTAATCCCATGACGACGACGACAACGACGATGATGTAGATATGAGGCAGATAGTGCATCTATGATCATCGACGTGCATCGGGAATCGAGCTAAGCAGTGCCCTCGTTAACCAGGATCTCCCTCTGCGGAAATGTCAAAATACAAAAAAGCGTCAACGAAATTTTCTTCGACCATAGGATTTAAACGTTTAAATGTGTGAGGAAGGCAATCAAGGGAATTGAACCGGAGCAAGTATGAGGAATATTGCTGCTGATTCATTGTGAAGCCACGCCGCGTTCGTACACGAGTTTTTTTCCCGTGTATATTCGTGGTACGTGAAATATAATTGACATCACGCTGCCGAGTCATAAAGGACAATTTCTATTTCTTGTACCTCCGTAGTAGCGGTTGGACTGCTGTACCATACAGCAGTGTGAGGTGTGATTTATGTTGCACTCGTGTACGTAAATGTAACGACTCAACTTTCTCGCTTATCGGGTAAAGCAAAAAAAAAAAAAGATATTTCATCCTTTCATTTTTTTTTCGCAAGTGTCGACGATGAAAAAAAAGAAAAAAAAAAGAAACAGAGGTAACGGCCCAGAGTATGTGCAAGACGAGCGCGGCCGAGCGACACACATGCCAAGTTTATCGCATCTCTGCTATATAACGACTGCGCGATGTCGAGACTCTGCACTTTTTTTTTGTGTTTCGTTGCACACGGCACACAGCATGCGTGCATGCGAGGCGAGCTTACGGGAGCGATTAATAGAATAATGAGTCTCGGTGTAGGATGGAATTATACAGCTATACGGTGAGATTAAAGCTCGGACTGTAAAATATATATTTTGTATACATACGTTCGTCACTCGACAGCGCATGCGATACTTATATACGTACATAATATATAGCACAGGTAGAGGGCTGCAACTACCCCCGCGCACTTGAAACGAAATTTATATTTAAAAGCTCGCACGATCGCGAGTCGAGACGAAAATAGCAATTTCGAAGCGGCTAAATCAGCACCTGAGAACTCATTGCTCGGCGTTGTGTGTATATAATATATTTTAAAGGGCAGTACATCTCGAGCTATTCATCGCCCCGAAAGATTGATTATAACGTTCCCAGGTATACATATATCGTTGCACCGTCTCTCGAGCACGTGTGTGTCGCGTAGCGTCGCGAGGTTTGCGCTGCATCGCCCCGCCAGCTCGTCGCAGGATATATACATAATATAACGATAATTATACGCGACCCATTTAGAGCTTGTTTTATTTTTATTATTTTTTTTTTCCTTTCCTTTGGCTTTCTCGAGCTGTAAGCCAAAGAGGCAGGCGGGAGGACCTTGGCTGGGACACGATCGCTAAACTCGTAAAAAGGATATACGTACGTACGAGCAAAAGGACGCGGAGTAAACTACTATGCCACTGCGATCTTGAAGCTCTCTCGAGGCAAAGCGTAACCGATATAATGTGTATTATAATGAATCGAGCGGGCGAGACTCGAGTACTTTTTTTTACTGGCGTAACGAGCTTTGTAACGTGCAACTTGGAACTTGGACGTACGCGATTGGTGGTTGATTTTCGACACGTTAATATAATGAGGCAAAAATAAATTAGAAAATGTTGAACTTTCGAAGTTATTTACATTTATAAATATTTAAAAATCAAAGTAACGCGATACTACATGTATTATGATGCAATGAAAAAAAAACGGAGTTGTAGCATCGTAACGTGCACTATGTCCGCTCGAGTTCATCATAATAAATCCAACTCAAGCAATCACAACACATGTGGTATCATAACGTACGATTCGAAAGACGTATTGCAACTCGAATGTAGAAAAAAAAAGGAAAAGAATGTCCGCTGCACATATGCTACATAGTTTCGTCACACCGAGACGAGCATCGAGTGTAAAGTCTATCCATACGGCGGGCTCTAACGTATGTGTGCTTTATACTGCACTCCAGTCGCTGATCGCTGATGCGAGTCACAACAACAACAACAACAACAGCAGCAGCAGCAGCAGCATCAGACACAGTAGCTTGAACTTATTATTACATCGTGCCACGCGTATCGCGGAAACAAGTGCAGCAGCCGATTTATGTATACACACGATCCTGTATATCCATACAGCTGGCGTACTGTAGTACGCGGGGCAGTAGCTCACTCGGTTTCGCTGCGCTAATCGCGCGCACCTCTTATAAGGCCGGATACTTAATATTCGACTGCTGCCGCTGTTTAGGTGAAATTGGGTCAGTTTGCGGCTCTATATAATAATGCATTATATACATAAGAATAACATTGTGTAAATATGAAGGAAAAAAATTAATAAAATAAAACGACGCGCGGTAATAAGTGATTTACTGGGCCGCTCGAGTGAGTTTTATGCTTCCGTTCGCGCGCGCCAGCTCTCGATCGTTCCGTACGTATATATTTATCGTCGCGATATACGCGTGTATACGACGATGATCGCTTGTGTGCATAATTTCGACGGCATACCGATCATCCCGATCTCCAAAGAGATCGATTATTATACATTAGTGCCCGCGCAGTACAGATTGATTTAACCGTATTGGAAAGCAAATTTGTAATTGCAGGAAAACGTCGGCATAAAGAGAGAGAGAGAGAGAGCACGAAGAAATAAAATAAAAGTAAGAAAGAAAAAACGATTGTCGGCCTCTTTCCTGTCTCGATCGCGATTTCTGTTGCATATACGCGCATACAGTACCTTATAGTATATAGCTGTACTCGGAGGGACTAATGAGCTAATGAACGATATATACATAAAAACGTTATACGTACACTACACGCTGTTGATTCGACTTGCCTTTTTTTTTACTCTCTCTCAACTTTATTACAGCGGGGCGCGTGGCGGTTGTGTAGCGGCGCGATTTTCACTATCGTCGTTATCATTATGATTATTATGATTATTATTTTTACTTTACAGCGACACGCACAGATTTTTGCACATTACGTTATTGTACACGTACATTACTCTCGTTTAGGAGCTAATCTCGATCTGACCGTGTATTTATAAATATTGTACGTATGACTCGGAGCACCGTTGAGACTATTTTATGGTTCGCGTACGTGTGTATTATATGAGAGGTATACCGATCGATCGCGTCACGTATTAGTATAGCGCGTCTCTCGACCCGAGCTTTTTCCATGGGGCTTTTGATCAAAATGTAAATTCGAGAGAGTACGAGAGATCGATCGGAGGGCATGAAACAAAAGAGGATGTCAATGATTGGCCGGTATTGACACGTGCTCCACAAATCGAGCTCAAGATCGACGATTTGCTCGAAAGCTCGCGCGTATACTTATACAAAGTGTACCGGAAGTCACGCTTTAAAATCACGATATTGTGTAAAAAAGCCGCTGAGCTGATCTTGTGTGTTTTTTCTTTTTACCTGCGTCGAGGAAGACTTCGATAGGCAGGACGCCGTATGCGGCAGCGAATAATCCCTCCGATGCAGTTGTTGCAACGACGACAAAGTTGGCACTGTAATGTACATACTACAAGTCACTGGTTGCGAGTGCGCGTATAAAACTCGTACAATAAGAAAATCCTGCTGCTGCCGGTCAATCGCGCCACTCTACTACTACTACTGTAACTACGTGCAGTGCCGCGTACAACATAGTGCACCTGCAGCATACACACACACACGCGCGCGATAACACAACGGGGGAGTGTATACAAAAAGGCTCTATCCCGAGTTTCGCGTCCGACGACTACTAGGCTACTACTCGACTCGACTCCCGAGGCGCCTAACTAAGCCTGCGGCGGCGGCGTCAGCAGCGAAATTCTGCTCAAAAGCCGAGGAGCAGCTCTATATATCCTTATACATAGTAAAAGAGCGAGCGAGAGCGGGGCTGGGTCTCTTTCTATTGCGCGCAGCAGGCCGCGTCGAGCCGCCGTCGAGGAGCAGCAGCATTTCTCCCCGCAGGACTGGCCACAAGCGCTAATTTAATGTCTTGGATTTTAAGCGCGTTTTATCCACCGCTCGGCCGAGGTTTGCCGTACGTACCACCACCCTCTCTACCGCCGCCTCCTTACAACACACCTATACGTGTATGCGATGTACATTGTACCCTCTAAATATGTATGCATACGCGTGTATGTACGAGACTGGAAGCCGTGTATACATAGGTATATGTACGCGCGGCAGAGTGAAAAAAAGGGTAATTCTCGTTGTAACTGTACGTTTGCGCGATCGCCGCCGACGAGGGTGGGACGACGTTAAAGTACATTACACGCTGCCGTAGATTGGTTCGCAAGATTTATTATTGCCAAGACGATGAGACCGTGCAACGATTCCGGAGAAATGAAAAAATTATAGAATCGACGATTTTTCGTACTTTTCGAGTTATGCACGTGTGTTTTTGATTTTAGCGACTTGAACGATTTTTTATGACGATTCGATTTCCGCTCGAATGCGCGATACAATCAGTCAACCGATGAACGCCTTTATCATTTTGATGTACGAATCGTGTTTGAAAATTAAACAATTTAAGATACGTTTCATTCTCAGAACGCGAAGAAAACGTTGCTGCACGATTCACTTTTTTTCGCTCGGCCACGCGATCCCAAAGATCGGTAACGATTTTCAATTTAGTTTCCTCGCGCGCTTAGCCTCTATACATCTCTCTCTCGGACGATTGTGTGCACGAAGGTGGGGCCTCTGCCTGCCACCGATGCAGCAGTCGAGGTCACACTCGGCCACATTTCATCGTTTCGAAACGTAGACTCGAAAATCCATTTTCCACGTGCCTAGGCGCATCCGATCCGCAACATTAGCCTGATTGCGAATAGAGGCGATTCTCTCGCTCTCTCTCGCGAAAGAGGAGGGCTCGGCCCGCTCGCACGAGCGTATTCATTTTCCTTTGACACATAACAGGTCAGTCGGTATAATCAGTGTAATATCGGCGTAAAGAAAAAAATTACAGTCCGTCCGCTCAGTTTCCGTTAGAAAGCTCGTGCATCGTTCGTAAACATCACATTATGGTAGTCGTATAATCATTATCACCCCTACCTTGAGTTATTTTTTCTTTTTTTTTTTACGCGAGAAAGTGAAATCACGCCGTGGCCGCTGCCGCCGCCGCTGCGCTTTAGTTTATATCTTGATACATTATACGTCAATTATGCACCTGTGTGTGCCTGCGCCGCACAGCCGAGTGGCAGCTGCATATATATTTCAACGATAATGAAAAATCGTTCCGAATCCGATACACTTCTTCTTTCCTTTTTTTTTTTTTGATAAATCACGAAGAATCCCATGCGCGCACCATACACTACTTCCGTTACACTTTTACCGATCGTTCGGCTTTAGTGTTTCTAGAGGTTTTACGGATTACTCTTTTTTGTTTTGGAATGATCGCGAGCAATGAAAATGTTTGAGAAATCAGGCAACGACGTTGTAAAATGTATATTTGTTTTTTTATTATTTCTATTATTATGTTTCATCCAGCCATATAATATAATCTATAATATATTTACACAATTCTTTAAAAATTCAAATACAATTTTTTTGTTTTTTCGTTTATCAAATGCGAATAGCAACATAATTCAACTGATCACAGAGAGATTCTTTTTTTCGTCTAAAAGCGACTAATAAAAACTTACAAAAATATATAATGCCCGTAATTCATGCAATACGTTTCTCATTTTAATAGACAAAAAATATATATACAACTCAAAGATTTACACACAACAAATAAATTAACACAAAGCGAAGCACAGCTTTATATAAGAAATCAATATCGACGCTTGTCTCGGTTGCGATTTACAATGCACAAAGACTCGTTATACATAATTAAATATTAGGCTTTTCATTTTCCGTTGCGGGGGGATCATTGTCTTGCTTTTTTTTGTTTATTTCTTCTTCTCAATCGTACACCCGAAAATAGGCAGTCGTTACACGTAATGTATATTGCCAACTTTTGTTTTTTGTTATCACAGTATAAATAATACATTGCAGACTGCGATCATACTCAGGCGCTGATCACATAATATTATATTCGATCGAAATTTTTCCTCTTCTTTATTGCACAAACAACATTCACGCAGCCACACCCGAAAAGCTCATTCTCTCTCAGCGCGAGGCAATCGCGTAGCATCGTCGACTTTTCCGAAAAGTCGTTGCTTTTAATTCGCCATTGTTTCGCAAACAACATCTCCCTATATACGTTTCACTCGGCAATTCTTTTGTCGTAGCTTTCTTAATGTATTTTGTCTTTTTTTTCAAATGGTCGACGCATCGTTTTAGGAACTGTATATAATATGTAATCCTTTCGCTTGTCTTATCTGACTTAAAATTTAACGTAGCGCGCGCTTGAAGTTTACTTCAACGATCGCAAGAAGAATAAAAAAAAACCATACTGGATTGCGCACGAGGTATTTCGAGCGTGAAGAAGTTATTTAAACAACAATTGGCAACTGTTCGATACTGCGATTCGCATCGTTTCTCCTGCCGCAGTTCTTTAATATATATTTACAAATACAGCGACGTATTATCATTAGCACAGCACCAGCATATATATATACTCACTCATACACGTACGATAATCAGCTTACACAATCGCATCAATCATAATATCGTACACATTCGCGTCTTGGCGTACTTTTAAAAAAATATCCTTCGGCCTTCTAAGTAGCGGCAAAAATATAGCGATAATTCTCTATTTAGACGATGGAAAATCGACATCGTGAAAAATTGCTTGGTAACCACACATCGCCCCACATTCGCCAATATAATCATTGGCGAAGCTCTCGCCAAGCTTCTGCTCGTCTTACTGTATAATAAATGTGCGAAACTTCCTCTCAACCGTTCATTTCCTTTTCCAGCGACGCGAGTCCGATCCGACCCTTGGTCTTGATCAGCTATACCCGACGTTTTTGCATTTGGCGATACTGCTCGATGGTCAAGAGTTCGGGTGTCGCATCGACCGTGGCGGCGTCGTTGTTGGACATTACGCTCGGAAGACCAGCCGATAATTTCGGATAAAAATCGTCCAACTGTTTGACGCCGCGCTCGTGGAGGCAACTCTTGTTATTATTGACCTTCGGGCAATTGGTCGCAGCGGCATCGTTGAGGTTGAGGATCGGCACGACCACCGCCGGACAGTCGCGCTGCTGCGTCGACTCGTTCAGCCACTGGGTGACCCTCTGCAGATGCTGCGAAGAGTCCTCGACGATCGACGTCGGCTTGATACCCGCCACGGCTGCTGCGGCTACGTTGTTTTGGGCTTTGGCCAAGTGCACCTGCACCGTACTAGGCTTTCCGGCACCGCTCGGGCTCCAGCCACTGCTGGCTTGATGCAGCTCGAGCATAGAGTCTTTCTTGACCAGTGGCTGTGGCTGCGGCTGCTTAAATGATTGCTGTTGTTGAAGCTGCTGTTCACTACTCGACAGACTCGACGGGTCCAGAATGCCGCTGTCGCCGCTGAGACAGGGACTCGTCGCGCTGAGACTCGCGGTGTCGTCGGAAGCCGAAACGTTGAAGCTTCGACTATTTCGCCAATCACGCTCGTTGATCACTTCGAATCGCGCCTCGTTGTTGCTCTCTTTAGCTTGGTATTTTTGCTGTTGCTGCTGCCAACTGCTCTTCCACAATCTGTCGTTAATCAGCTCGATCTTTGCCTTATCGTCCAGAACCATCCCTTTGCTTGGGACTTTTTTCTCATTGCTCACGGCATCTTCGCGAAGACTCTTCTTCTGTCTGTGAGTCTTCTCCATGCTACCGTTTCGCCGATGCTGCTGCTGACTCGTCGAGCTTTTCAAGCTCAACAAGGCGTTTTTGGCGTTGTCGAAATTACTCGGCGTCGATCGACCGTCGCTCGTCTGATTATTCAACAGTCTTTTGCCATTCAGCTCGGTATCCAGCTCGCTAGTCGCGTCCCTGAAGGCCGTCATTTTTTTCATCTCCGCGCGAGACAATTTATTGTTACTATTCGGTGTATCCTTGCCAGCGAAACTCGAGGATTCGAGATACTCCGACTGCGTCTGGGTCTCGGCGTCGGCCAGCAGGACGCTCTTCTGACATTTGCACGTGATGCAGTGCCTTCTCTCTTTCTCTCGGTCCTCCAAGTACACGGCTAAAATAGGTATTGGCACTTCGTCTATGACTGGTTTCGGCTCGTCGACGATGTAATCGTCTTGTTTCTCGACCGATGGAGGCTTGGCGATGTTGTAAACCATGGCTGTGGGAGGAAACGTCGATATGGGAACGGTGATGCGCCGAACTGATTCGCGACTACCGGTGTCTCCAAGACTGCTTGGAGAATTGTACGACCTTACTTTGGCTTGGACTGCTGGTGGTAACTGCAATGAAAAATAATTGCATTGTAATTCACTGGTTGGTTTTAAAATATCTAATGCAATGATTGTAATATACTTACAGATTCATATTTTTGACCAGCATAGTTAGAAGTATTACATTTTAATAATCCAATAGCAAAATTCACATCTGCCCTATATTTTTCCTGCACATAAATTATTTTGATCAATTATCATTTTTTGCAAAATTTATCCAGTGTGAAAATTATGTTGTAAAAAGAAATTGGTGACTCACATTGTCTTGAAATAATCTGTGAATTGTTTCTTTGGCTTCATTTAGCCGGTGTGTCAAGGTAGCCACATCTTTTGTAAACGCATTTTTTTCAGTCTCACATTTATCAACAATTTTCAAAAGCTTATCTTCAAGATTCTGATTGACTTTTTGTACACGCATATAGGCCTCGTTAAGTCTTGTGTATTTATCTTGCCACATGTGCAAATCTTCTTTTAATGAGGCAACCTCCCCATTTGGATGCTTCTGAGCTTCGTGCAAAAACTGAGTCTCCATGGTCATGATATGGTAATCTTTCTCAGCTATGCACTGTCGAAGATTTTGTATTTCCTGATGCAGATGCACATCATTTTGCCTAGATTCAGTCCTAGAGCATTTGTCACAAATGCTGTCACATTCCTGCAAGATAAAATCAGTTGATAAAAAAAATTACATTTTGACGAATGTTTATTTACTCGTACCTGACGTTTAACGTTTTCCATCGCATCCAACGTTCAGTAACAACAAACAATCATAAAAAATAACGAAGAACGTACTGCGTACATAAGGAAAATGCATAACCTTATGCTAAAAAATTCCCAGTAATATTCAGTAATGATCGTCACGATGAATTTAACGCTCTCTCATCGTACTTCCAGCTTCAACTTTCTGCAGAAAAAATTTAGTACGTCAAATGAAACATTAATTAAAAGATCAACAGATGTTTACGATCAAACTGTAAAGTGTTCAACGCACTTCCTTACTTTATGACGTGCAGCAAAATATTAGCCAACGCAGACGACGCACATTTTCACGATCATCATCATCTCAGCCAGCAGACCAAGCAGACTTTCGAAATGATTGTTGTTGCCAAATTCATAATGAACATTTAATAAAGAACGCATAAATCCAAATTACACAAGGTCACTGAACAAGCAAACAACATTTACGCCGAGTTGAACTTTTGCTTCGAAATCATGACTGCTGCTGCTGCTACTGCTTCTAGATCGACACGCCAATGCCGTTATAAAAGCCAATGAGTGCTGAAGATAAAGCTTCGAATGATCGCTTTGTGCTTGTATACGTGAGTCTGCAGCTTGATAACAGCTGGGTGAATCAGTGTCGTATGTGACAGATGGCGCTAGTTGCTGCGCATGCCAGAATGACATTTACGGAGTTTCTATCCCCACCAAGTCTCTTTTCCCGACCATGTGGTGATCTTAACGTTTGGTGTTCGGTAGTCGGCGTGAATGAAAATTGCACGTGTAATTTTTCAACTTTGAGCCATTTAACTCGTTGTTTAAGTTCATAAAATAATTTGACGTAAAGAGATTGACATAATGGGTAAAAATAAGCGAATGATGAACAGAGACCTTCCTAATATTTTAATAACTGGTAAGAATATTATATTTGAACGTCAATTCTATGTTTATTATTATGCTCTTTCCTTAACTAGTACAGTATATAAGCTTTTCAATAGAATTTTATAATTCAAGAAATGTTTGAAGTAATTCTTTTAAATTTTTCAAAATAGGCACACCAGGTACTGGCAAGAGTCATATGGCCAAAAAATTGTCAGAGGCTCTTAATATGCAATGGATTGATGTTAGTAAATATGCTATTGAAAATGGTTGCATAGAGGAGTCTGATGATGAATACAAATGCCCATTTTTAGAAGAAGACAAATTGTTAGATCTCATGGAACCTATCATGTGTCAAGGAGGAAAAATTGTAGATTATCACTCCAATGAATTATTCCCTGAAAGATGGTTTGACATTGTCTTTGTTTTGAGAACCGATAACAAAATTTTATATGAAAGACTGGTTGCCAGAGGGTACACTGGCAAAAAATTGGAAGACAATGTAAGCTGTGAAATTTTACAAACAATATTGGAAGAAGCTCAGGAAGCTTATGATCATGAAATAGTTCATGAGTTAGACAGCAACACTCTTGACCAAGCAGACACAAATGTAGAAAGAATACTTCTGTGGGTCAATAATTGGCTTAAAGACAATAAAAAGAATTAAGATGACAACAAGCAGATGATAATAAATGTATAATAAAAATGATAATTACATGAATATTGAAATAAATAAAAAATGTTTGTAATTCAATATTATATTTATCCATACTAATTTACAAATTTAGTATTTACATTTATTACATTTGTATGTACAATTATTAAAAATTTATTCCACAATGCCAAGAGACTGCTTAAGGTTTTTCAATCTAGATTCAATACTAATGTAGTATTTTAGTTTTATTAACTGTCTCTGAGCCTGATCTATGTCATTATTGTGAAAAGCATCTGATATATTTCTGAAAACATTATAAAGATTATAAATATGTATTTTTAAGCTTTATACCTAATTTTTATATAAATGTATAGTTACTTGGTTAAAGACAGTATCTTTGCACGGTTTTCTTCAAGAAATTTAAAGACTTCATCTTTATCTTTGGATGCTTCTTCTATTTCTTCATTTTTTTCCATAACTTCCATGAGAAATTCTGGATCTGAACTATTTGTTTCATCTGACAATGTAATTCCTTGCAGTTTTAGCATATAAAATCCTCTTGTCATTGGATCCAGTAAAGTACTATAAGCTTTATTGATCAGAGCAGACAGATTTTCAGAAATTTGTTTCTCAGCCTAAAATCCAAAATCAGTGAATCATACAAACTAAGTAACTTATATAATAACAAAATTGTTACCTCTGATTTTTGTCCATATTTGTCTGGATGCAGAAGTCCTTGCAATTTTTTGTACTTCTGTTTAACAGTGTTGACATCAATATCAAAGCTTTTTTCAACTCCAATAATATCAAAGTAATTCATTTCTTGTGGTAACTTTTGTAACGCCTTGCATTTGGAGCAAAACAATTCAGATTTGTGAGGAAAATCACATTGCCAGCATTTGGGTGGGCCATGATTGAATCGTGGATGGCTACAACATGACTGCAGGGGTTGTAACGTTAGTTTCGGCAGCACATGAACGTAAGAACGAGATTCAACACTGCATAATGTAATGTTGAAGATTGAACAGTACTTTTTATTCAGAGTTCTTCTAAGCAGCGACATATTTTCAACTGTTTCACATTATTTGGTTAACTCAATAATCGATCTATAATCAAAAAATTAACATCACAATAATTAACACTCAATATCTACTGAATGACTATCAACTATGTAATATCGCAATATCGATAAGATATAGCACACTGACATTCATATAATCAAAAATATCATACTTCATGCAGCTGAATTACAATTACTTTTTAGACATACATCGTTAAAAAAAGTTCAGATAAGCACTATACTATTAAAATATTTTAATAAATTTCCATGGCCGAGAAAGTCAACTGCGGCGACAAACATAAATGCGACCGCGACTGAATAAATGTATGATCAAAATCTATGTTACACAATGTTTACATCTTTGCGAGCCGATTTCATTTCAGAAAGCCCCGAATTTCATGTGCCAAATGCCAATACTTACATACACAATAACAAGGTTTAGCTTTATACTCGCAGGGGACCAGCTGATTTCGCTCAGCGACGTTAGGTTATAATTGAAAAATATCTGCGCTAAATCACAGCAGTCAATAAGCAACAGCAAATGAGACCGAATTGTTTAATTTAAACTTCACAACTGAACGTAACACACATTACAATTTATTGTTGCAATGTTACTGACCAGGTTTTTTTGCAAGAACGTGCCGATTACGCTGCGCTTTTTTAGTACATCGTCTCGAGCGAGGCCGCTCTGCACAAAATTGCCCTTGAATCGTCAGTCGTCGGCGAATTTTTTAAAAAACAGAATTAACCAGCGACAGTGCAGGCATTGCTCCAGTGAGTCGCAAAAAAATCATGTGCTACTACCAGCCCTCACAGATGATCAGAAACTCGTTTGGCCAGCCTTTTTCAAAACGTGGAAAAGCTTTTTTACAAGTAATTTTGTAATAACTCCTCAATTAGATAAGGATTTTAATATTCAAGATTTTTCCGAAGGGGCTAAACAAGTAAGTTGTTTGTATTCAATTTTTCGCAGCTTAAAAGTGATTTGATTTTAATTCCTTTTTATTACTTCAGGCTTTGAGTGTTGTAACAAAAGCTTTAGCTAGTGAAGATTATGATAGTATAAGTGATTTAGTCTCAGGAGATTGTTTGCAAAAATTAAGACAAAAAATTAGTTCCTTGACTCCACAACAAAGGTTTTTAATTGCTGTTGAAAAGGAAGACATTTACATAACATTTCCTTATGATATTGAGGTAATATCAGGAAGGGATCACAATGGCCAAGGTAAATAATATAGTACTATAATGTTTGTTGATGTACTTACTCCGATGAATATTTGTTTTAGAGTACAAATTTGGAGAAGTCATGTTTATATTTCACTCACTCAGAGGACTCAATAGAATGAGATTAGAAAATAGAGAACCTCCATTGAATATGGGTATGTTACCGGAGTATCAAAGGCTCATGTTTGTGTCAAATTGTAAATTTGTTAAAAATTTCTTGAAAGAAGATTCCATCTGGACTATAAAGTCATTGAATCACTTTATGCCAATTAATCTGGAAAACTAGTTGATACTTAATTTATTGTTTTCAGTGTATTATATTATAGATATGAAGATTTATTGTCAGCAAAGGTTAATTTAAAATGTATAAAATTTTATTTCATACTTTCAGTATTTACAGAGTTTCTTTTCAAAACTTTCCAAATTATATTTTACACTTGTTTTTGAACATATGTCTAGAATTAATATGAAAAGATTGTACATAGCTTTGATGAATATCATAAAACTGATTAAGACCTACAATTTGTATTAATTTACATTTCTTTTTTTTACATTTACATGTATTAATGTACATATTTACAACTTCATACTAAGAAAACATTGTAAGTTCAAATTACTAAAAAATAGTTTGAATGTTTAAGACAGGTCATTCATCAAAATTATTTGATTGAGATTTGATTAACGTAAAATTATTTAGTTCACATAAAATTTCTTAATTAAGAAAAATAATCAAGTTTCAAATTATTATCAAATAATTTGAAAAGTTCATATCTTTCATTTTAAGAATTTTACTTATAAATAATTACCAAAAAATAGTTCAGTCAAGTAATTCTGAATGTATAGACAAGTACAAACCAAAAGTCCTCATGAAGTAAAAATATGAATTCACAATTGATATCAAACAGATTCGTCGACAGATTTAAGGAGAGTATCACACCAATTTCGAAGACCTAACGTAATTAATATAAATTATGCTACTTCGTGGTAAAAAAAACTAATACAGAATTAATTATACTCTCCTCAAGAGCAGAAATTTAGCGAATCATTCTAACATCTACAATTTTTTCATTGTACACTTTTCTTCAAGTTGTACGTTGTACCGATTCTTCTGAATTTTTCAGTTCTTTCGATTTATTTGAATTTCACGCTGATTCCTTTTCTTGTACAGATTCTTCGATCGTTGACGAGTTTTATTGGTCCTGCAATTACCTCCTACTTTTTCCTCTTCTTCTTTTAATGATACGTTTATACTTTAAAGTATATATGGTACTTCGAATAGTCCCTACTTCCCTCTCGTGTCTGGTTCTCCATCTTTCGGAGTTTTGATTGATTATAATGTCAATTTTCGCCACTGCATGCACGATTTCTTGTTGGTGCCGATATGATGGTCGAATTTTGTGGTGATTGCAGAGGCTGATTTACCAATATTATATTATTTGGTGGTAAAGTTTACAAATCATTACTTGGTGATCTCGTTGCTGGTGGCGAACCGTTGAGTCCTGGCGATCCATTCGACGTGTCGATCGACTTTTGCGGTGATTTTTTAACCTCGTCTACCGATTTCTTATTTTTTGGTGTCGAATCGCTACCCCGCGAGACTTTTTTGATCACTTTTCCGAACATTGACGATCGTTTCGGCGTGTCAATCGAGTTTTGCGGTGATTTTTTAGTCTGGTCTACCGATTCCGTATTTTTTGGTGTTGAATCGCTACCCCAAGAGACCTTCCTTACCACTTTTCCGAATATTGACGATCGCTTCGGCGTGTCGGTCGAGGTTTGCGGTAATTTTTCAGTCTGGTCTACCGATTCCGCATTTTTTGGAGATAAAGTTGAGTTTTGCGGTGAGTTTTTAGCCTGATCTACCGATTCCGTATCTTTTGATGATGATGCTGGCAAGTCGCTACTCGTTGAAAATGCGATGCTTTTCGATTCTTCGGTCGGAGTTTCGACTGGTGATACCGTTACACTTCCACCAGACATTCGATTTACGAATACTGGTGTCATTTCTGTGATGGGCGGTGGGGTTTGCTCAATCACCGCATTTTGCGTTGACGAATTAGATGGTGTTAAATTCAGCGAGACTAAATTCGATGCAAATATATTTATTGGTGTCATTGGTGAGTCACGGGGACTAGGGATCGGAGTTCCGATTGGTGTTACTGTTACATTTCCACCAGACCACATGCGTCTAACGATTATTGGTGAGGATTCAGCGTATCGCTGCGATGCGTTGCGCATGTCGTCCGGATTTTCCGGTGATGGCAGAAGCTTATCTATCGGCTTTATCTTACTTGGTGTTAAAGTTGTCGAATTGGAACTCAGTGGCAATGACAATACTGATGGCGATCGGTTGGGCCTCGACGTTGGGTTAGGCATTTCGTTCGGATTTGGCGGTGTTTGCTGAGGGTGAATTACCGATCCGGCATTACTCAGTGGTGAAGCTAGCGGTTGGCTACTTGGTGATAATAATGTTACTTCAGGAGATCTGTTGAGCGTCGGCGATCGACTAGGCATTTCGTTTGCATTTTGCGATATTTGTAAAGTCTGATTAACCGATCTTGTATTATTCGGTGGTAAAGTTAGGGGTTTGCCTTTAGGTGGTAATGTTGTTACTTGGGGAGATTCGTAAAGTGATTTATAAGCCTGATATACCGATCTTGCATTATTTTGTGATAAAATTCTTAGGTCGCCAGACGGTGTGGAATTCTGATGCCCATTCGATCCATTTGTCATTTTTAGTGCGGATCCGTTTGTCATTTCTGGTATCGATCCGTTTGTCTTTTCCGGCGCCGATGTTTTCAATTTCGGCACTATTTTTGGTGTAACGGTCGAGTTTGTCGGTAATTGTTGAACTTGGTCAACCGATCTCGCATCATTTTGTGATGCAATTCGCGGTTCTCGAATCAGGGCGAGATTCTGATATGCATTTGATCCCTTTGTTATTTCTGGTGTCGATCCTTTTGCCATTTCCGGTGCCGATATTATGAGTTTCGGCACTATTTTTGGTGTAACGGTCGAGTTTGTCGGTAATTGGACTTTGTCAACCGATTTTGCATCATTTTGTGTTGAAATTCGCGGGTCTCGAATCGGTGTGAAATTCTGATATGCATTTGATGCATTTGTTATTTCCGGTGCTGATCCGTTTGTCATTTCCGGTGCCGATATTATGAGTTTCGGCACTATTTTTGGTTTATCGCTCGAATTCGACGGTAATTGGACTTTGTCAACCGATCTCGCATCATTTTGTGATGAAACTTGCAGGTCTCGAATCAGGGTGAGATTCTGATATGCATTTGATCCGTTTGTTATTTCTGGTGCCGATCCCTTTGCCATTTCCGGGGCTGATGTTTGGAGTTTTGGTACTATTTTTGGTGTAACGGTCGAGTTTGTCGGTAATTGTTGAACTTGGTCAACCGATTTCGCAACATTTTGTGATGAAATTCGCGGGTCTCGAATCGGTGTGAAATTCTGATATGCATTTGATGCATTTGTTATTTCCGGTGCTGATCCGTTTGTCATTTCCGGTGCCGATATTATGAGTTTCGGCACTATTTTTGGTTTATCGCTCGAATTCGACGGTAATTGGACTTTGTCAAGCGATCTCGCATCATTTTGTGATGAAACTTGCAGGTCTCGAATCAGGGTGAGATTCTGATATGCATTTGATCCGTTTGTTATTTCTGGTGCCGATCCCTTTGCCATTTCCGGGGCTGATGTTTGGAGTTTTGGTACTATTTTTGGTGTAACGGTCGAGTTTGTCGGTAATTGTTGAACTTGGTCAACCGATTTCGCAACATTTTGTGATGAAATTCGCGGGTCGCGAATCAGGGTGAGATTCTGACATGCATTTGATCCGTTTGTTATTTCCGGTGCCGATCCGTTTGTCATTTCCGGTGCCGATATTATGAGTTTCGGCACTATTGTTGATTTATCGCTCGAATTCGACGGTAGTTGGACTTTGTCAACCGATTTCGCATCATTTTGGGCCGATTCCGCATCATTTGATCTGTTTGCCATTTCTGTTGTCGATCCGTTGAGTTCCGGCAATTGTTCCGGCTCATCAGTCGAGTTTGTCGGTAATTGTTGAACTTGGTCAACCGGACCTGCATTATTTTCTGCTAAAATTTGCACAACATTGCTCGGTGTCAATACCAAATCATTATTCGAGATCGTATATATCGGGCTCGACTTGTCTTTCCATTGCACGCGTTTAATTTTTTCCGGGCTTTGCAAGGGCGTCTTTACTTCTCCAAGTGGACCATTGTCAACTTGCTCTTCTTCCGCACCCCCATTATTCACTTCTACTTTCGGCTCTTGTTTCTCATACTCATCACTCCAATATTCCTCGTCCGACATCCAATTAGATGCTCTTTGTGAGTATGCTCTGTTCGTCACATTTTCCTCGTCCGAAAGCGACCAGTCGTCTGGGGCTGGCATCGAATTCGGTGGCATTGCTGTAGCCCATATCGCGCATCCGTTCTCTCGCGTCGGTGGAGCTATTGTATGCGGCGCAGGTGGTGGTCGTGGTGGCGCCGGAATTATGATTCCCTCTACTGGAGCGATCATCTCGTCTGCGGTGATTTCGTTCAATTCCAAGATAATTCCTGGAAGATAAGCTAACACGTCCAGAACAGCCGTGGTTGTGTCATTCTTCCCGCAAATAACCTTGACCAACAAGGCGGCCTGTCGAAGAATCAACGTTAGTTTTCTTTTTTCTCTTTTTTTTTAATTGTAATAGTATTTTTTTTCTCGATAATTATACATTAACGCGTACCCTTGGATTGTTGATATACCAAGTATTGTTATTCAACACCCTTGCGATGTCGCGGGTCGATTCATCTCTTTCATTGACAATACTGGCCTTGTCCCAGGGTTCGACCAAGTCCTTCAATTGGACCACGACGGAATTCTGGAAAATGTCCATGTGCAGCTTTATATGGGCTCGGCCACTCGCTGGCTGCGGTGCGAATTCTAAATCCACGACACAATCCGCGGAGAATTTCAGACTCTCCGACAATTTGTTTATCTTCGCGCAGGTATATTCTGCGAAAATCAGAAAGTTAATTTTTCAATTCGAACGAATGGGCTTTGGTTAATGATCGTAGATCGCTCACTGCGGTGTGGAAGTTCGATAAGTTTGAATGGCTGAGTGACCGACGTCGAGTACATAGGGATCTGATAATGTAGCTTTCCTCTCATAGCCAGACCGACTTCTAAAATTGCGAGGAAAAAATTACTCTTTGTCTACGGACTCACGCTCCGATCTCCTCGCGCTCCACACACTCACTTTGACCGAGTTTCTCGAAGAGTTGATTGACCGGGATGTCTTCCAGCGGCAGTAAGCTACCGAGGCTGCTCGCGTAAATGCCATTATCGGACTCTGTGTCCTCGAACGCCGGACGATAGTAGGACGTCGAGTAGGCCTGCAGCAAGTTCCACTGAATACCCACACCGTTGCTCCAGCTGGTCGTCGTCGGAGCCTCCCGATAAAGTTCCGGATTGTCCTTCCTGTTTGCGAAAAAAAATCAAGCCGCGGCAAAAAAAAATTAATAAAGTTTCTTCGATAAGCGAAATCATCCAGTCGCGGGCTTACGGATCAATGCTATCTTGACACATGTCCAAGACGGTGACGAGCAGCGTGGGATTTGCCACCAAAGTGGTCGTGAGCAGGGTGCTCTCGCTGATGTCGTGAGAGTGATCGAAGTACTCGGGAGCGTCGATCGGCAATATGTAGTTCTCTTGGATTCTGTAACCGTGTCCCACGTAGTAAAAGAAACCTGCGCAGTGATTCGCATTAAATCCCACCGCATTACCAAAAAGAAAAAAATATGTGCATTACCATAATAGCCATCGTTTAGGTAGGTCCCGAAAATTTCGAAGGCTTTGATCATCTGTTGTTTCGTCAGATCCTCGAAAACCATCACCGTGAATCCGATCTGTTTGAGCGCCAACGCCACGAGCTTGGCGTCGGCTTTGGCCGTCGCGAGGGGCTCGTGGTACTTGTACTGTTGATTGGCTATCACCAAAGCCACTTTTCCTCGGAGAATGGGCAACGGACTGCTCACCTTTATTATACATACGACACGCGTCACAAATCATCGTCGAACGAAGAAGAGGTGTACGCAGAAAGTAAAAAGAGAAAAAAAAGTCGTCGTCACCTACCCACACGTGCGTCTGGTGGCTGTGATCGTCGCTAACACTGTTGGACACGCGGCACGTGTAAAGGGCGGTGTCCTCGATCTGGCAGTTGTCGATCTGCAAAACCGAGCGATTATAATTCCAAGCTTTCGGCTCGTTGTTGTCGTTATCGTCGTCGACGTCGTTGTTCTCTTGCGCCGCTTCTTTGTCCGGGTAGTGTGAGTGGATGAGATCGTTGTTCCTGTACCACTGGAAGAGCAGATTCTCCGGATAGCCGATCGCCCCACAGGAGATCTTCAGAGTGCCGCCGACGTTCACCTGGACGGAGGAGGGCGGTTGCTCCGTGACGCGCACCGAGATGGGCGACATGTCGATCCTGAGCCCGCGCGACTTCTCCTCGCGCGTGCTGTCGCCGTGCTGGTCCACCTGTCGCACCACGCACTGATACATGCCGACTTGCGAGCTCCTGCAAAGCGGAAAACGCACAATATCGATCGAGGTGAGATTTTAATGTTGGAAGGAAATTTTTGCGCGTGTATAAATTACTTTGTCATGGTGATCGTCAAAGTTGATCTGGTTTGGCCTTCCAGGGCATCGTCGTTGAGGTACCACTGGTATCGCGGTGGCGGCAGTCCGAAGGCCTCGCACTTGATGCTAATCGTATCGCCGTGACGGATGTAAATCTTCCTTTTCTTTTTTCCGAAAGCGTCGTGCGGATGACGAATTATCTTGAATCGCACTGCAACGAGGTTCGATTGAAAAGTTCACGTACTTAAGGTCGATTAAAGGGCGCAGTGGAGAAAGAAAAAAATGCAAGCTCGCATACCAGGCTGGCAGATGACGCTCAATGCGCCGAACATATTCAAGTCCGACAAAACTCTGTGCAGAACGCCCACGTCGCCGCCTTTGCAGTTCATCTCTTCGATGAGCCTTTGGGCCGGCGTCTTGTGCGGTTCGCGATAGTTCGGTATGGCCAGGCTCTTTATCCAATCTCTAGAATGAACAAACAGGCGTGTAACGAACGCAATCTATTGCAAATGATAGCAGCAAAGAAAGGGAGAAAAAAAGGTCAGCACGTACTCGCCGTAATGTATTATTGGAGCCAAGTACTCGGCCACCTTAATGTACTTGTCGTCCTCGTTCAGTTCCTTGTAGAGTTCCAGCGCCATCCAGTGCGGTAACGATCTGAGATCCAAGTCCGCTGGACATTCCGGCTTCAATATGAGCTCGACCGCTAATCTTGATGTATCGAATATTATGGAACAAACGAGTATTAAAAAATATCGTATCTTTTTGGCGCTCTTAAATTTGAAATTTTTGATAATCTAAGCGTGATACGCGCTCATGTGTGTGTGTGTATATAGTACGCGAATAAAATCGAGCCGCTGCTTGCTTATCGGCTGGCGCCCTCTCTGGTAAACGGCGCGACGTTTTATACATTATACGCATAGAGCTGCTCGTTCTCGCGTCACGGTGTAACATTTACAAACACGAGATATTCGCACACACGCACACAAGCGTGCGCACAACACAACAACTCCCGTACAGACTTTTGAGACTCTCTCGCACACGCGACACTTTCGTGTACCGTAACGTCGTCGCGATGATAACCCGAAGTGAAATTGGTAATTGGTAATACTTACTGGCCGTTATCCTGACCCGAGGCCTGCTCCTCGTTGTTCGATGATGAACCAGCCATCGCGTTGTTTATCTATATCGTCGTGCTGCACAATTGCGACGCCGACGGCAGGGAAAATTATCAAACCGATTTTTCTTTCCTCTTCTTATGGGTGACTGCTCGTTAAGTTGCTGGTTGTAATCGAGGAGAGACACTTTCGTCGATCGTTCGACGCGCGGCACTTTCGCTCGTCTGTGAGCCCCGAATTGCGTAGATCGCGCGGATACCACCGTGCGAGTGTGATGATCCGAGATCTTGTCGATTTGCAGACTCAACTCGTTATGATGACTGCCAGTAGTTTTACAAGTATATACACAACACATATCGCGTACGCGTGCTCCTCGACTCGTCGTCTTCGTCTGGTGTGTGACACTCACACACACGATATGATTGTTTGTATGCGTGCGTGAGCGTACATGTATTTGCGTGCTATATCTGTATCTCTTGATGCAAAATACATGTGTGCGTGTGCTTGTCACATGTGTTATGTTGAGTGGCCCCTCGGCTGAAAGGAGATGGACTGAGGAAAAATCTTCGCTTTCACTGTTTGGTTTTTGTATGAACCATCGGGAGCTCTCGATCGTGCTCCAAGTTCGATGAAAATCTAAATAAAAAAAATTTTAAAAATTATCCGATCAGTGTTAGGGAAATTGATAGTAAAGTAGTAAGTAGTATTTGCTGATAACCGTTTGTGCTTGTTGGAACACGGAAAGCCATATGCGTAAATAGACTTTGAAAACTACGAGTAAAAATATAAATAAATTTTCTAAACACGGAAATCTCAATGAAATGTGGAAACCGGTATAGAAGATGAATACTTTTGCAACTTTGTTCAAAAATTCCCAAGAACAATTTTTTCTTGTACTCAGAGAACTGTACTTGGCCTAGAGTAATGATGCAGCAGCCTAGAGTTATTCCAAAAATTCTGAAAATTCATTTTGGTATTTTTCATGGTCGCGATAAATTCGACATTCTCTTTTAAAATTTTGGATTAACTCTTATACAGTTTTGTATGATTCATTTTACTTATGGCATGTTCGTTTGTATGAAAAATAAATCATAAATGAAATTTTACGCGCACGCAATTAAAATCGCCAATTAAATTACAATTAAATTCAAACGAGCGTCGGTTATACTAATACTAATTGGTATACAACTTGTATCGGAAGAATAAAAACTTAAAGCGCCTCGGTAGATATCTTGAAATATGTTTTTCAAAAAATCATCGTCTATCAATTAGTGTGCAATAACATTTTCGCGTTGTTTGCGTTTCGCAAGGTAAATCGTAGAACAATAGTTCGATTATCACAATGATGCGAGAAATTACACCTTAACTCAATAAAATTTTGACTACTTTTCTTTTTAACACCATTTTACCCGCTCGCCGTGGAAAGAGTAATCGATCAATCAAAATTCAACGATACACAAACGTTGCACGTGTGAAGCATTGCTTAATCCAAACGTCGAAGCTGTCCAAAGTTGTTTATCCGTACTCCAAATCACGGCTACATCCGCAAACGAGCGGATACTAATTATATACTCTCAGCTTTCCCCACGAAAATATAAAGGTAGTGTTACGAGCATCTAATTTCCGTGCATTGAATTTTAAAAATTAAAGTACTGCACGCCATACGCGCTCCAATGGAGTCGACTCGATGCCATTTTATTACGTTACGCACATAGAAATAAAAAAGGGATCTAAGCGCTCGCGTGTGTGCGTGTGCCTGCTGTCTCTGTGATGTGTGTGTGTGTGTGTGTGTATACATTGGCTCATGGCTGCTGCAGCTGTCGCATCAATTTGGGGTCAACGAACGACTACTCCTCTCCTGATTATGCAACCTATATAGTGTGTCTCCGTCGAGAGAATCTCGACTGCCGCTGTAAATATTGGGGATAATGACACACATATAGTCATGAGTTAGCGTTGATTTGATTCAACGACTCTCTGTACATTTTTTTTTTTTAATCACGTGTGCACGCGTCGCAACTGTCAATTTTTTCTCTTTCGTTTAACGATCGACGTGCGTGCGAGTGTAAATAAACACGAAGTTGTATATTCTGATCGAACGTTGACTACTCACGGAGAAAACACACACACACACACACACACACACAGTCATAAACAAGCCGGAGGGGATGACGGTGACGGTGGTGGTGGTGGCGCGCGCATAAACACCGCATCTGTCGCTCCGTAAGTTTACCCACCCCTATATATTCATCGGTGCAACGTCTCGTTGTCTCGTCGCCCCACCATATGCCGAAGGGTCGGTAATTGGCTTTCAATTTTTCTGTTTTCGGGCTCGAGTTTCATCATCGTGCGGGATATAACGATTCTCGTTGTCGAGGGTATTTAAAGTTCTTGACCGTCTCGAAACCAAACGCGCGTCGTTATCAGTCTCCACGAATCCGCGCGAGCGAGCGAGCTGTAACTGCAAGCGGATTCTGTGCAAATTCTTTTTTTACTGGCAAGCAAGTCGTAACTTGTTGATGACTGACGACATCCTGCGATGCTATTGCACGATCTCGGGGCTACGCAAAAAAGTAATTGATAATAATAATAATAATGATATTATTAGGGTATTAGCTCGATTGAAAAGAAGACGATTCGTAGACCAAAATCCTTAAGAAAAAGTCGAGTGTTGAATGTCTTACTCGAGAATGGAGTTAATCGTCCATTGTCAATATTATGTAGCTCGACCTGCTCACCAACACCAAACCAAATGTCGTATATAGTCGGCGTTCTAGCTAGCGGCAGGTAGTAAAATGACTAATACTATACAATGTCGCCGTATACAGTACGCGCAAGCGCACCGTTTGACTCGCCGAACTAAAGTCAAAGTAACAGAATACGATATTGTAGTACGCTATATACGCATATATGCACGTGTGTGAGTGTATGCGTGTTTAAAAACTACTAGGCTTTTTTCGTGCGTTCTCCGTAAAATATATTGAAGCACGGCGCGCATGTGGCTCCCGCACCGACTAAACCGCTTGTCTTCAACGAGCTAAAAAGAGACAAACTCGGAGTTTTGGTTATGATGATGTATACGCGTGAAAGAAAAAGAAGGAGAGAGACCTTCCACTATGGACACTATACTGGTATAGCTTACTCGAATAATGCCATGTCCATACAATAACATACTGTCCCCGTGCACGAGGCCGTATTTTTCCTCCCTTTTTTTTGCTTGCGAAAACGTCCACATTTACGTTCGTAAGTACACCGACGTGCTCGCGACAATGGTGTAAGCTTCGCGATTACGTTCGGCGCAAGTTCTTCACTCCGAGGACGAATTATCTCATTGTCAACGAGTGCACTAGTTAACGAATGCACACACAATTATATCGCGTCGAGGTGACGAAGGTACAAAAAAAAAGGAGAAGAAGAAATAACATATCACGGTGTGTCGGTCGGTCGGTGCTGCTACTCGGTGGACGTACGAACGATCTCTTCTCTCTCTTTACCTTGTGCAATTTGCGAGGCGTGCGCATACTATACTGACAAATGTTGTGTCTTATATAGGCTAGGTCTCTGCGTTATGTATATGTGTAGGTGCAGCAGCAGTGTATGCATTTACGAGAGAGAGACGGCGAGCGAGCGATACGTGATTGCCTCCTCTGTATAGACGTGCGTGCGTACGTGTGTTGAAAATTCGACGCCTCGCAGCAGCAGCAGCAGGCAGCAATCGTGTTAGTTGCACAGCACACGCGTTTTTTTGACAAACCGAAGATTCTCTCTCGATTCTCATTCGCATTGCGAGCGATAGAAGTAGGGAAAAGAAGAGGAGGAAGAAGAAGAAAGACGTCGAGGAGGCGTGTGTGTGCTTTCAGTGCGAACTCGCGAGTATCTATAACATTTGTTTGAAATCTCAGCGTGACGACGACGAGCCTCGCTCTCGTCGATCGAAAGCACGCGAAAGTGACAAATATATAAGTTACAATAATAGAGAGAAAGAAACGTTCTGTGTGTGGTGCGTATATAAAAAAGTCGAACACGACATCCCCCCGTTCGACATTACAATTGCGTGCGTGCGTGCGTGTTCGTGGCTTGCATCAACAGCAGCAGCACCAGCCGTAACAGTCAATTTTTGGTCGACGCACCTCGAGAAATTCGCGGATGCAATAAGCTCGAGATATACGCGGATCATCTCTCGTGTGCACTAGAGAGACACAGCAGAGATTTATACGTATAATACCACGAAGCAGGTCAAGCAGCGGGATAGTCGTGCACTAGAGATCGACAGCGACGACGACGACGTCAGTGTGTATCGCGCGCACAGTGCAGCATATTATCGCGTTTAACAATTGTTGTTCCCCGATCGCGTCGTCATAGTCATCATCGTCATCGACATCCTGCAAGTGATCCGCGAGAAGTCGCACGCGAGGATCGTCGAGATCGCAAGCCCGGACTCGCGCGCGCGATAGTCGCGAGTTTTTTTACAAGTAAAAAAAAAAAAAAACATTTTGATAAAAGACAGAGAGAAAAAAAATTGCCAAACGGCACGCGGCACGCATACAATAGTCGCGCACATAGAGAGCTGTGTGCTGAGGCCGTGTAGTTGCTCTATACTACTATCCTCGGTACGCTCTCGGTGCGTGCAGTGTGGAAATGCGAATTACGCAGCCTGCGACGACCTCGAGTAATATGCACAACGCTGCCGCTGTCTCGTGCCGCCTGCAACGTACGACGAGCTCGTGCCCATGCTTCTCGTATACGCTCTTCAAGTCGAAGCTCCGTCGTAGTATCGTCATAAGCAACATTAACAGTAGCAGCATCAATCGCTAGTGCGCGCATAGAGGCATAAGCAGAGCTCTGGCTCTCTCGTTCGTTCGTATTCGGGTGTTATAGAGTGCTTGTGGACTACGTGACTATATCGCTCTCTCTCTTTCTTTCTAACTGTGCTGTGCTGTGCTCTGTTGCTGTATAGTGTAAGTGTATAGGCTTCGCTCCGTCTCTCTCTCTTTCTCTCTCCGCCTGGCAAGAGCCAGCCGAGCCAGCCAGCCAGCCAGCCGCAGTCAGTCAGTGTGTGCACGCGTACGTACCATTTGAGGCCAGTGCGCCAGCGCGTCCGGACACACTAATAATTCGGCGTTTGTACACACATTTGTTTATTGCTCGCGGACTCTCTAACGAATACGTGTGTAAAACGATTATTGATATTAGGTGTAAGGTGCGCGGCGTGAACATTATTGTAATAGTGAGTGGTGTGCCGTGTGTCTATGTGCGCGCGGTGTTGTATAGAGTTGGTGCGTGGCTTCGTTACATTTGACCCCCGAGCGCCTCCCACTGCATAAGGTTATTACGCGCACACCACGAGTAAAAAGGACGCTTCTTGGCGAAGCGCGTCTTTATCGTCAACAGAGAGACATTAAACAATATAGAAAAGCGCGTAGTACTCTCTCACGTGAACGCGGGGGGACGACAGAAAAAAAGAACGCGCAGCGGTGCGCGCGCGCGTGTATAATAGAAGTGATTTTGCAGTAAATAATAACGTGAGAGATCATGGTTGCGAAGCCGAGCGCCAAGGGTCAGCGCTCGCCCGAGAGCAAGAGCAGCGGACCGACCATGACGACGACGACCACGACCAGTGAAAATAACAATAACAATCAGAGACCCAACAGGAGCGCTGCCGTGGCCGCGGCTGCCGCGATGGCCCAGATACAGGAGTCGGCCGCCGATGACGTCGTTACCGGATGGACGCCATCGTCGGGCAAAGCTGCCAGTGCGATGAACAGTTCCACCTCGTCGTTATCTGGGACGACGACGACGACGACGGCGGCTACGGGCACGACGCCCGCGACAGCAGCAGCAGCAGCGGGGCCTACGCCGCGTGTTCAGGATTTCGAGTTCAAGCCACCGCCCGAGGCACCAGTGTTCGAGCCCACCGCCGAGGAGTTCAAGGATCCTCTGGCCTACATCGCCAAGATAAGGCCCATCGCCGAGAAAGCGGGCATTTGCAAAATCAAGCCGCCTGCTGTAAGTAATATTAAGTCTAATGTAAGTACACATTACTCGCACTCACACACAGACACAGACATTTTATACATCTACTACTACATCTCTCCATACATCAGAGCGCGCAGACGAATTCAGAAGGCTCGATCGGAGTCACTTTCACCCGCTATCGTCTAAGCTCGGTGTGCTACCATGACTAAAGAAGTGTGCTTCCGTCTCTGTCTCTTTCTCTCTTTTTTTTTCATGAAATATCAGTGTGCTCTCTCTCTCTCTCTCGTTCATGGCGATATGGGATTTTGGCTGCCTGCCCATCGTCATCACCGCCTTAGCTATATCGTACCAAAAATTTAAACCCGTTATATTATTTATGTAAATGGTTTACGATTGCGACGAGCGACAACAACAACAATAACGAGAGAGACCCTGAGACCCTTCGCGGTCGTAAATTCATACGTACAATAATCTATATCGCGTACAACATTCGTCCAACTTATAGTACACGACGTACACCGTACACGGCTGTGCACACAGAGCCCCGCGCACACGACGCGCATCGCAGTGTTTTTTTCTCTCCATGATTTCTTCCTTTCTTTCTTTCCCATTCTTGTTGCTACCTCTACCTCGTTCTCTTTTTTCGCTCGCTGCAATTTCGCTCGGAGTTGCAGCGCAGGCGGCGATGCCCTTTAAATCCCCCGTGTGCATCGCAGCCTTTGGCCTCGTATACCTTCCGTGCGTAATCGCGTACATAAGGTGCTAACGCTCATAATGTAAGGGAGAGATAGTATAAGGTAGCTGCCATGGTTGTCTTTTGCGTGTTATATAGCATTGACATGAAATGTACGATATAGTACATCACCAGGCGCTTTCTCTCTCTTTCTCTCTCTCGCTCTCGTGGTTCCCTTTCTCTCTGGCACTATACTAGTGCTAGGCTGCCGTTTTATAATGCATACGTGTTGGTACTGTGTATCCATTATGTGCATCCATTGCGCCTCAACATCAACGGAGCCTGCGGCTCGTTGTTGCAACGACGACGGATATTCGGCACTCGCCTCAAAACGGAAATACGCGTATAAATATCCTCCTTACGGCGTATAGGTATCACTTGTGCGTAGTGCTATTATTTGGCATACGTATACTATGTGCGGTAGTAGTTGCGCTGGAGTTGCGCGGCGGAGGCGTCGTCGGACTTTTGGAAAACTTTTGGACAATTTTACGGGCACTGCACTCGACGCCTCTTGTTCTTCTTCTGTATGCAGCGCGCGCGCGACCGGAGCGAGAGGGAGATCGAGAACGAGAACTGCTGCCGCCGCCGCCGCTGCTGTTGAGCTGCCGTGCTCTCTACACCTCGGCCATTTTTTCCCTGTCGGTTGCGCGTTGCGTCACCAACCTGCTTGTCCCTCGGCGCTGACGCTGCTCCTCGTTTCAACTCTCTTCGTGTCGAGCTATATATACGCGGAGAACCCGCGCCGAATGCGGTTCTCTTTGCCCTGTCAGCCCTATGATGTATGAAGCTGTAAGATGCAAAGCTAAGAGAATTCGAAGGAAATCTCATGGGAGAGCGAGAGACTGACTGCGTGCGACTTGGTACTTGCAATGCCATGGAGTCACGGTGAGCGAGGAAAATGATCAATGCGCGCCTCTTGTTCTCACGCAAGATTATGAAACTCACATAGCATCCTACATTACACCGCTTATCAGACCATGAAAATCTATATGTAAAATACACTTTTTTCACACATCTTCACATGGTGGTACACTATACAGGGACACACGATGCGATACATAGAACATTATGCGCGGACGCACTCATCGTCTTAGTACTTGTATCCTTTTCTTATCGATTAGCTCAGAGCTACGGGAGTGTCGATGCGATTGTCAATTTTTTTTTCTCTTTTTTTTACAGGCTTGGAGGCCACCCTTCGCCGTGGACGTCGACAAGTTCAAATTCGTACCGAGAATACAGAGACTCAACGAGCTCGAGGCGAAGACTCGCATCAAGCTCAACTTTCTTGACCAGATAGCAAAGTTTTGGGAACTTCAGGGTTCATCATTGAAGATTCCCCTGGTTGAGCGTAAGGCTCTTGATTTGTATTCACTTCATCGTATTGTCACAGATGAAGGTAATTGACATGAGATTGTTCTTATTTTTATTCAAAGAAAATTTTTGGTTTATCATTGTCCTGAAATGGTTTGATACATTTGGGTATTCTTTGCTTTTAGGTGGTATCGAAACAGTGACAAAAGAAAGACGATGGGCTAAAATAGCTAACAAAATGGGCTATCCATCTGGAAGGAGTGTAGGCAGTATTCTTAAAAATCACTATGAAAGAATTTTATATCCATTTGACGTATTTAAACAGGGAAAAATTTTAGCAAATCTTGTATGTATAAATATTTCTTTAAATTTTATTTCATATCTTGAAAATACTAATACTAAAAATTAATTAAAACCATTCAGAAAACTGATCCTGACACTGATGTTAATGAAAAAAATGATAGAGATTATAAACCTCATGGCATAATTTCTCGTCAACAAATCAAACCTCCTCAAGAGAAGTTTTCCAGACGTTCTAAAAGATTTTCTGGACAAGATGACAAACAAAATGGTTGTTCGTCTCCCATAAAACAGGAAGACTGCAAAGAAGAATATGATATGGACTGTAAAGATAATGTTATGGATGTAGATACTAAAGACAATATTCAAGTAACAGAATCTAAAACCAAAGGTAAGCATTCCTAGATACAGTTCATATCTCGTCATAATTTCATGTTTACTTACATTACGTTATGTTAATTTAGGCAAAAATGGTTCAGAATCTAAAATAACCCTGCGAACAAGAGGCTCAAAAACAGAAAAAGATAATAAAGAAAACAGCAAGGAATTGAAGAAACTACAATGTTACGGAGCTGGTCCCAAATACCCTGGCATACCAAATACCAAAGAATCTAAGAAAGCTTCAAACAAAACAAGGGGAATCAAGATGACATATGAATTTGATCCTGTAAGTCTAAAAGATTTCATTAGTTATATCTAAAGGAGATGATGTTTCATAGAACAATTTTAAATTTGATTGTCTCTTAAATTAAGTCTTAAATATAAATATTGCTTCTTGATGATCCAAAATATTGCTATTGGTTTAAGACATTTCTTTTTTAGTTATTTCTAGTAATAAATAGTAATAAATTTCTAGTAAAAAGACTAATACAAAGCTGTGGCGCCTTCTCTGGTCCATTAGTTCAAAAAAAAAAAGATAGAAAGCTCAACCTTACTTTTTCTGTATCTTCTTGCTTTGAGGAGATCCATACCCCAGCTAAAAATTAAAATTTTTAAATGTATTTTCTAAAACTTTTATCAAATATTTCTCTAAAATGCTCTATTAGAACCTGAAGAGTATCAAAATGAAGGTTGCCATAGAGCTTTCAGAGAAATATTTAGAAAACTTGTTGAAAGTTATTTGATATTTTTTAAAGACATATTTATTTTAAAAAATATTATAACCTTTGTCCATACAATTTTTTTATTCTAAAAAAGTTGTCATGTTATTTCAATGTTTTCTCTCAAAATCAAGAAAAAGTTCAATACCAATTAATTTTACAGCTTGCAAAATACATCTGCCATAACTGTGGTAAAGGTGATAACGAAGAAAACATGCTATTGTGTGATGGCTGTGATGACAGCTATCATACTTTTTGCTTACTTCCACCGTTATCAGAAATACCAAAAGGTGATTGGAGATGTCCAAAATGTGTGGCTGAAGAAGTTTCAAAACCTATGGAAGCTTTTGGCTTTGAACAAGCTCAAAGAGAATATACATTACAACAATTTGGAGAAATGGCAGATCAATTCAAGAGTGATTACTTTAATATGCCAGTTCATGTAAGTTGAATTATTTCATACTCAGGTAAATTTTTCAAAACTACAGCATTTTTTTCATTTTTTTTTCCAAAGATGGTTCCCCCAGATTTAGTTGAGAAAGAATTTTGGCGAATAGTTTCCTCCATTGATGAAGATGTAACTGTTGAGTATGGGGCTGATTTACACACAATGGATCATGGCTCAGGATTTCCAACTCAAACAAGTGTTAATCTGTTTACTTGCGATCAAGAATATGCTGAATCAGCTTGGAACCTAAATAATTTACCTGTACTACCAGAGAGTGTACTTGGCCATATTAATGCTGACATAAGTGGAATGAAAGTCCCATGGATGTATGTGGGCATGTGCTTTGCTACATTCTGTTGGCACAATGAAGATCACTGGAGTTACTCAATTAATTATTTACATTGGGGTGAACCAAAAACATGGTATGGTGTACCCGGCACAGAAGCTGAAAAGTTTGAACACTCCATGAAATCAGCAGCTCCAGAACTCTTCCACAGTCAGCCAGATCTCTTGCATCAGTTAGTCACTATCATGAATCCCAGTATTTTAATGAGTGAAGGTAAAAATTTATTTACACTTTAAAAATATTCATATACATTGAGTTATTGAGTGCATAACAAAAATGCGATTTTGTTCATAGGTGTACCAGTATTTAGAACTGATCAGCACGCTGGTGAGTTTGTCGTTACTTTCCCGAGAGCCTATCACGCAGGTTTCAATCAGGGCTACAATTTCGCCGAAGCCGTGAATTTCGCTCCCGCCGACTGGATCGAAATCGGCCGTGAGTGCATAGCCCACTACTCAAATCTGCGAAGATTCTGTGTATTTTCTCACGACGAACTCGTGTGCAAAATGTCACTAGAACCGGAGAATCTGGATATAGGCATCGCCACTGCTACTTATCACGATATGCTTCGGATGGTGCAAGACGAAAAGAAGCTCAGAAAGAACCTGTTGGAATGGGTACGTATTTTAGATATTCTTTGTTTACAATTTTTTTACGACCATCTCTCTCAATCACGCACGCGTTCTTTACATTCTTGACTTTGTTTTCTTTTTCTATCCCCTAATGCAAAAAGAAACTCACGTTCAATAGGACACAATCACAGTTCGCGTTCTCAGAAATATCGCTCTATACACGCGCTAAAAAATACGTTTCCTTTTTTCCGCGTAAAGTGGACATAGTTTCGTTAACTTTGATTATTTTTTTGAAAACGATTACAGTAGCGGTAAAGTATCGTTCATTATACTTCATTAGATTATTACCGCTTCGCAACGCGAGTCTCGAGATAGGTCATCTTTTATTATGCACAAAGTACTACATGCATTATCTCGTTATCTCGTTAGTCGAAGAAATTGTGTTTACGATTTTGTTGTTGTTTTTTTTTTCTCTCTCTCTCGCTACGGTCAAACATGAAAGAACGATACATTCGATGGGATGGGATGTAAACAGCACAAACAAATAATAAAAAGCACAACGTTGTGCAACGTTTATACACAGCTCGCTGTTACAACGATGAAATTGAGATTACTAGCGCACGGCGCTTCGCTTATAAGTAGGCTCGAAAAGTTCTTCTCAGCTCGTGCGGGTGATGTTCGCGCCGCGCACAGATTCCGCACAAAAAAATACAAATCGAACCCGAGGACCGTATATGTTCACACGCAGAAAGGGAAGTTGGAGCCGTGCGTGCGCGCGATCATCATCGTCATTATATATTATACATATATTTCTCTCGAGCGAAAATAAAAAAAGAAGCACAGAGAAGAAAGAGGCAAAAAGAAGAGAAAGAAATATCAAACTCCGATCGTGGATTATATATACGGCCGAATAGACGCGTGTTTTATTGGTGCGCTGCTCCGCTATGGAGAGAGGGAAAGAGAGAGAGAGAGAGAGAGAAAAGCGATTATCCATGCGAATTGACGACTGCGAACGGAGCCGCACGGCGGGAGGGAGCCGACGTATGGAAAATGGAAGGGAGAGAGAGAGAGAGAGATGCCGCATACCGTGCGTTGTGTTGCTTGGGCGATAAGAGCCTAGCAGCGGCGGAGAAGGACACTTCTGTGGAATTGTGCAAAAACGACGCGCTCGCGCGCGCGCACAAACACGATCTCGGATCTATTCGTTTTGTTGAAATTCTCTTTCTCTCTTCCTCCTTTGCTCTCGGTTTGTGTATCGTTCGAAAACCTGCAGCAGCGCTTCGCTGCGGCGCTCGGGCGAATCACCGCGCCTGCACTTTTTCGGTTCGTCATTACGAGTCTCGCCTCTATCTACATGTGTAAGTGTATGTCGCCTAGCCGCCGCAGCCGCCGCCGTCGCCGCCGCTGCGTTGTTGTATATGTATCGCTTTCAGTAATTCACTCGTTTACGTACAGTCGTAGCGCCTAGTTCTATATAGCAACAGTGAGCCAGAGCAGCACAGAGAGAGAGAGAGAAGCTCCTCGCCACACAAGAGTTTCCGTGCATGTGTGTGTTGTGCTGTGCTGTGCTGTGCACATAGTCAGCTATTCATATATTATTCGTAATTCACTTCCGACTGTGTTTATTCGTGTGTGATATCGCGTTCGAGACTCGCAGAGAGCTCGCACATAAAAGTTTTGCCGTTCGACGTTGTTTCTTGGTGCTGGCTTTGGTGCCGTTCTGTTACGTTTTTTCGTTAACGTATAACGACAGAGTTTACGAAAAGAGTTTTCGTATATTTTTCCTTATCCGGCAATCGAGTCCTCGTCGTTCGTCGATCAGTGGTGTGACTTCAGCCATAACATATTCTCAAAGAGGTAAAGAACGAAACTTAATATTGTCTCGCTCACAACTGCTGGCTGTTGCTGCTTTGCAGCTCGCGTGTGGATATCTTTTTTCTCTCTTGTTCTCTTGCTCTCTCTCTTTGGCCAACAACATACCTGGGTGATTGTACTTATCGTTACGAGGCATTTTGTTATTTTTTTTCACCTCGCGCCAACTAACCATATTGTCCATTATTTAACGCTATAATGCGCTAAATAAACATTATGTAACTCGCGTATTGTCGGTTTATGAGTTTTGCGATGCTCCTCGGGGGGCGATGAGTGCTTCGGACGATGCATAAGAGAGAGACTTTTATGCGAGGAGAGCTCTCAATTGACGATAGGTTATGTACCTTTGCCGCGCGCCAGGCGGTTGATTTCAGCATTTTTCTCAAAACAACAAACCAACGCTCGATTCGCTCTCAGGCTCTTTTGCTCCTTTTCTACCTCGCGTCGAATTTTTTTTTTATCGATGTATAATAATTGAGCTAAAAACAGACTGTTCCACTGATACTAAATTCACCATCTTCGATTCCTATAATTATCATTCGGGTCTCTGTATTTTCCTCCTACTATATCTTATTCTCGAGACTCTTATCTTTGATTTTACATGAGCGGTTCAATAAATACCTACACATTGCACGTTGTGTACAAGTCGATTCTCGCGCAATATGTGTTTCCACATAAGCTACAAAGCTAATTGAAAACAATACGATGCAGACCGTCCTAACCTCATTCCTTTTTTTTGCTCATTGTTGCAGGGTGTAACTGAGGCACGACGTGAATCTTTCGAGTTGTTACCCGATGATGAGCGACAATGCGAGGCATGCAAGACTACATGCTTCCTTAGCGCGGTTACCTGCGAGTGTCAGCCAACGCAATTAGTTTGTCTCAAGCATTTTGCCGATCTGTGCGAATGTCCTCCTGACAAGCATACATTGAGATATAGATACACATTAGACGAACTTCCAAACATGTTGCAAAAACTCAAGCTAAAGGCCGAATCATTTGATTCATGGGCTTCAAGGGTCAAAGAAGCTATGGATCCAAAAGGTGAAAAAGTAGAATTGACAGAATTGAAAGAGCTTCAGGAAGAGGCTATCCACAAGAAATTCCCCGAAAGTGAGCTTTTGACTGCTTTAACAACTGCCGTCCAAGATGCTGAAAAATGTGCAAGTGTGGCCAGGCAGTTGCTGAACAGTAAGCAGCGCACCAGGTTTGTTATTTTTTCATATTTAAGTTTTTGTACATGAATAAGCTTGTCAATACTGATTATTTTTTCATGAATTCATAGGACTAGACAATCTGCTGATTCAAAATATAAGTTAACTGTTGAAGAACTAACACAATTTTATAATGAAATTTCTAATCTTTCCTGCGAACTTAAAGAAGCTGAAGGAGTGAAATTTATTATTGATCAAGTTGATCAATTCCAAAGAGATGCAGAGGAATTGGAAGAACTTGATAATGATTGTGATATAGAAAGACTAGAAAAATGCATAGATTACGGTGATGCCATTTGCATTGAATTACCGCAGCTCACGCATCTTAAACAGGTAAATTTTTGTCAAAGACTCGATCAAATCTTTCTCTTGCTGAACTTGTAGAACTTAAGTTGTCAATATTTTTACTGTTACTAACTTTGTCTCTTTTATGTTCAATTAAGAAACTTCAACAATTACAATGGCTAGAAGAAGTTAAAGGTGTATTCGAAGATCCAAAATCAATTACAAGGCAAGAACTTGGTAAACTTATAGAAGATGGTATGAACATCCCTCCTCACAGTACTGTTGAAAGTTCTTTAGCCAAACTTCAGTCACTCATGATTGCCATTGATAATTGGGAAGATAAAGCCAAACTTTATCTCCAACCAGTGGAAAGTAGACAAACGATTGCTGCATATGAAGATTTAATACGTGAGGCTGACCGTATTGATGCCTTTTTACCAGATTTAAGTAATCTCAAAGAAATGGTGAATAAAGCTAAAAATTGGTGCAAAGTTGTTGATGAAATACAGAGAAGAGATCAATTGCCTTACTATGATACTCTAGATGAACTTGTTCGTAAAGGTCGAGCTATCCCATTGCATTTACCAGCTTTACCCATGCTTGAAACATCAATAGATCAAGCTGAATCATGGAAAGAGAAAACCGCCAAAACCTTCCTCAGAAAAAGTACTCCTTATTCACTAATGGAGGTTCTTTCACCAAGAATTGGTGTAGGTCTTCATTCAGTAAAGTCCCGTAAAAATAACAAGGGCGAAGATGCAATTGGAGCTGTATATATTTGTGATACCAAACTAGATGATTCAAATGACTCTGCCGCTGTTGTTGGAGCATTTAAATTAGCAGAGCAACGCGAGATGGAGGCAATGAAAAATCTACGCGAAAGGAATGTTGAAAAAATGAAAATAGAAGATGCTAAGTTTTGTGTATGTCGCAAGCCTAAATTTGGAAATATGATAAGATGTGAATTATGTAAAGATTGGTTCCATTGTAAGTAAATTAAATATTTTGCTCAATATCTTTTTTCATGTATGATCAAATCAACTTAATTTTCGTTTTACTTTCAGCCGCAACTTGTGTTACTGTTCCCCGTGCACCCCAAGCAGGGAATCCCTGTCCCAAATTTTTATGCCCTTGTTGTTTAAGATCACGCCGACCACGTTTAGAAAATATTCTAGCTCTACTGGTAATTCTACAGAAGATTCCTGTTAGAGTCCCTGAAGGTGAAGCATTACAATGCCTAACAGAACGTGCCATGAACTGGCAGGTAAGAGATTATTTATTTACTTATTTAATTAAAAAATTTGATAATATTACATATGAAGTAATAAAATATCCTTTTTTTTTTTCTACAATAGGATCGAGCTCGCAAAGCTCTAGCGGCCGAAGATGTAGCCGCCATTACAAATAAATTACATGCTGAAATGAAACAAGCAGAAGCAGCAGCAGCTAAACCAACTATTGACACGAAAAAAAGTACTCAAAATCCTGGACTAAATTCCAGAAAACAAACAGGCAGTGGCGCACAATCAGATGATAGTGTTAGCGTTCCTGTAAGTATCAAATTATGCAATAAAACTCCCAAAATAATATAATATCTCGAACTAAATTTGGAATAATTTTGTAGGAAGATGATGATGAAGATAAAATGGATGAAGATGAAGATATGGACGACAGTGACGAAGATGTTCTTACAATTGATGAAGATGAGCCCTCCAATTCCGGGTTTAACAGTAATGAACATGCGTATTCATCTGTATCCAAATTTTCTTCTAAATCCTCTGGAGAAGATGTGATAACTTTGTCTAGTAATACTTTACAACGCCTAGAAGAATTAATGATGGAAGGTGATTTGTTGGAAGTTGAACTGGAGGAAACAAATTATATGTGGGCTATCGTTCGACGAACGAATATATCTATAAAGGGCATCCGCAGTTATGCACCTTTAAATCGAAGCAATGATGCTTTAGGAAATAAAAAGCCACCTCAGCAAAGAGGTCGCAAAAGAAAATCTGACGAAGTTGAAATATCAAAAAAATTCGGACGTCGAAGCGTGGAGGAGAAATCTGTAGCAAAACGCAAAGGTTCAAAAGAAACCAAATCAGCTCCAGTTACCATGAGGCGTGGACCACGCAAGGTATAATAAATTATTTACTAAATAATTGACGTGAATTTAATTGAATTTAAGTCATTATTATTAATTCATGCTTTTTTTCTTTCATTAGATTAAACGAGAAGAAGATAAAGCACCTAAACGAAGAGTAGGTAATAGAAAGAAAACAAAACAAGACACTTCCGATGAAGAAGAAGACTGTGCTGCTGATAAATGTCTAAGGCCAAATGGTAATACTTTATTTTAACTTTTTTATACAAAATTTCTTTGCGAAAATGAATAATTATTAATATTGTTTTAATGAATTATTTTTATAGGTCGAGAAGTTGATTGGGTCCAATGTGATGGAGGTTGTGATGGGTGGTTCCACATGTATTGTGTAGGATTAGATCGTACAGAATTGGCTGAAGATCAAGATTACCACTGTGTTAGTTGCCGCGATCCAGACTCGGAGAGAATGGAAAAAGACGATAAGTGACAATATCTAAATCTTCATCTACTAAATTGTCCAATCAAAGTTTCTGGCTGTTAGTTTAGGAAATGCATGTTGAACACGATGTAAATATATTATATAAAAGTCGAGACATGCAGAGTTCGTACAAGAGAACAATTATACGAAAGCCGATTTTTTAAAAGAATTAGATACTTTTTCGATAAAAATGTATTTGAGAATACGAGTTGAATATTTTCCATTCTAATCCAGTGAATAATGCAAATTTCTTCGGTTGCGTGACTGTAATGTTCTTGTAACATTCGTGAATAGTGAGGAAAAAATGTCACGCTGTAATCAAGTGATTGACTAATTTTGACTGTTTTGAGTACTGTTTTAGGATGGAATATGCACATAAATGTATATAATTTACGTATGGTGTAAATGAAGAGAATGAATGTTTATAGGTTTAGTGTTATTGCAGGTATTACTTTATTGTTGAAGTTAACAGGGTCGTCTCGTGTATTTCATTGAGGTAAAACAAATCTCACGAAAAATGAAAAAATATTGTAGAGATCAACTCTCCTGTAAGAGATCTTTTAATTGTTGCTAACTTGAAGTAATTATTATATCTCTTGCCAATAAAAACAATTCACTTATATTAAATGATATTGCTTATTGACAAATAAAATTTTCTAACTACACAAATGCAATCGAACTGGTTTAATAAATTATGAGTTGAAGTTTTGATTAAAAATAATGCAAATTTATCAAATTGTTGCATTGAATAAATTATGCATATCACATTTGTTCATTAAATTATAACTGAAAAATTTACTTTGTTCATTGATGACCAAAACATTTCATCAGTTGTCTTTTGTTGAAAAAATTATTGCATAAGTACTATATTTTTAACGAAATTTGTGGTACTAATCGATTAATATTAATACTATACTGAGTTATATCTGTGAATGCAACTAAATTACTTGTTAATACTTAAAAAATGTGCAAAATTATATATGATATAATGAAAAAGAATTTTCATTAATTTATTACAATTAAGTATGTAAATCAATTTAGAAATGCGAAATGTTTGTTTTTTTTATTCATAAATTTTGATCGAGTTTTTATTTTTTTAGTGTATTTGGCAATACCTGACATGTTTATACTGTTGAAGTGATAATGATGCTGATGTTTTTATGAATGATTTTTCAACTGGGAAATATTAAAATATCAAGTTGAAATAATACAATATCGTTATATTTGTCCTGAAAAAGTAATTGATCTCGAAGTATTAGAAAAAAGAATTTTGCAAACATCCATGGATGGTTCTCTTCCCTGTTAACCCTTTTTCAATTGTGTTCAACTTGATAGACAGACATTTGAGTACAAGAGCAACAATGTATAAATGTATGATCAGTCAATGATAACGAGCAACTGTGTTTTAGCTTTAATTGTTACCGGGTACTTTATTGATTCATTAAACCTTAATTGTTTTACAAAGTAATAAGATTATCACGCCGATGTAGAGTTTGATATAAAAATTGTACGAGAAAATAGTTTCGATCAAATGTATATAACGAACCAATCACACTTTGGAATAAGAGTTAATACTTAAATATGCTAACCGAAAAGCGCGAGCTCGTACATGTTCATACAAGGTATTATTTAAAAGAAAAAAAGATTAAAAATTGTTAGATGTTATGGCGACCGGGCGCCGCGCGCGCGTATGTACCGTGTGTCGTACAAGCGTGTGTGTATGTACATAAAGCATGTATAACACGGGGCCCCGTCACACATGTCATAAAAATTTAGAAACTATATGGAATATTATTATGAAAAAAAACTTTCTATGAAGCGGAGAAGAAAATGGTAATAGCATAAATGTGAAAGTTAAACGAAAAATTATTATAAACCTATTATTTTTATTATCTTCATAATCTATTATTATATACTTATAATATTAACGTCATTGTACCTATAGCTGTATAGAGAGACAAATTATCAATTATTACGTTGAGAAATATTGTGATTTTCAAAGGAAAAATTGTAATATAATAAAAATATTACTTATCATCACTCTGAAAAAAAAACGCCGTCTTTTGCCCGATCAAGGCTCAGTTTATTCTTACCTCCAGAAGATCAACTTCCTAATGCACGATCATTCCAGTCTTCATATACGAGAGCCAAGCGCTCGATATTAAGATTCAAGGCATTCTCATACACGATAGAATCAATTAAAATTGACTCGAAGGACGATCACGGATCTCCGAGATCGAGCGAAGAGAAGAAAAAAATGAGTCAATGCTCATCCCCGCACGGCGAACTGCCTGCGATCGTCGTCATCGGTAGGTTCTCGAGGAGCTCCCAAAATGGATTAAAATAGCGCGCGTATCGAAAGTCAGCAGAGGAAAGGTACGAAGACCCCGAGGAAGAGCGCTGATATACACTCAACTTGGCTTTAGCGCTTATGACGAATAACGGTGCAGAAATCTCGGCGCAATGAGCTGGCCTCCCGCGCGACACCGTCAGCAGCAGCAGCAGCAACGGCGTGAAAATCCACATTCGATCCTCTCCAATGCGTACTTGAATCATTGAGTGTACGTGTGCGTACATTGTAACGATGTGTGCGCGGACGATGAGCTGTCAATGGCGCGGCGATTTCGACGTAATTCGAGAGTCTCTATATACTGACGTACATTCACGATCATTATCATAACGCGGTATAAGTATACATAAGTACTTGGACATTGTGCTTATCGCAGCTCGGCCGATGAGTAATCGCGGGGACTCGCGACGCGCACAATCTCGCGCGTTCAAAAAAAAAAGCTCCGCGCCGCGCTCGGCTAGAGTTCCTTTCGCGGTTTAAGCTTACACAATATGAACAATCATCGATCGCGCGGCTAAGCTAGCTCTAGCTGGGTGATGCACGATAGGCTTTAACACACATCTTCCAAAAAAAAGCAGACGTCTAGCGGAGGGGGTGTGGGTAAAAACGATCGATCGATAAGCCAAGTGATACTCGAGAACGATATACCGTCTACTGTTACGCGCGCGCGTCATATCTAGAGGTGTAATCTTGGATCGATAGTCGAAATTTTTGGGGGATTTTACGACGTACGCGTCATTCTCGACTCGATGCTAATTCGTTGTTGTTTTTTTTCCTAAACAACGATGTATCGATGTAACCATTATTTGCATAGCCGATGCGCGAAACAATGAATCGAGCGCGATCGCACGCACTGCGTTACGCGGCATTTATCAAACACGCTCTTTGCGCGACGATCGAACTACTTATTAATGCTTCGACGACGCATCGTCATCGTCATACACATTGCACACACACGCGTTGTTTTGACTTATTTTCGCCGTAGTTAGTAAACAGCCGCGTGAGTATAATGTATAAGTAATAGGTATGTATATCGGTTGTGCGAACACGACGCGCACGTGAACACACACACAGACTGTATATTATACGCCGTGCTGCAGCGCAGAGACATTAAACGCGTATAGTATATCGGTGTGTGTGTGGGTGATAAAACATCGTGTTCGCTGTATCGTGAATCGCTTAACAATACAGGAGAGCCGTTTTATATACGGCTTGTTAATTGTTTTACGATATGTACTACCTATGTGAGCACGGCCACACGTAGTAGTAGTAGTAGAGGTATACTACATTTTGTATCTAGATACAAACTTGCATGTCGTATAATATGCCGTGAGTTGTTGTTGTATCGCATACATTGTCTCTCGCTTTTTTTTACACACGTATATAGAGGTATATAAAGTGTAGTATAGTATAAGAGAGAGAGCCGAAGCGAAGCACATCGACTTGCAGCGAGTTCGCGCAAAGCGGGGGGGAAGCTTACACACATATATATATTTCATATATATTTATATAGGAGTTTATATATAAATGTATATTCGACTCCCATCGAGCTGCAACTGCCGCAGGAGGCCTATACTATCTAAATATACGTATGTATGTGTATACACAGGTATAAGCGGCAAGGGATACGAATATCGAGCCAGAGCCCCGCAGGCAAACTTCGGCGCGGCCAGGCAGCGTATAGACAGCAGTTGGCTGGCGATTGGCACGCAGGACACAGCAGCAGCAGCAGCAGCTCCGAATTCAGCAAAGTCGCAGCAGCAGCGTGCAAAAATTGCTGCCTGAGCAGAGCGCCAGCACAGTTGTCTCTCTTACTCGCGCGTCGTCTCTCTCTCACTTTTCGCGAGGCAGGCAGGAGTGTTTTGTGTTTGCGAGTGTGTGTGTAATACTCATGATACATCGGAGTTTGCACGGGCGCGAGTACCGAGAGGTAGTGAGTGAGTCACTCGCGACGACGACGACGAGCTGAGCAAGCTGAGTAGCAGCAGCAGCGGAGGTCGCGCGCTTTGAAACGCGACAAGAGAGAGAGAGAGAGAGAGAAGACACAGACACACTTTGCGGGGACTACTTTGGCGAGCGCAGTTCCGATCGAAAGTCGGAGCAGTGCACACATTATATCGTGCATCGTAGTAGAGTCGATAGAGACGACGCACGTTTATCTACGACGGCCCGGCTCTCTATCTATCTCTCTCATATAGGGATTTTACTACGTGCATACATACATACATACAGCGTAATATATAGAGCTGCGTGCCTAGCGGGACCCACCCACACCGTAGCGTGTGCTGCTGCTGCAGTGCAGGATTATAATACAGATAGATAGAATAGATAGAGGATAGGGTATAGGTGGTGGTTGTTTGTTAAGGTGCCTTTTTAACGCTCGCGCGTGCAACTTTTGTGTTTCGTGCGTGCGTGCGTGCGTGCTCGCAGTGTTTGGCTTGTGTGCTTACACTATCGTCTACCGCTGCTGCTGGACTGCACAGTGCAGGAATCAGGATCAACAACATGGCCACAATCGTGGACGAACGACAGGAGCTCCTCGAGCGATTTCAGGCGGTGAGTTTGAAGCTTTCCTTTTCTCTTTTTTTCTTTCTTCTACTTCATCTCGCGTATCTTTTGCACGTTACCTTACCAATTACAATTTCGCCTCGACATACCTGCACACGCTGCGGGTACGTATAATATCGCTTTTGCGATAAAGAGACGACGGCAGCAGCAGCAGACTTTCGCACACATGCACATAAGCTCTCTGGGCTACATTATATATATGTACATTATATACACACGTACGAAGTAGTATCAGGAACGCGAGCTATGCGCGCGTACAGTACATATACAAGGTATATACACAGACATATATATAATATGTATATGAACGCGATTACGTAGTTGTGCAAATAGCACCATGATGATTACATCGGCGAGCGCAAAGTCTCGGCTCTCGGCTACGCTTATAATGAGAGAGCGTCAAAACTAGCTCTCTCTCTCTCTCTCTCTCTCGCTTATGTACTGCGAAAAATATCACGATCTCGGGAACTTTTTTTCTTCGTCCTTCTTTGCTTTACTTCTAAAACCGTGTATGCGCAGGTGGTCCGCAAAGTGCTGCAGCCACAAATTCATATAATAGTAAATGAGGCATGCACACAAGACGCGCTTTGTCATCTCTCCGTCTCTCCTATGATGCTTTCTACACGCGGTATGCTCGTTTCGACGCTACAGCTTGACAGTAGCTCGACCGCATGACGCGTCACCACGCGTGTGCATCGAATTTAAATACATGCACATAAATTTATAAGAGATCGATGAAAATGAAAAATATAATAAAATGCTAATCCTCTCCCTCGAACACAGATGGACGAGAACGGCGACGGCTTCATCGATCTGGCCGAGCTGCGCACGGCCCTCGACCAGTGCGGCTTCAAGATGCCCGGCTACAAGGTGCGCCGCATGATCGAGGACTTCGAGGACAAGCGCAAGCCCCAGGACAAGGGTCGCCTGAGCTTCGACGAGTTCGAGGCGCTGTGTCGCGAGCTGCGCGCCAGCGAGCCCAGCTCCACCTTCAAGCAGGTCGTCTCGAAGAAGGAGAACCTCGAGACACTGGGCGGTATCTCGGCGGCCTCGAGCGTCGGCACGACTCACTCGGTCCGCCTCGAGGAGCAGCTGGCCTTCAGCGACTGGATCAACTCGAATCTGTCGCGCGATCCCGACCTGAAGCACCTGCTGCCCCTTGATCCGGAGGGTCGTCAGCTGTACGAGCGCGTGAGGGACGGCGTGCTGCTCTGCAAGATCATCAATCACTCGTGCCCGGACACCATCGACGAGCGCGCCATCAACAAGAAGAACCTGACGCTCTACAGGGCCCACGAGAATCTGACCCTGGCTCTGAGCTCGGCCCAGTCGATCGGCTGCAACATCGTCAACATCGACGCGCACGATCTCAGCAAGGGCTCGCCCCATCTCGTACTCGGTCTGCTCTGGCAGATCATCCGTATCGGCTTGTTCAATCAGATCACCCTGGAGAACTGTCCTGGTCTGGCGCGACTCCTGCAGCAGGGCGAGCGCATCGAGGACCTGTTGCGCCTGTCGCCCGAGGAGATACTGCTTCGCTGGGTCAATCATCATCTGGAGCGCGCCGGAGTGGGTCGACGATGCGCCAATTTTCACTCCGACATCACCGACAGCGAGGTCTACACCCACCTCATCAGGCAGATCGCGCCGCGCGAGGCCGGCGTCAGTATGGAGGCCCTCATGGAGACCAGCCCCCTGCAGCGTGCCGAGCTCATGCTTCAGCAGGCGGCGAAGATCGACTGTCGCAGCTTCGTCACGGCGGCCGACGTGGTCAATGGCGTGCACAAACTCAATCTGGCCTTCGTCGCCAACATGTTCAACAAGTGGCCGGGTCTGGAGCGACCCGACGACGATCCCGCCCTGCTCGAGGGCATCGAGGCGCTGGAGGAGTCGCGCGAGGAGCGCACCTATCGCAACTGGATGAACTCGATGGGCGTGTCGCCGCACGTCAACTGGCTGTACACCGATCTGGCGGACGGCCTAGTGCTGTTCCAGCTCTACGACATCATCAGGCCCGGCACGGTGAACTGGCCCAAGGTGCACAAAAAGTTCTCCAAGCTGCGCAAGTTCATGGAGAAACTGGAGAACTGCAACTACGTGGTGGAGCTCGGCAGGCAGATGAATTTCTCGCTGGTGGGCATCGCCGGACAGGACATCAACGACGGTTCGGTGACGCTCACCCTGGCGCTGGTCTGGCAGCTGATGCGCTCGTACACGCTCTCGGTGCTAAGCTCGCTCAAGGGCCAGCCCGGACAGCCCGTGGTGGAGAAGGAGATCGTCCAGTGGGTCAATCAAAAGCTCCAGCAGGCCGGCAAGACGACGTCGATCAAGAGCTTTCAGGATTACGCAATAGCCGACGGCAAGGTCATCATTGACCTCATCGACTCCATCAAGCCCGGCATCGTGAATTACGACCTCGTCAAGGAGGGAGGCAACGACAAGGTATGTGTACAGCGAGTTATTTTGCACAATCCTGTGTGGCAGGCGTACACACGTACCTTTTGTGTTTAATTGTGTATGTACGGTGTGTCGCGGCGCGCGCGCGCGCCTGCGAGCTCGCGCAATTCATTCGCGCTAAAATAATAATGTATTTTATATACGAGCCGTGTTTTCACTTTCGTTGCTCAAGCCACACGAATTTATTATGTTTCACGCGCGAGTGTATATAAAAAACGCGCGGACACCGCGATCGCAATTATTTTTTTATACACGTTTACCGAAATCGATTCTCATTATTCTGATTTTTTTTTTAATTCGACCACTCGAATGAACTCGTGCGCGAGCGATCGTTTTTATCATCGCTTCTCTGCGTGCATTTTTCTCGATCGCTATTAACGCTACACTAGATACCGAGAGTTTTTCTTCTCAATCGAGTTGCTCGCTTGTTGGAAAGAAAAACAATTCATAGATATCACTTTTCAGTGGAAAAAGTGTAAATGAACTAAAAATAAATAAAAAATTCAACCGCAAGCTAGCTCATTGTTTCGAGAGTCGCGTATACGCGCGCGGATATCTGTTTCGATGCGATAAGAGCGCGAGACAACGTCAACGACTCCGAGTGCGCTTATACACTTTTTTCCCCTGATGTACACTTTGCAAAAAAATATTTCGCAACAGTTTTCTGTATAACTTTTTAATATTGATTTTTTTTTCTCTCTCTCTTTGTCAAACAATCGCAGGATAATCTCGACAACGCCAAGTACGCGCTGTCCATAGCCAGGAAATGCGGAGCCCGCGTCTACGCCCTGCCCGAGGACGTCACCGAGGTCAAGCAGAAGATGGTAATGACTGTTTTCGCTTGCCTCATGGCGATGGATTACGTGCCAAATATGGATTCGAAAGAGCCGCCGCAGCTACAGCCACAGTCGAATAACACTCGAGAGAATAACGGCCAGCAGCATTGAGCAATTGAGAACCGCGCGTGAAATATAATGAGCTGCTGCTCGGCTTTAGGTACATTTTATACATAATATATATGAAAAGCAAATATTATATATATAACAGACATATTCCATGGAAGAAAAAAAAAGAAAAAAGGAAGCGAAGAAAGATGCTATAGGTTACCCCTCCGGCCTCAATAAGATTTATTTTGTACATATGTAACCCGCATATACATATATTATTATATTTATTTATTTATACACAATACATTTATATTTATATTTCATATACATACGCGTATAGATTATATGCTTTATAGAACGTTTATAGGTATTATTGATATACATTTACAATACGTGTGTATTGACAATACACAGTTATCGTTTATTTACATTAAAAATTAAATTTATGTAATTAATTAATTTACATATAATTATAAAATTATATATTTGTATGAGTTACGACTTTTACTTATACGTTACTATTCAAAGTAGTAAATTTCGGGTGCATCGATTTCTAACAAGTAGGAAGCTAATAATTAAAGGTGATAATAAAACAAGAAAAAGCCTAATAATTACGGCGTAAGTAAGCACAATTGTTATATCGTTAGGCGCTTCGCGAGTCATTTTCTACGAGAGGCTATTTTACTATCAATTGTAGGATCCTGAAAATGCACAAAATTGCATTGGAAATATTTTTACAGCGACAAAATGATTATATATTACTTACTAATATATATTATACAAAAAAAGTAGAACGTGTAAGCAGGTAAATTGTAAATTACCTATTTAATAACGTATTTTTTCAAGTATACAATGAGAAGGTAAAAAAACTGTAGCTAAATGCATTGAAAAAACTTTATATTTAGAAAAATTATTTATGTATATGTATGTATATATACATGGTTTAGATTGAACGATTGTTTCTCGAGCTCCTTTTATGAAGAACGATGCAGTCATGGCTATTTTAATTTTCAAACGCTGGCTTTACTCTTGTGTGTTATGAAAAAAAAGGTTTTCATATATATAGTGCCATACACTTGAAATATTTCGTGCTGTTCTGAATCGAGGAATATAACTTTCTAGAAAATTCGCCGAGACAGATCAATTATCTAATCATTTTTAATAAGCTCACGTGCAAAAACAGCAAAAAAACAGGTGCAATGACAAAGAATGCGTTGTTCGATTATTTATTTTCTCTTCTAATATGTAATGCAAGAACTATAAATACTTGCTAAACTCAAAAAAGTGCGTTAAATATTTAACAAGTACTGTATACCGAATTAATTCGACTTAAATAGTCAGTAATTAAATGCCATGTAAAAACCCAGTATCACGCCATTATGTACTTGAAATTCTTGCGAATGTGAGATTTTGGTTCATACTTTGGCTGATCAGAGATTTCGACAAAATTTATCGGCTTAGCTTAAAAGGGTAATCGTTTAATTGTGCAATATGTTTGTAAATAATTAATTTAATTAATTTAATTGCTACAGGAAAATATGAATGTAACTCATTGGGTTGAAATAAATTGTCTTTATTACAATTTTAAAAATCGTCACATTTAGATTATCACTAAAGTTATAGGAATACAGCTGAATCATATTCATCATTCTTTTAAATGAGTGAACTTATTTCCAATTGCAGAACACGAACTTCTTCATATTTATTAGAATCATCTTAGGTATCAAAAGATGATTATGTGCAATATAAAATGAGTAATAATATAGAAGGAATTTACAAATTTATAAAAACTTTATTTGTAGATAAATTATTGAATAAACCTTTTCTGCGCTATTTATTTTGATATATACAACAAATTTATAAAAATTATGTAAAATTATTATCAAAATCTGCAATAAACTTTTTCAATACAATCTGTTGAATTTTATTCATCATCATGTTACTTTACTTAAAAATATATCCTAAATCAAAAGGATGTATTTTTCATTCATCACAAAGATAATTAAATTACCTTTTGATCATTTTGCTAATAAATTACGTAAGTTGACAAAGCAATACTGACTAGGAATGTGTCTGTACAAATCGAAACTTCAATTTTATCTTATAAAATTAATTATAGATTATTTAGTAAATCTAAATTCGGCACTGCATCTTGAATTTTACCCTGTGAAATCATGTATTCCGAGGCGCCTATGTAAGAAGCGACCAGAATACCGATTACACTCGCGATGTATATATTTAGTGGAAAAATTATTCCAGTAGCTACTGCCAGACCCAAATACGTCACGTATCTAGCCCAATTTTCTTGAGATTTACGGCCAAGAATGTCGGTATCTAAAAAATGATCGAGTATTAGTCATTGATGTTTGTATTTGAAAATTGAAAATGATTCATAGATTGTTCACGCACCGACGCATATGTTGTCTTTTTTAATAAATCGTTCTGCACACTTCTCACACATATCTGGGCCGTCACCATAGCATCCGTCGCAAGCTCTGTCACAGGCTTGAACAGAAATAAATAAAAATTTAAATCCATTTAAACTAAACATTTTATTGAATTCATTGAACTTTTTACAAACATAAACATAAAATTTAGTGCTATAATTCAGAATGAGTTTCTGTACCTATGCAAGTGAAGTTGCCTTCATTATTGATGCAGAAATGATTTTTCGGGCAGCTCTCTTCATTTTCTACACATTCATCTATGTCTACGCAACCTTTTTCTTCAATTTTTCTCCAACCTGAATGACAATCTTCAGTACAATCTTGTGGACTACCACCTGTACAATCTCCTTTACATGCTGAATGACAGGCAGTACATAACAGTTTCCTTTTATCTTTGTAAGATTGATAGAAACCGCTAGCACATTCAAAGCACGAGTCACCCGTATAACCTCTGTCACAAGTGCATTTACCATTTCCTTTTCTAGTGCCAGCTCCCTTGCATTTGCCATTATTGTTGCAAACACTGTCTGGAAAGCCTGGACATTCTGTACATTGTGGACCATATGTATCTTTGGGACAACATCTTTCAGCTTTGGTAATACATAAATACTCAAATAAATCAGGATCAGTCTCTTGTTTTTTGAACCACCATTCTTCTATTTCACTCTCTAATTCTTCAGCCAACGAGTGACATTGGGTTTCGCCATGATCGAGATCCTTACAAACATTTTCTTGAATTTCAATTAGCCTAACTTCACTAGTTTTGTAAGAACCAAGTTTATCTTCTTCCCAAGCGCTGTCACCACCTTCAAATTTACCTCTACTTGTCTTGTCCATTCCCTAAAAGATAAAAATGAAAATATTATATTATCAATGCAAATATGTAACTTATGAACTGGTTACTACAAAGAGTGGCTTACTTTTTTGAAACTTTGAACTAATACTTTGCATGATGCACAGGGTGGCAGTACAGCATTTTTGGCCTCTTCTTTGTTTTTGTTATTCGTTTGACATTTGTGAGGTGGAAAACTTACAAGTAAAATTAACGATAAAAGCAAAAGGCAACGCATGATTGTGTGGATAATCAAACGAACGTCGCGCAAACAAAAGAGATCACAGATTTTAGAGTAATGTACAAAAGTTGTGCGAGATCAGCTGTTCATCAGAAAAAACTCCGAAATCCCGGTCGATTACAAAACTTTGACGTGCACACGGTGACGCGTGGATAGCAGAACTATTTACAAAAGCGTCCACGCACACACACGTTCGCGTATACAACAGGTTCGCTACGATCGGAGCAGTTTAAAAAGCATTAAAATGGTATTAAAACTTTGTCAGAGGTGTTTTTTATTAGCAAAAACAACCAATGGCGAGCTGCCACTTTGCCGGCAGTTTTGTCTGTGATATAGCATAAGGGTTAAGCCACAAAAGCTCGCGTTAGTTTGCGGCGCGACTCACGATAGTGAATATTTCTGCGGTTACTGCCTGTCGGCAACGCGACAACTCGGAAGTCGGAGCGCGCGCGTTTCTCGAGTGGTGTGCGAGCGCAAAATACGAGAATAAAGCGAACGGAGGTATTTTAAATACCTACTACTCTCTTGGTGAAGTTTTCTAATTTGGTGTAAACAAAATTTGTTATATTTATCGAGTAGTAAGTAACATTAGGCTTAAATAGCGGCACGCGGACGCTAATGGATCCGTCAACGGACTTAAGCGAAAATATACACACACGTTCGAAGTTTCGACCAATTGTAGAAGCCTTGTAAAATTATAACGCATCGGATAGGCCTCTCGAAGCAGCAGCAGCAGGCAGCATATGTGTACACGCTTCGCAAACTCGATTCTGCTGCTGGAAAAAAGCAAGTTGGAGCGAGTGCGAGAGAGAGAGAGAGAGGGAAGAAAGAAATACCGTAGTTTGATCTAGCTCTCTCAGCTGCGACTCGCTGTGCTCTGCTCTGCCTTCGATATATACATACTATATGCCACAGTATGTGCGAACGGCCGACGATCAGTCAGTGAGAATTTCGCGAGCACGGTGTAAGCACGCACAGCACGTTTTATTAAAAAAAAAAATATATTCATTCGCCCCCTCGTTCTGCCAAAAGCAGTAGGTATAATATTATTTTAAAAGATAATAAAATACGTACTCCTCCTTCTCTCTTCGATATCTGTGCCTGCTCTGTGTCTGGAGTCGTTGTTTTCTGTTTTTGATTGATATCGTTTTCGATACAAAAAAAAAAATACGGCAAAGTGATAATGCGTGCGTGAGCCCGCGAGTGTGTATGCCTGGTGGTGCTACTGCTGCTGCATGTGTTGTACATAACTTTTGTCATAATATGTACATATGACAACTTTGCGTGTGTCAAAAGCTGTGCCTCGCACGACGACGATCTTCCTCGAAAGTATGCTGATATACGTGGATCACTTGTGCTCTCGGCGAAACCTGTATATATTACCTTATTATTATACGTACGTGCGCTTGAGAACCTACTTTGTCGAGCTGGACGACAACGTAATATTTTTTTTTCTGCCTCTTCTCGTTTCTCCTGTGTGCCCGCGATTATTATCATTATTATTGTAACGTCGTGCATGTGTAACGACAACGACGTTGTGTCGTTTATGTTATTCACGTCATATATCGTGTATTAATTCCTGCAGTGCCTCGCTTCGTGAGCAGAGCTATGTGTGCTCGAAGCGGCCTACATGCCACATGCACTACTATCGAAGGCACAGAGAGACTCGATTTTATTAATCATGTAGCATCGAACGCGCTCTCTCGATTGTGTATATATACATAACAATTGTAACACGACCCAATGATACGATTGTTGCTCCGAAATTCCCGTTCGATCGTGCGTGTATACAACCTACACTACAGCACATATGTACCGCGCGATACGTATTTTGATCTGGATTTTTATTTTGTATTATTCTATCCAACTGTATCCGATGATGCACGTTTCAGCAAGCATACGATCGGCGTTGCTCGTGCGTATAGGATAATTTTCCTGCCTGATTGACCAAAATAGTACCTATCAAGTGTAACGAGTGTTGACCTTAAAGTACCCAGCAGCAGCAGCAGCAGCAGCAGTGAGCAAGAGAGCGAGCGAGTGAGAAAGAGCGAGAGAAGGCACAAGTGTGTGTCGTATCCTTGTGTTTTCAGCTGTATGTGTAAACACTCATACCTAATCTCGAAAGAGAGAGAGCGATATATATGTAATGCACAGCATATTACTCATTCACCATGCCGTAAAGTCGAGCAATTTTTTATCGTTCGACGTTTCGAGCTTAACATTTATATGTGCGCGAGAAGTCCGAGAGGCGTTCTATATCATATATTTTTTTTTCCTACTGAGCTTTTAAGTGCTTTGTTTGTTTTGACTTTGGAAAAAAAAGAAAAATTTGTCATGAGGTCATGCTTGTTACTTACATTTAAAGAGCTTAAAAGATACTACACAGTTTTTTATTTTCATCTGTTGAGTTAAAAATTCAATAAATTTAAAAGGGCAGAATTTAATGAAAATAATGTCAATACCATATCAGTAAATTATAAAAGTTGACATATAAAAAATTATTTATCCTATTAGATAATATCTTTAAATTTAATTTAGATGTATAATTTATCAAAAATAGATAACATGATGGTATCATCCAATCAGAAGGTGTAATCTGAAATTAGCACTTACCAAAAAACATTCACTTTAAATCATATCAATCATTTAGGTCATTGATTACTCCAAGGACCACTCTTACAAAATAACTATTCTATTCTCTGAAGGTTTCTTTTGTTGAAAACTATCTAAACAAATATTTTTGTATAATTTCAGATAAACCAAACGGTGCACAGTGCAAAAGAAGTAAAATAAATATTAGTGGATGGCAGGCATTGAAAATGAGAGAGTGCTTTTAGCTGAAGCAACAGGAAATCAGTAGCAGTAGGGTAACTTGCTACAAATGGTGAGTGTTTCAAGGATAGGAGAAGCTGACTATTAGTAACTAATATACATTATTCGTTCATTGCAGATGTTTACTCAGTATGTCAGAGAACGGTATGCAAGAAGAAGAAGACGAAGTTTCCAACAGCGAGGAAAGTACTTCATTATACATATTTCCAAACACAATGAACAACACCACAGCAGCCGCAGCAGCAGCAGCTGCAGCAGCCACAGCGGCAGCAGGAGTACAAGGTGCAGAAGTTGCAGGCCATCAGCAGCCTGCAGTAGTAGAATCAGTCGCAGAGGAGTCAATCAGCGCTTTGGAGTCGATCTCGTCGACTCCGAGGATACCAGGCAGGCCGCTCAGTGCTTTTCGCACGCACGCCCGGTCTGCTAGCCATGGAGGAGTGCTGCTGGCCAGCTCCGCAGCCAGCGGGACGCCCGCAAGGCCTGGCAATTCAAACTGGACCGGTGGCCCATTGTCCGCGGCCGGTCAACAGGTGCGGCCTTCCGCGCTTAAAAAGCCAGGACACCAGCGGGCATTCAGTCAAGGACAAGTGGTCGAGGTACAAACCGAATCCGGCCAGAAAGTCAGCGGGCACAGTCGCGTGGGCTCGAAGACCGACTTCATTCTGCCCACGAATCACCGGGAAGACGCGCCGCGTCCCCATGCCGCCAACAAGACGTCTTTTCGAGGTCACTCGAGGCAGGCCTCAAGGTCCGAGTCCATCTACACGATACGCCGCACGATCGCGCCGTCCTGGTGGAGGCGGCTCTGGGCGCACTGCTGCGGCTCGACCGTCGAGGAGCCCAACTGCCGGATCATTCGACCGAGTCATTTGCCGCCGCCCAAGACCCTGCGACCCCAGCAACCGCCGCCACTGCAGATCGGTGTTATCGATAATAGGTATGACCCTGTTTCGACTGCTCGCTACACTATGTTCGTTTTTCGATGTTGGATATTTCATAATTATCTCGTCTGTTTTTTCTCTCCCGCACAGAATACGCACAACAAAGTACAACGCTTTGAACTTTTTGCCCAGAAATTTGATGGAACAGTTTCATCGAGTAGCGAATCTGTATTTTATTTTTATCGTTCTACTCAATTGGGTGCCGGCGATCAATGCATTTGGCAAGGAAATCGCCATGATACCCGTGCTCTTTGTCCTCGGTGTGACGGCATTGAAAGATTTCGTCGAGGACAGGAGGAGGCTCGCCAGTGACAAACGTGTCAACAATTCGACTTGTCGAGTTTACATAAGGTAACGCCTCGTTAACTCGATCTTTCCGAATTCTCATACATTCTTCAACTTCTTTGTGTGAATTTATTTATTTTTTTTGCGTATGATTTTAGAGAGGGAGATAGATACGTCAAAATTCCTTGGAAAGACGTCAAGGTTGGCGATTTGGTGCACTTGTCGAACAACGAACTGGTACCCGCCGACATGTTGCTGCTGCGAAGCAGCGATCCCCAAGGTTTCGCTTTTCTCGACACCTGCAATCTCGACGGGGAGACTAATTTGAAGCAGAGACAAGTGATCCCGGGCTTCCTCGATCTGCAGGCCACGTTCAAGCCGTCGGAATTTCGCTCCTTCATCGAGATCGATAAGCCGAGCACGAAGATCTATCGGTTCAACGGCGCCGTGGTGCATCCCAACGGCGTGCGAGTGCCCGTGTCGACGGAGAATCTACTTCTGCGCGAGTGCGTTCTGAAGAACACGGACTTCATAGAGGGCATCGTCGTCTACGTCGGCCACGAAACCAAGGCGATGCTGAACAACGGTGGTCCGCGTTACAAGCGTTCGCGCCTCGAGAAGCAGATGAACTACGACGTGATCTGGTGCGTCGTGATCCTCGTGATACTGTGCATCGTCGGCGCCGCCGGCTGCAGATTCTGGCTGTCGACCTACGCGTCGGCGGGCGAGGTGCCGTTCCTCGAGAACACGCAGGACCCGGCCTACGAGGGCATGCTAACTTTCTGGACGTTCGTGATTATACTGCAGGTCATGATACCGCTCAGCCTCTACGTAACGATTGAGATGGCCAAGCTCGGCCAGGTCTTCCATATCATGTGCGACAAGGAGCTGTACGATCCCGAGACCGATCGACCCGCCGAGTGCCGAGCTTTTAATATAACGGAAGAACTTGGACAGGTAAATTGTCGTTATATATATTATTGTTTTTTCCTGTTACGCGAAAAATTCCGAGGCTAAATTTTCACATGTCTTCCAAAAATAGATACAATACGTATTTTCGGACAAAACGGGAACCTTGACGCAGAACAAAATGACTTTTCGAAGATGCGCGGTCGGTGGCCAAGACTACGCGCACGTGGGCGATCTCGACCAGATCGTCGCCTGCACGCGATTGAAGGAGGACCTGCTCATCGGTACCTGCAGGCATCGACTTCAGGAGTTTCTCATACTCTTGGCCATCTGCAATACCGTCGTGGTGAGCACTCATCCGCACCACGACAACATGAACTCGAGCGGCGTGATCGAGGAGCCGCAGACCAACGGCACGGACACCACGCGCTACTTCTTCAACAGATACATGAGACTGAACGAGTCGAATAACTCCAACAACGCCAATAACGTCAACGAGACGAGCGATACGGCGTCGACCGAGGTGCCCGAGACGCCCACCTCCTTGATACCACCGACGAACCAGATGCTGACCCCGCCGGCGATGAATTTATCGCCGATCGATAAGTCCAGCGTCCCCAGCGATAAATTATCAAGGTAACGCACGCGCCTACAACGTTTCATTATTTTTCATTTCCAGACGGTAAAATTTTTATCGATATCAATTCTCTTTCTCTCGTATCAGGCCAAGGCTGCTTAACCTGTCTGGATTGACAGGGTTCAATTTATTAGCGAAGAGACTGTCCCCGTCGTCTAGAAATAATTCAAGCTCGATCATCGAGGAAAATGAAAAATCATTGCTGGACGTCTCGATCAATCCAGCTATATACGAAGCTGAAAGTCCCGATGAATTGGCTCTGGTTCACGCTGCCAGGGCATACGATGTTAAGTTAATTAAAAGGACTGCTCAAAGTGCCATCATTTCACTACCAGATAAATCAAGACTGACGTTTGAAATTTTAAAGGTAAAAGCTCGCGAGCTTGCGATTTATCGCAGTCACGTGCCTTGCGATTTTTACCAAATTTTGCGTTTCTTTTTCACAGGTTTTACCATTCGATTCGACGAGAAGGTGTATGTCGATTATTGTCAAACACCCGCATACAAACGAGATAGTATTGTACAGCAAAGGTGCCGATTCGACGATACTGTCGTCGCTGAATCGCAGCGAGGAGGACTCGACCGTGACCGCCAAAGTGCGCCAGCAGCTGCAGTCGTACGCGCGCCAGGGCCTGCGCACCCTGGTGATGGCGCGCCGCACCCTCAGCGCCCAAGAGTACGAGGCGTGGCGCCAGAAGCACGCCGAGATCGAGATGTGCTGCGAGAGCCGCGAGCGCAAGCTGCGCGAGTCCTTCGCCAGCCTCGAGAGCCAGATGAGCCTGCTCGGCATCACTGGCATCGAGGACAAGCTTGAGGTGGGCGTGCCCGAGGCCATAACCAGCCTAGTGGCAGCCGGCATCGTGGTCTGGGTGCTGACCGGCGACAAGCCCGAGACGGCGGTCAACATCGCTTATTCCGCGTGCCTGTTCACGCCGTCGATGCAGATTCTACGCCTGCAGGCTCGCTCCAAGTCCGTCGCGGAGAATCTGATTCACAACCATTTGGAGTCGATAAAGCGCGAGAATTCGGTCGGCGGCACGACGGCGTCGCCCCGAGGCAGCTCGCAGAGGCTGTCCAATCAGAGCGACATGGAGGAGAGCGAGAGACTGGCGTACAGGATGGGAACTTCGTGGCAGAGACAGCGCGCACTCGTAGTCGATGGAAAAACGCTCACCTTCATCTTGGATCCTAGGTCTGGCCTTACCGGGCCTTTCCTAGAGCTTACCAGGCTCTGTTCGAGTGTTTTGGCGTGCCGCGCCACTCCCTTACAAAAGGTAGGGCTATAAAAACTCTTGGATGATCTTACTTTGATAAATGGGAAAAAAGGAATACTAATACATTTTTTTGCAGGCCTACATCGTTAAAGTTGTCAAGGAGCAACTGAGAATGCGAACTCTGGCGATCGGAGACGGCGCCAACGACGTGAGCATGATTCAAACGGCGGACGTGGGCATCGGTGTATCCGGATTAGAGGGAACTCAAGCCGTGATGGCATCCGACTTCGCGATCGCCCGCTTCCCAATGCTGGCGCGACTTTTACTCATACACGGTCATTGGTGCTACGACAGACTTTCCCGCATGATTTTATACTTTTTCTACAAAAATGCCACTTTTGTATTTTTAATCTTTTGGTATCAGGTGGGCTATTTTACCCTTTACTTTGTCAATTTTATGAAACGATTGTTAATTTTGATGAAATTCATTTTCCAGATGTACTGCGGCTTTTCTGGAACAGTAATGATAGATCAGATATACTTAATGTTGTACAATCTTATATTCACCTCGCTGCCACCACTCGTTCTCGGTATCTATGATCAGATAGCTTCGGCGAACGTGTTGATGGAGACGCCGCGACTCTATGAAAGGGGTCGGTTGGCGTCTGCCTATCAGCCACATTCGTTCTGGATAACTATTTCCGATGCTTTGTATCAGAGTTTGGTGATATTTTTCCTTACCGAAGCCGTGAGTATTTCTACTCTGAATTGCAACCGTTCACGTTTTTCGTACTTAATAATCTATACTGTTTTTGTTCCTCCAGATTTATCATGACACGAGTATCGATATCTGGGAGTTTGGCTCAACAATCACTACATCTTGTATTGTCATTATGCTTCTTCATGTGAGCATTGAAACTAGGTCATGGGTAAGCATCGTTACAATATTAATGGCAGTCACGGTTTCTCGACTGAATTTCATAACACTTGTTTTTTTTTGCAGACGCTCATTCACATAGCAGCCATTATTATGTCAATCGGTTCATTTTTCGTTTTCGGTCTATTTTACAATGCGGTATGTGTGAACTGTTTAGGTTTGCCTGGCTCGTATTGGGTACTACAAAAAGCCATTGGTAGACCCATATACTGGTTAACTGTAATTATTACTTCAGTTATGGCTACATTACCGAGGTAGGTTCAAGTGTACAATCAATATGATCATTTTAAGATCGATTATTAATTCTAATTGATCCTTTATTTTTTATTTAGATTCGTTTATAAAGTTCTAAAAAATACTATGAAGCCAGATATCATTATGAAAGCAACCATGACACATGCAAAGAAAAACGAAAGGATGGCAAATGGATTAGACACCGGAGAAGCTGGTCTTGTAGCAGGATGGTCCAGATCAACTCAAAATGCTACTATTAGGTAAAATACGAAGTTACACTATCACACGAATGAAAAAATGAAATGAAATAAAATTGAACTATTTATCAACAGGTGACATTACTTTCCAAACTGGTCAATATGCTGCAAACAAAAATGTTTTGACAAAAGTTGTGGCTTAAAATAGCACAATGAAGCAAATAGATGGGCAATTAGTTTGAGAACTAAGAAATGTGAGAAATTTATAGGAAAAATATGTTTTAAAAAGAGTTTTATCGAGAGGGAAGGCAACAGACTATTGAATAATTTAGTCAAGTGCAAAGGGTTCATTGTAAATAAATGTGAATGTTGTTATTGTTAAATAATAAATTCTTCGCGAGTTGTATTAATTTGTCGAGTCAAAGTGGCCTTAATCACAGACTGAAATTAGTTGCATTTATTGGCTGTGATTTTTAGGGACCAAGTATATATATTTAGTCCAATTGTATAATTGTCAATATTGCACGCGCAGAATCCCCCCCCCCGAGAGCGAATATATATATACGGTGCCGATGAATTTTTTCTTTTTCGAGAAAGAAAAAAAAGTCAACCTTTAAACGACGAGCGCTAGAGTAATAAGCACTCTGGTAGTCACACGATTTATTTAAAATTGGGCTAAATAAATGTGTGGGCTGGTGTCGTTCAAGGGTTTCAATAGGTACGAAATTGTATAAAAAAAATAAAGAAAAGAAATTAATAATATATATTATAATATAAATAATGCTGCTGCTTGTTGAAGGATTACTGAAGAATGTTTGTAATAAAAGAGATATGTAAAATAGAAAAATATGTCATTAAATAATTTTCATAAAGAAAAACGAAGCGTTGTCTGTCGTCCAATCATTATTACTCCTCTCCTGAACGTATATATAATTTTTTGCGCGCGATCACGCGTATACGGCTCTTACTTATAAATTATTTTCCGAGTATTCGCCGCTCGACGGATTCCGTCAATGAGCAGGCTTGTTGTTGCTGCTTCTGTCACGAGCAAAAAAGGCAGAAGAAGAGGAAAAAAAAATTGTGCAACGAGCCAACGCGAATAAATATTATAAAAGACTCGCTTCATGCTTACGTACCCGCGCGCGGTAATGTTCGTCAATCACGCGGAAGGACTCGCGGCGGCGATACATGTCATTATATCGACGGCCGCGCGTTATGTATCGGAAAATAGCCGATCGCGCGACGAGGCTCGTTGTTAACGCGGCGATCGGCGATTCCAAAGCGCGCAGCACGTGGGTCTCTTTAAATATCTGCTCTTTTCCGTTGTTTTTTTTTTATTTTTATTTTGAATTCGTACTATTTCAGAAATGCACCGAGCGCGCGAGGGTCGCGATAGCGCGACTGTAGAAAAGATCGCTCAGAATCGCAATCATCATGTTATACGGTGGAGAAGGGAGAGAGAACAACGCGCACGCGAGTGAGACCAGTATACACGAGATCGCAGAGCAGTAAAAGCCGTTGGGTAGGGGCACACGCTGCAGGTTTTTCGCGCGCGGCAGCATGAGCAGCACAGCAGTCGCAGACACAGCTCGAGCCCCCCGAATCGCGAACACATCGCTCTCTCGCACATCTCGCGCACAAAGTGTGTTCTGTTCTGTTCCTATAGATATATACATTATATATTTGAAAAAAACTCGTGTTCGAGCTTGCTCGTATTATAGGTCCGCCGCCAGTCGTCGACGCGCGAGCAGTCAGTGTGCAGCAGACGCTCAGAATTTCGCTCTCGCTTGCAACTCTATACACTTACATACGAGAGCTCTGGCTCCAAAAATCGCAATCATGGTTCCGAGTTGAGTGAGTCGTTCTGCTGCCTTTTGTTTACCCTGTGACGGCGGCTGGGCAGTACGATAGCGCGGAGCTGTCAACGACGCGCAGAGTGCCGTTTCGATACTACTTGTGCCATTTTTTTAACCGCTATTTTTTCGCGTGTTCGCCAAAAAGTGTGCCTGTGTATATTTTGTTTTTAAGTGTCATTAAGTGAGTGCGTTATACATTTAGAGCTACACGTATATCGAAGGCGATTGACTCAGTAGCGTAATTTTACAGTATTATTATAGATTATTATAAAAGTTACATGTGATACACGCGAGGCTGATCGTGTGGCTGCAATTAGGAATACTCAACGGTCCTGTTTGTGGTTTCGTTATCTCGATCAACTGATCGAGCGACATGGATCAGATGCAACATTATCTATGAATAATCGACTTCGTTCGCGCACATAAGTAGGTAAGGATACTGCGGATGCGGACTTTCATTTCATACAGATATATCATTATCATCATCTCTCGCACTGCAACGAGCTGATAAATATACACGTAGCAAAAAAAATAGCACATGCGATTTGCACGTCCTGCAAGCATGTCCTCCCCTCGCTTTCCCTCACTCACTTCTTCCCCCCTCGCGTGTGTCTGCGGTCTCTCCTCTCATTCTCTCTCTCTCTTTGATATTTCGTTCTTTCTCCTGCGACGGACTGTTTATACGAACCGATGAATTGAACGTATACACAAACTCGACGGAACATACAGCGCGAGAGCTGTACTTATAACACAAGACGATTGTTTTGCACGTCACTTTTTCTTTCGAAACGCACACGTAGACGTTTGTATACATTAATGATTTGTATTATTTGGGTGCGTGCTCGGTACAGTACGAGTGGACCGTGCCGAGTTTACTCTACTTCGGAGCTATTTAGCTCCCATGTACTTATTTCTAGACCTCGTGCAATTAGCGTCATGCACGGTTTGGTATCGCATATAGTACGAGCGTTGTGTTGTGTGCACATGTGCATCGACCAACGCGCGAGATCGGGGTAATACCCGAGACACAGCTAGACGCATAGACGCCTGCTAGCATAAGAGAGGCGAATTTCGATTCGCTACACCCGCGTTTGCGATGTATATAGATATATCGCTTATTATGCGGCGCGATTTTACTTTGGCACGCGATGACATGTGAACGTGTGCAGCTGCGAGCGGCACCGAAAAATCTAAGATTTTATTTTTACACGTCTTTGCTCCAAATTTCAGCTATTGTTCTTTTTCTTCTTACTTTATTTTTTTTTTTTTTGTATTTCGTGGAGTCGCTCGCAGATTGTTTTCACAAGTAATATACATAAGTACCGATACGTTATAATTTTGTATATCCTGGTATTTACATCGCGACGCTTTGTCGAGAAGTCGAGCGAGACAAAGAACGATGTATAGGAAGACAACGCATTAAAATTCTGATCGTCCGCCGCCGCCGCCGCCGCGAGTGTCATAATTGGTAACGGCAAAGAAAAAAATGGACCTCGCTGTCATCGCCAGCGTTTAGCTTTACGTTTAACCATTATACTTGATAATATACATATATCGCGTGTTATAATAGATAGAGCCTAGAGCACATAAGCAAGTCGAGTCGAGTCTCGCGCTAGGCGTGTAGAGCTGTTGCGGCCTAATTGCCACGACCACACGACGACGAAGCTCGCTCGAGCTCGCCTATTTGTGTGTTTATCTATATAATAATACAACGCCGAGCATCGAGTCGCTTCTACATAGATATATACATTACATTACAACCATTTATACCGCCGTATACACATATAAGCCTGGCGTCAATGAAAAATCTGCTGAAACGAGAAATCGAGGAGCGCAAACCGCACCTGATGATCATCGTGATAATGACGACGATGATGAGACCGTGACAAGGCCGTAGTATTAGCGCAGCGGCTTTAAAACCGAAGACGCGCACGGACACATGTATATTATTTGCGAACATCGTGTGTATACACACGTGCTACTCATGTGACATTATTACATATACGTATACACACACTTTGCTAAATGTTAATAGACAATAAAGCCTCTAAATATGCGTGCGTGTATGTGTGTGCGTTATCGGCGTCGGAATCGTCGCTCGTATATCTCCGCGGGGATCCGACATTATATGCTGCTCCCTTGAAAAAAAAAAAAGAAACAGAACTGTAACATTGTTTTAACTAATTTTACGTCACGCTCGAGCGAGTAATACGACGTTATATTATATCTATTATGTATATTTGAGCATAAACAGACGCAACGACGAATTCCTGAAAATTTGTTACGACGCGTATCCCATCGCGTGTACAGTATACGATCGAGTGCGCTATCGGCTTTATTGTATTCTTTTTTCCTCGTATTTTTCGTTATTATATACAACACTCGTCGTCGTCGCGCTCATCGCACTGACGTGCTTAGACTCTGTTATCTTTTCTGATTCACACGCCGCCGCCGACGAAGAGAAAGAGAGAAAAACGCACCGAACCCCGGACGACAATTGTGCGTTACGGATTTATCGCGAATAATGTACTTATCTTATTTCGAAACTCGTACAAAGTACAAAAAAAAAAGAGGATGGAAAGAAAAAAAAAGTATGCCGATTACGAATGCACATCCTTGTCGCGAGTACATATCAAAGTATAATAACACAGGCGGAGGATATCAAACGATCCGATCGTGACCGTGTGCAGTGCGCGCCCGAGAATCGCAATGCAATTTTATCGCGCGTATCTTATTAAAATGTCGATCGCGTCTCTTTTACTCCAGTGCAGAAATCGATCGTCGCTGGTCTCTTTTAACTTTTGTTGTTATTGTTTATAAAAGATACAAGTTACATTTAAATATTTTACGAATATGTATCGGTACATAGATACATGTTTTTATCGTACCTTGACTATTCGTTCTATTTATTTCGACTCTCTTCCTTTACAGATGCCACACGAAGCTGAGTCGATCTCATACGAATCCTCCAGCCTACAGCAGCAGCAGCAGCAACAACACTCGAGGACGACGACAACGACGATGATTCCGCCTCCGAGCATTATTATTACCAATACCAATACTACTGCTGCTTCTCGCATTTCTGTGATCGCGAGAGGATCGCAACAACAACAGTGTAATCATTGTTCGCGTATAACTGCTGCATCGTTGCCGCGCGAAAAATCGCACCTCCTCTTCGCCCTATCTATGTAGTATAACAGTGCGCGGTGTACATGGCAAAAATTTTTAACGTTGCGTATTGCAAACGAATCTGCCCTAGAAAAAAATACATGCGGTAAAAGAGAGCGAGTGCGCGCAGCTTTTATTTTTATTTCATTTTACTTTGTATTTTTTCTCTCGTGGTCGTTGTTTTTTTTTTTTTTTTAATCGATCGCCCGAGGCTGCCATAAAAAAAAACATCAACGATGACGGTATCGTATACCGCGGAGGTAGCCACCTGTCGAGGTTTCGGCTGCTTCCTCAAATTACTCATCAGGTACAGTGGCATTCTGTCGCATTGCAGCTTTTTTCAACAATCACTCATACTGTTACTGTTTTTTTTTATAACAGGTGGAAAGCCAGCGTTTACAAGCTCATCTGGACGGACATGCTGCTGTTCCTTCTAATCTATTACGCTCTGTCGGGCCTGTATCGCTTCGGCCTCGACGAGGATCAGAAGCGCGTCTTCGAGAAGGTGGTGGAGTTCTGCCGCAAGCACGCGAGCTCCAGTCCCCTCTCGTTCGTGCTCGGCTTCTACGTCACGATAGTGATGAACCGCTGGTGGAATCAGTACATCACCATACCCTGGCCGGACTCGATCGCGGTATTCGTCTCGGCCACGATTCACGGTAACGACGAGCGCGGCCGCCTCATGCGGCGCACCATCGTGCGCTACGTCTGCGTCTGTCTCACCCTCGTGCTGGGCAACATCTCGCCGCGGGTCAAGAAGCGCTTCCCCACGCTGGAGCACTACGTCGAGGTGGGCCTGCTCCAGGAGAACGAGCTCGACATCATTCAGGGACTCAACGTGAAGTTCCCGAAGCCGAGCAAGCACTGGCTGCCCATCGTCTGGGCGTCGAGCATCGTGACGAGAGCGCGCCGCGAGGGCCGCATACGGGACGATTTCGCCGTCAAGACGCTCATCGACGAGCTCAACAAGTTCCGGGGGGCCTGCGGCAGCCTCGTGCATTACGACACGATCAGCATACCGCTCGTCTACACGCAGGTCGTCACCATCGCCGTCTACACGTACTTCCTCACCAACGTCATCGGCCAGCAGTGGATCCTCGAGGAGCCCAAGAACGTCGACATCTACTTCCCGATCTTCACCACGCTCGAGATGTTCTTCTACATGGGCTGGCTCAAGGTGGCCGAGACCCTCATCAATCCGTTCGGCGAGGACGACGACGACTTCGAGGTCAACTGGATCGTCGATCGCAATCTCCAGGTGAGTTACCTGATCGTCGACGAGATGCACCACGAGCATCCGGAGCTCATCAGGGACCAGTACTGGGACGAGATATTCCCCAGTCAGCTACCGTATACGGCCGCGGCGGAGCCGTTCCGCGAGGAGCACCCACAGCCCTCGACAGCGGGCATACAGCTGTCCGCTGCCCAGCAGGAGCTGCAGCCGTCGCAGGTGCGCATCGACGACTTGGACAAGGAGTACTCGCAGAAGTACGCGGACGGCATGAACGACGACGCCTGCTCGGGTATACACTTCGTGGCCAGCGCGAATAAATTATCACGGTTCGTCTATACGATTGTTTTTACTTTGAATGTCGATTACCGAGCGCTGAGATAATTTATGACGTAATTGCGTTGTTTCTTTGCAGAAGCGGAAGTCGAGTCAGTAATCGAGATAGAACAATTAGCATCGGGTCCACTCCTAGTAACATTGGAGGATCCCTCACTAGGATAAATAGCGTAACCAATATGCTTAAGCGAATATTCAATAAGGATGATAACCCGAAAGCGGGAAAACTACAAGGTTCCAGTTCCTCGGCCTCGTTGAGGGGGCCTCCAGGTAAAAAAACTCTCGACACTTTTCAAACTCGGACCACCGTTGTTACAAATATTAATCTTCATTCTCTAAAAGCAGACAAAGCAGCAGATCCTATGAAGATTGACGTCATCGAGGAGGTCGACGAGCAGCAAAATACCGTAACGTCGATGCGCCCCGATCATTATCCGCACATGCAGAGCATCTTCGCCCACGGGCCGCCCCCGCCGAGCGCCCCGGTCAATGTTCCTGGCTCGCACACGTCCAACTCGCGCCAGAATCACCACGACATACTGTCGGCAAGCGCGCCACTGGCGGGCGTGCTGGGCCGGTCCTGCGACAGCAACGACGCTGGCCCCAGCGGTGCCCAAGAAGGCAGCCCAACGAGATACCGTGTCAGGGCTTCGAGGTAACGAGCAGTTATAGTACAAGGACAAGTAAAAACTAAAAAAAAAGGAGTCATTTTAAACTCTCTCTTCATTTTGTAGGAAACTGTCGGTGCCTCTAGGCCAGGATTACGTGTACAGGCCATTGAACAATCGCGACACAGACCAACCGAGTACTCGTAGCTCTAGCCCGAGCCCGTCGACGACCGTCGAGGAGAACGGTTCAGACGACGAGTTCACCAAACTCAAACTCGAGCGCGAGAACAGCCGGGCCAAGAGGGCCGTGGAGAAGCTCACGAGCACCATCAGCATCAGCAATCGCCTGGCCGGCGAGGCTGCCGCCACGTCGCTCGGCGCCCTCGACACTGACATACTATTGAGCGAATTAGCGACCATGTCCAAACGCGCTTCCACCACCACCGCCCCGACGATCACGGAGTTGAATGACAAAGGACAAAGCTGAGACACTGTCCAATTACGTTTATAAATATAGATATATATATATAGTTTTTGTATCGTTATTATGTTTGTTCATCTTTTTTTTTTAAGAATTAGCTCTTGTAAGCAGAAGAGAAAAAATAGGAGAAATGATGATGGTTCGTTAGTTATATTAATTAATCGCTCGCACGCACGCGCTCTGTTGTTGCTTCGAGAATTTATTTTTATATATTATATATAAATTTTTGCAGCAATCGATTTTTCTAATAAAAGGAGAAAAAATGTTCTTAGCATTTTTTTAATTTGATGAATCTTTTTTCTTTTTATTCACGAGCGTATAATTTTTGCGTTACATACTGCCGACTGAGAGCAACGTGATATGTACTTTTATAATTCGTCTTAATATATTACAAATGAATCGCTATCGATGCGAGTTGAGAGGAAAACATCACTGCGGCCTGTTGATTATTTCCAGTATCTCTTTGTCGCTCTTCAAGTCTACGTATACGTGATTCAACTTGAATTGTGACGCATAATTTTCTTCGATTATCGATTCGACGAGCTTCGTTTGCGCGGCGAAGATCTCCAGCAAGAGCACGCCGTGTACTTTTAGATGCGTCGAGGCGTTCAGGAGAATCGCTCGGACGACTCTCAGCCCGTCTTCTCCTGCGTCGCGAATGTTTTTGTTTCTGAGGAAAAAAAAATTAGACAATAATATTGTGAGAATCTACGATTGACCTTCGCGCGTTGCACACTCACTCTTTTCGCCAATCGGCTAGCTGAGAGTACGGCGTGCAGGGCGGATTGCTCACGATAAAGTCGAATTGCTCGCTCTCGAAGTCAATCGTAGATTCGTCGTCGTCCGGGAGGTTCTGCTGAACTTCGATGACGCCGTCATCTTGCAGTGTGGCGTGTAGAACGGCCAATTTGGTCGGGTCGATACCCAACTTTTGCGCATTGTGTCGAGTCAGTTCGCAAGCCACGAGATTCGTATCGATGGCCACGACTTTTATCTGTCAAAAAAAAAAATTAGGTGAGAAAAAAATCAACGCAGACCAATCAATCGGTCGAATAAATGATGATGTGTAAATATTAAGCAAAGTTTTTAATTGTAGTACAATAATAATAGTAATTAATAATAATGATAATAAGGATTCTTACGCCGCAGTCGCACGATTTCGCGAGCGACAACGAAACAGCGCCGACTCCGCATCCGATCTCGAGCACGCCGCAAACGCTCGAGCAGCTTTGAGCTATGTGCTTCAGCAATAAATCAACAAGTACCTCAGTCTGTGATTCGGGAATGAAAATCGTCTGGGACAACCTGATCGATTTCACGTCTCGGGACTCGTCGCCTTCGCCTGTTATGTATTCGAGTGGCGCTCTGTATATGAAGCAAACAAAAACAAAAAAACAAAATGATTGTTGATTAAAAATACAAATAATTATTTTCAAATTGATCTTGACCTTTATTTCATTGCATACGTACTTTTTTAAGCGATTATCGCAGAGCAGCTGTAACTTTTCCAATTGAATGTCGTCCACGCATCTCTCGCGACAGTCTTCCTATTTAAAGAGTAAATAGTTGAATGAATAATCGATAAATAAACGACGTAAAATACTTACCTTGCCAATCACGTGGGCGATTATGTGCTCGATCGACTCAGCCGGCTGTAACACCCCCTCGTGCTGATGATGCTGCTTCCAATAAGATGTGGCGACGCCGATCGTGCCGTGATCGTCGTGAGCCTCGTGACAGCTCGCCTCGATCGCCGCGGGGACGCACTGCTGCAGATCCTTCAAGGAGTTGGATCGCTTCAGGCATTGAACCAGCGCCAACGGCTGTTTTTTCAGTAATTTCAGAGGTAGCATGTCGTGGTAAGTAATAAAAACAAAGAAAAAAATTGTCAACGAGAATTATAAATGCAAAATTAAATACGTCGGTTGGAAAAAGGTTGATATTCGCTATGGAGGCTTAGTGTTGTTGGCCGATCGTGCACTATTTGCAACGCGTGGATTGAACTTCGCAATGAGTAAATTAAGAAACAAACGGCCATAGGGTAAATATAGATTCTCGCATTGTATATGTGAATGTAGTTATATGCCTATAGCAAGTGGCATCATTCCAAAAAACAAAAGAGCATGGAGTAGCTCGCGCAACGATCGTAACAGTTTTTCAGTGAGATTGTCCATGATTGTTGAATCATAGAAAATATATCATTGCTTAAATTTTGCTTGGTTAAATAATTAAGAAATATAAAATGATTTTCTATTGAAAATAATCAATCATTCGATTTCCTAAAACGGGAGAAATTCAAAAACATACACTCGTACATTATTAGATAAAAGGATGAAAAATATATAACTCATAAATTTAGTCGTACCAACCATTTTTTTTTTTTTTTTTTGGTAAACATCGCGAAATCGCGCGCGATCCAAAGTTCAAGTATTCCCGCACTTCGGAGCGCTCAAAATGGCAGTCATCACAACAATTCATTTCAGACTGCTCCGTACGCGCCGCGCACCGCACAATCATGCAGCGGTAGTATCCGGCATCGGAGAGCATAGAATATAGTTTTTTTTAACAAAAACATCTTGCTTTATTTATTTAAACAGGTGGCACGTTTCCAGTGCTCACCCGACGCATTCCCGTCTAAGTGTATTTTTGCTTGGAAAAAGCAGTATTTTTCTCACCTGAGCTGTGTTTAAATCCAATCATCCAAAATGGTGAGTACAGACTCTTGTTTACACCGACTCCGTTTTTGCACGTGTTTTCGTTGCGTGATTATTGTTGAAAAAATGTCGGGAGGAGTTTCGGGGTTTGATTATATGATAGTTGGCGTGTCAAAGAATGTAAAGGTGTCCTTCGTGTCATGCTTTGAACCTTACTATATCAATGAAAATGATAATATTGATTGTACACATAACCGCAATTTTCGACAACTCAAATTTGACATTGAACCAGAAATGATTCTCCGAGGAGAATAAAATAAAAACAAGATGGTACTTCTATAAATTTAAGCACAATTCATTACTCAACTTCACAAATTTAAAATCAATTATTTTATATGAATTAGTAACAGAATTTTTTATTTATCCATAATTATTTATAAAAATATTACAATTTTTTTTCAGACGATTGGCAAGAATAATAAAATGCTCCAGCATATCAACTACAGAGTTCGAATAATCTTACAAGATTCTCGTACGTTTATTGGAACTTTTAAAGCTTTTGATAAACACATGAATCTTATACTTGGAGATTGTGAGGAGTTTAGGAAAATTAAGCCAAAAAATTCCAGACAACCCGAGAGAGAAGAAAAAAGAGTCTTGGGATTCGTTTTATTGAGAGGAGAAAACATAGTATCTCTGACCATTGAAGGTCCACCACCACCAGAAGAAGGTCTCCCAAGAGTACCGATGCCTGGTTCAACTGCAGCATCTGGTATTGGCCGAGCTGCTGGACGTGGAATGCCTGCCAACATGTCGAGCATACCTGTTGGATTACAAGGACCTGTAAGAGGTATTGGAGGTCCATCGCAACAAATAATGGCTCCCGGAATTAGAGGACAAGTTGCTGCGCAACCTCAAATGCATCCAAATGCACCAAGAATGCCAGTGACTGGTGGACCCCCACCAGGAATGCTTGGACCACCACCAGCGATAATGGGTAAATAATATTAACATCTACAAATATCAAATCTCTACGATATTTTTGTAGCCACTATATTGAAAAGAATTTTTTTGAATTTTCAAGATAATAATTTGAACATTTTTTTCAGGAATGCCACCAGGTATGCAGCCAATTGGACGGGCTGGACCCCCATTAGGAGCTCCAACCATTCGACCACCTCCTCCCGGTATGATGCGAGGCGTTCCACCTCGGCCATACTAAATATTCATAGAATAAAACTATCTAATTGAAGTGTTTTTATCTGCTACTATTATTTTGAAATTGAAATTCTGTTTCTTCGAGTTCTCATTTTTGAGAATGTGATGTTTGCAGAACTTAATATAATTTGAAAATTCATGTAGAGTTGATTAATCTTGTAAATTAATAATTCCTGGTTTTTTATCATGTTATTTACAATTTCGACTTACACATAAATATTGGAATGATTTGATAAAACCTTTTTTGTACCTTATGCATAATAGTGTATAAAGATTTCATGTTCAACTTGAAAAATATCAAGTATGTTTCACTGTCAAAAACATTAATCACAAGTTAATGAATTTTTACTTTTAGTTTTATAATTAAAGTAATAAATAGTCAATTTCAATAATTCTACAATTTCTAGAGTTCATATTTTATTCTATCTTCAATAAAGAACATTTAGCTCTTAGTTGTGTAATGCACAAAATTCCTCTCTCCACACAGAAAAACTGTGTTCAAGTTACAATCTCTTTGTTTCTTTGAGGAATTTGCTGGACTTTTCAGATACTCAATATCTGTTATAACATTAAAATGAAGAAAAGAATATTAGTGAGTAAAATTGCAATGCACAGCTGTAGAGCGACACGCGCTTCTCGATAAAATATAACTAAAATCATTGGTGTAAAGTAAAAAACTATTACATTTTGTTAAAAATCTTTATGTTACTAAAGAATTTACAAAATCATCTAGTTCATGATGATTTTGTGATTTAATTGTGCATCTTTGCAATACTTTCTGTGTTACAAAATATTGTAACTAAAAACTGAATAGTACAAGTTAGGACAGAACAGTTCAAGTAGGTCTAACGTTTGACCCCAAATACATTTTTGTATATTTATCATTCACGTAGCATCTATCTCAATAACTCAAGAGAGTTAATTCCACTCTTTTGATGTTTTATAATATTTTCAAATAAAAATTAACTTTTTTTCAATCCTTTGTGTACTGTAAATAACAACTTGTTGAGATTTTATGCAATATACAAGAAACCATTCTTTTTCTTGTAATTATGTGAATTATACATCATATAAATCTATATACTCTATATTTAATCATAAAGATAATAACTTTGTAATAAATATCTGATAGTTTACATTTTAAGCAAATATTTAAGATTTATATTGAACTTATTGCAAGAGACAACAAAACAATTGATATGCTTTTGTGTGTAATTGAAGATAATATTTAACTATAATATCAAGTATAACAGTCTACGCATAGCTAAGAACAGTATTCCAAATAGGAGGAAACCAATTAAAAAATTTAAAGAGGAGCTGTTTGAATTATTTACATCTTCTTGTAGTACACCATTCGTTGGTTCAAGATGCCTTTCTTGTGGAACAGTGGTGTTTGTATTTGAACTTGGAAATCTTCGTTCCCGCACATCAGTATCAGTGACTGTACTGCTTATTTCATCAATTCCTGAAGTTTCATGCTGCAATAATACAATCATAAAAGTTAGTACTTTAAGTAAAAAGTTTATATAAATAGCATGAAATCAAAAAATATTAATTTAAACTCACATTGCTGAGAAGTGGTTGCTCTCTAGCTCTAGATTTATTTTGCGATAACAAATTTACAATTTTACCACAGTGATCACATTCCCAGTTCAACGATCTAAAATGTTAATTTTTTTCAGAATTTAAAGTGGTAAGTTATGAAGACATTTACAAAGTAATGATAGTTTTCGAAATTGTTGCTTACTTCCAAGCTAGTTTCCTACGTTCTTCTGGAGCATAATCTAATGATCCGATAGTGCCATTCGCAGGAGAAGGCATAAATGCTATGAGAGCCAATAAGGCAGTCCGAATGCTCCATAAAGGCTGCCAAGTTTCTGGATGATGATCCGAAATACTGAGACATATTTTCTTGTTCACTTCGAATCGTCCATTAGGCTTAAATTTAAATTAGATTTTTTATAAATAAAGTGATTAACACAGTGAGAACCGCTGTATAATCATCTTAGCAAGTAATGCTGCAACGATTATTATAAAAATCTACTAACTGTCAATAAAATAATATTGGGTGGTTTCATGGGATACTCAGGTGGTAATATGATCTTTCCATGATATATTCCACCCTCAAAATCGGTGGACGGTGGACCCTGAATAGTAAAATGCCATTCGAATATATTTTCTTCCAGTGGATAGGCGCAGTACTCGTCGTTGGCATCGTGAAGCTCTTGTGCTTCTTTCATAAGCCGTTTAACAGCTACAACAATAAGATAATGCGTGGAAGAGTTCTCGCCTCATGAATATTCAGTGTTATTGAAAAAGCTGTCAAACCTGAGCTCTTGGTATTGAATTTGTTTTCGAAAGCCATGGTCCGCGATTATTGTTGTTGTGTATACACGATGCTCGGCGCTATTTGGAATGACGACGTTTTATAAAATTAAACAATACGTGACCTCGCTCGCGGCGCGTTTTAATGCTCAAAAACTCCGAAGTACACGTATGATTATTGCAGGCCGTAAAACGATCACGCGAGAAACCGTGCTCGGCATTATCGTTGACGATACTTTGTTGTCGTCGATGACATATCGAGCTTTTAATCGAAAAAATTACCACTACACACTATCGGATAGATTGCGCATCACACGACGAGATTTGACCGACTCCTTTTTCTTTCCTACACGATCATTCCTTTCTTCCTCGATATATCCAGCTTATTTACATTGTAATGTCACAACTGTTCTTCTGCACGATACATGTCAGGCATTTCTGCTACTATACACACACTGCTGTGACGCGCGATTGATTCGGAGCTATTTGGTAAACAGACACGGACTCGCGACGCGATGGCCATAGAACGATATCATTCGCGCGAAGGAATAACCTTATTTTAGATTGACGTGTCTCGGTGTGTGTTACTGCATGTTTTCGTGTAGTATGCGTGTCCGTGTGCGCGAACGAGTCGCGCGATAATTCCTTATCTCGCGCTTTCCCTTATTTTTGCCTGTTGCCAGGTAGCACTGCCGTGCGCGAGACCTTTATACAATATGCAATGTATTAAAAACGCGAGCGCGAAATTTTCGTGCGACGATACTGGTTGTGCGATTGCGCGCTAAAAACTTGACAATTTGACGTTTATGCCGTCGAGTGGCTTAAGCACGACGATTTCGAAACTGACGGATGTTTGTCATTTTTTTTGACAGATTTCAGAAGCGTGCACGAAAACAATTGATGCGTTCGTGCCGATAACTGTATTATTCGGAAATGATTGAAAAATAATTTTGGTTTAATTCTTCCCATTGAAATAAAATTTTTTTATGAACAATGAAACCTCAAGCTTTAATTTTTAGTCAAGACAGTGCATTGCAGCTTTGCGGGTTCATTGGTGAAAATGAAGTAAACGATAATGAACTAAACAATAATGAATAAAGAGGAAAAAAATCCATATGAATTTGATACTTAAAATGAATTTTATTACATACACATTATTTTATAATAATAAGATATATATAATATATTAAGGAAATTTTCATTTAAATCATTAGTTTAATGTGTAAAAAACATATTTGCAATTATGAATATGCTTAAATGTAAATACTATTCTATTTGTCATTCACACCACTACTAAAAGTATTTTTTCCTCTTAAAATTAAAATTGATAAAAAAGTTTAGGTATTAGTCAAATTCAAGCTGACATCCCAATTGATCGTGACAATGATTTTTAAATGACGCTATAAAACTCAGAAAATCGCACTTTAAGTACGTTTGTTTACAAGATATTTTTGGAGACCGCGTCAAAAAGATCTTATAAATATTAAATTTCCGTAATTTCTGTTTAAAATATTTCTTTGTAATTTAACATTTAAACTATTGATTAATAAAACCAAATTCTTATACACATATTCTACTGTGTCAATTAATAAACCATCATTTCATTCTGTATCTAATCAAATCAATATCATAATTACATAACAATTTCACCCTAAAAAAGTTTTTTTCACATTTATGAATAAACAAAAGCTAGGCCAGTTATGTTTCTATTTATATTTTACTTATATTTCTGTACACGTGTACAATTATACATGCTCTCATTACATGTTCTTCCAATTTTTAAAATTAATGCAAAAAAGGAAATCATTAAAAGCCTTGTCTTCAAGAACGAATCCAATTCAATACATGTAAATAAGAACACTTGAGATTGTTTTACTTTTCAGCATAGTTTGTTAGCCTTTTTCATTGGAATTAATTTCCAAATAATAGCTCACCGCAAGGTAATGTGTTTCAAGATATTCTAAATTCATTAAGAATTTAATTTTTAAGGAAATTTCTCACAATTTTCATGAAAATTATTTTCCTCCAGTTGATTATTATCAGAAATTTGTTGAGTACTTATTTGTAAAACTTGGTATTCATCATTTTCCGACTGCGTAAAAACCTGACTTGATGTCCAATCTCGAGTATGATCGTACGTTTCGGAACAAATAGTTAAATGTTCTTGATTAGGTACGTCATTAATGATTTTTGACTTGGCTATGTTCAATTCATCACATGGTAATATTTCATAGGACGATGTACTTATTGCACTATCTTGATCTTGGTCTCCGTCTTGATTTTCTGGAGTTTCTGGAATGTATGATGAAGCTGCCACTTCGTCCTCGTTGATGAGTTGATATGACGATGCGTTTACTTCATCAGAAACATCACCCGATTTCAAGAATAAATCATCGTTTTTACCGAAACTAATACCTTCGTTATTAAGATCTGACGACATCTCTTTAATAATGTTATCAAGAGGGTACACTTGAGTTCCTTCGTATTCATCTGTACGTTCTTTTGCATTCGGTAATTCAATAGTCATAAGTTTTGAATCATCTTTAGCAGCTTCATCAGAATTATGAATATTTTCAGTTTCCATTTTTTCACACATTTCAGTACTACCAGAATCCTGAGTGATAATCTTTTGATCCAGAACGTAGGTTGGTTCCTGTAAAATACAAATAGCGTTTCAATACATCAATACATTTGATAGGACATTTATTTTTCACTATTTCATCTTTTGAAATTAAATAAATGAAAGTCTAAACAACAAAATAATTATAATAAAACTGTTATCAATAGATGATGATTTGTATGACCTGACTTCTTCATTCATAATAGAAAAAATTTTATAGAACAAAAGATTTACTAACAATAAAAAATATATAAATTGGAAATAGGTAAAATAAAGAAGCAAATGAAAAAGAGCTACTACAAACAGAAACTTAGTAAACCTGAATCTATAAAGAAACAAGAATTAAAAACTCAATTATTAAAACATGTTAGGAAAACTACATGGGGTAATGAACATGAATCTTCAAAAAAACAATGGAATAAATCGCTCGAAGTATTGAGCTTTCTCAAGTTGTCAATTCAACTGACAAGCTCGAAAACATATACCTATTTTTTAAAAATAATCTAAACACAGACACACAAATATTCACCTGAATTTTTTCATCGTTCGATGATTTTTCCGATATGGTCATTTGGGCGATCGTCGAAGCGGCATTTGTTTCATTCTGTCCCTCCATGCAAACAACACTCTCAGCCTGTTTGGCCGTTTCGAACGACTCGCTCTTGGGAACGTACGATACCGTGAACGAAGTCTGAGTCGTACCGTTGCTCTGAATCTCGAACGGTGACATTATGGGCTGATTCAGAGTCAAGGAGGTTTCTAGCACCTGAGACGAGGATATCGGCTCTTTCGGCGGTATGATCGTCGATTGCAAAATGGTTTTGTTTATGAGGTTAGTCTGAGATATGTTCTCGAACGTCAAGGTATCCTGTGGTTCGGTCACGACGGCGAACTGATTATTATCCGTGGCTAGGCTCGTGCCTGCAGGCAATTCGATGGTCGACGACGATTTCGCGATGCCACCTTTGCCCTCTTCGAGCTGCTGCAGATCCACGATCGGATTGTTATCCACGAGATAGACCTGTTGTTCCAACGAATTCGGATCGAAAACAGTGCCGTTTTCACCCATCACGATGAAATTATTGTCGATCGGATTGTAACGGCCCTGCTCGTCGAGAGTGACAAGAACATACGTTTCGTTGTTGTCTCCTAGATTCACGGGTGTATCCGTAAATATTACCGGCGTCTCTTTGTTGTCCCCACTTACTGCTGGCAATGTAATGCTAAAAGTCTGCGCAGGAAGCTGCAGATGTTGCTGCTGTATCTGTGGCTGTTGCTCACTGACGATTTTCGGTTGCTGCAGTTCAGTAACGATGACCGGTGGCTGCTGAACGACAACTTCTTTCGCAGGAACAACTACAGGAGCAACAACAGGTGTTACCATTGGACTTGCTGCAGGCGTAGTGACAGTCTTGGCAGTTCTTTTGGGCGTTGCTGTTCTTTTGTTGCCAGTAGCTCTTGCTGCTTTCGGTTTCGGGGCAACCTTTGGTTGCAATTCCGTCGCCACTTGTTTAGGTACCGTTATTGTCACGGTACTGATCGGGGTACTCGGCGTGATCGGAGTCGTCGGTGGCTTGACTTTTTTCACGGGTGTATCCTTGTTTACCGATGCAACAGGAGATACCGTCGTCTTTTTGCTAGCAGCCAGAGCCTTGATGCGAGAGCCGGTAATCGGAGTCAGGACTGCCTTTCTCGCTACATTTTCAGCGATTTTTGGGCTCGAGTTCAGTGTCGCCATAACGTCGTCTTTTTTGGCGGGTAACTGCTGCGGCACCACCTTTTTGAAACCTGGATTACCCATTTGCATTTGCTTCAAATTTGATATCTCGATGCCGGGAATTTTTTTCTGGCCGCCGAATTTGGCGCCTGTGGCGGGTTCCGATACGAGAACTTTGTTATCGATAAGTGTGGGAACATTATCCAACGGGATGTCGGAGGAAAATCGTTTCTGTACAATTTTTTTAGGTACTGTCTGATCATTATTGGACATGATTATGACTTTTCCATCTGGATGTTGAATTATTTTTGTATTTTTCGAGACTGGCTTGACCGTTTGCTTGTTGTCCCTCTGAATGACCGTGTCTTGATTCTTCGACGTCGACGTCTGCACGATTATTTGAAATTGATTTGACGAGGCCGGCATCATACCTTTAACAATATATTTGTCGGTAGGCTTGACGTTCAAACTTGTAGCCTTCGACGTTACCACTTGCTTCTTCATAACGGTGGACGTAGCAACGCCGGCTCGCAATGGGCTGTTGTTCGAGCTAACCTTTGGCAACGTTCCGAGCTGCAGTGTCAGGGCCTTGCCGCTCGCCTCGTCGGATTTGCTGGTCAGCGTCGCGGGCAACTGCTGATGTTGCTGTAACTTCACCGGAGTACTCAATCGTTTTCCGGCGGTCGTTAGTATCGAGCTGATGTCCGTGCGCGCCACACCGAGATTGTGAGTTAACTTCTTCTTCTTCATTGGCGACTCTACTTGCTCGATTATCCGAGCGTTCGCGAGCGTCTTGGGACTAGTCTTGGCTCCAACTTGATTGATGATGAAGGTTTTCGGAGTAGTCGAGATCGAGGTCACGCCACTGTCTTGCACCAATGTGTTATTCGTCAACATCTTCAGAGTGTCCGCCTTGATGTAGTTAATTTTTTTCGAATCAGCAGATTTGTTGCCGCGAGAGCTAATGGCTCTGGTTTTAAATACCATTGGTCTGTCCAAGGTGACGTTCTCGATGATTCTGGGCTTTTCGCGTTTCGGCGTCACCGTCTTCGATTCGGCTACGACGCCACTGTCTGTCTTGATAGAAGTATCAAGCGCGCTCAATTTCACGGGTGACTTTACGATGCTCGGAGATAAGATGATCTTCTGTTCCTGCGATAACGCAGCGGTTGAGATTTTGACCTCGTTCGATTGCAACTTCGGTTTTTTATCATCTTGAACGCTCGGCGCGGCAGCATTGACTGCCACTGGCTTTTCTACATTACTTTTCAATGTACTTGGAATTTCTTTCTTTTCGTCCCTTTTGATGAGATTAGACGATACGGCCTTGACCACTAGCTTCTTATCTGTGATCGTAGCTGTATCTAAATTGCGAGGCTTTTTTTCGGGCGATTTTTTGGGCAAAGTCACTTTTGGTTCCAAATCAGGAGGTGTTCGACTCACGGAGGTGATAATTTGCATAACGTGATCCGTGACAGGTTTTTCTGATTTAACGTCTTCGATATTTTTTTCGACTTTCTTCAAACAATTCAGATCATCTGTTGGAACAAAATAAAAATTTACTTTCCAACATAGCAATAGTCATAGATTAATTATTCAAATTAATAAAGGTAATACTATAACTTTATAAGAAATGAAAATTTTAAAACATTTAAAATGGTCTGAAGTGAGACTACCATGAAACGATGATTGTATAGAAAAAGAAAATGAAAAAGACTAATGGAAAATGCCACATAAAATGTAGCTTTACTAGAAGATCCTACTTGGATAATAAACAAATATGGGTATTTTCTTAATGAAATTATATTAAAGACAATGACCAGTATATTCAATCATGTTAACACATTAGATTACAGCAGAAATCAACATATTTTTGAGACGTTTCTATTTGTTTCACATTTGATTAATCAACGTAATAAACGGAAACTTCTAATTTTTTTCATTGCTTTAAAACAATTTAGCCAAAAGAGAAACCATTTAATACATATGGTTAGCAAAAATTTAATTCAATTAATCATTTGTATTAAGTATAATAATTTTTCAATAGGTAATGCGTACAACATTTTTTGGTGTGTAATCCATTTATTTAAATTAAAAAAAAATTTTTTTTACAAAAAATGCAGTTTCTAAAACTACTATTTACCATTTACTAATTCTTATAAATTAGGTATTAAATTAAAATTAATACCTAAACAATTTTCCTATTTGATAGGAAACCAATTTCATAAGAAATTAGACTGATTGCACGCATATGTTCAATTTTAATTCAAAATTACAAATTAAATAATAAACCATGCTATGATGATGCATCACCAATGTTTGAATTACTAAAACTACAATTACCTTTTGAATCATGAAGTGGCACAGTAAGATTTGAATTAGTAGAAGCAGTATCTGTATTTAATTGATATCCTTCATTCGTTTTCTTTGGACTGATTGCTCCTAATGGTGGTAAGCTTGAATGTAGATCACCTTCCTCAATTTTTTTTCTTGGACTTTTCATTGGCGATACTGGTAGAGTATCTTTTTTATCATTTTCCTCGATTTTTTTCTTGGGACTTTTGGCAGGTGAAATTAATGAGGTGTTTGATTGAAGTTCAGTACCTTCGCTTTTTTTAGTTGGACTTTTTGAAGATGAGGTAGCTACAGTATCCATAGAAAGATCATTTCCCTCACCTTTTTTTCTTGGACTTTTTGCTGGGGATATAAGTAAGAAGTCTGTAAAAAGTTCATTTACATCATTCTTTTTTCTTGAACTTTTAATTGGAGTGGTCACTACTGCTTCTGTAACTAGTTCATTTGCTTCATTCTTTTTTCTTGGACTTTTAACAGGAGTGGTCGGTACTGCTTCTGTAAATAGTTCATTTGCCTCATTCTTTTTTCTCGGACTCTTAACTGGGGTGGTTGGTGCTGTTTCTGTAAAAAGATCATTTCCCTCTGCTTTTTTTCTTGGACTCTTTGATGGGGATAGGGAGGTTATTGCAGCTACTGTAGAGAGATCATTTTCCTCAACCTTCTTTCTTGGACTCTTGGTTGGTGAGGTTGATACTGCATCAGTATGCAGTTCATTTCTTTCATTCTTTTTTTGTGGACTTTTTACAGGCAAGGTTGGTAAAATTTCTGTTAATTGATCACTTCCTTCACTTTTTTTTCTTGGGCTCTTTGTTGGAGAAGATGGTAAAATATCTGTGTGAAGTTCATTTTCAGACTTTTTTCTTGGACTTTTGATTTTTTCAACTTTTGTTTCTTCTGTTACTTTTTTTACAATTTCACCAGTCTTTTCAATAATTGATTTTGTTTCAGAATCTTTTGGTAGTTCCAGTTTGTTATCTGAAATAGCTTGACTTCCAGATTCTTGGGAGTTCTTACGAATTGAAGAAACATTAATATCATCAACATCATCTTCATTAAAATCAAAACAAGACAGTTCTCTTGACTTATCTAAATTACTATCACTTTTTTCAGAAGACTTTGTTTTTTCCACAACACTTGTAACAGACTTCTGTAATTCTTCTGATTTATTTTGTTCACTTTCCTTTTCTTGAGATAAATCTATTGTTGATTCATGTGATGGGCTTTTCAACGAAGTAAAACCTTCAGTTTCATTTAATAACATTTCAGATTCATTGAGCAATTCCTTATCTTTATCATCTTCATCGACATCTTCTTTTTGTACAATTTTAGTTTTATTTTCAGAATCTGGGCTATCACACAGATCATCATCATCAGAGTCTAAATTCCAATCAGCCAATAGTTTTTCACGTATTTCTGGATCAGATTTTTTAATTTTTGGTGGTTTTTCAATTTCTGCTGTGACACTTTTCCTTTTGTTGCTATTTGTTGTTGCTGGCTTGGGCTTTCTTGGGGTATCATCATTAGTTTGAGATACATTCTTTTTAACAATTTTCTTTGCTTTAGCTTGGGGAGTTTTGGGCTTACTTTTCTGAGGTGTTACAAGTTTTGTTTGTAATTTAGAATCATTTTCAGAATAATGAGTTTTTAAATGATATATTATCACATTTACTCTGTTCGTAGAAAAATCACAAACATAACAAGAAAATTCTCCACTTGTACTACTTCTGTTCATTACAGGATTGCACGAAAACCTTTTTTTGGGACCTGAATCATATTTACTATCTCTTGAAGATTTTTGGCCTATCAAATTAGCTGATCTTCTTGATTTTGTTGGAGGTTGAGGTGAAGGTTTACTACCAAATAAGTCTGAAACATTTGGCCGTTTTTGTGGCATAAATCTTTCTTGAGACAGAATATTTGGATCACCATTTGTCAATGTTTCTGCTGTTTTAACATCTCCAGGAAATTTTTCCATAAGTTTTGAGCCATCTTTAGATTTAACTCGATATTTGTCTACAAAACAATTGTAAAGTTATAGTATATCAATTATTGTTTTATATCTTAATTTTAATATCAATTACCTAATCCTTTTCTAATGAATTCTTCTTTTTGGGTACAGTTGTAATGATAAATTTGATGGAAATTTTTAACAAACTCACTGAAATTTTATAAATAGGATTGATTAATATACAATGTTTTTAAACAGTTTCATACATGCCTAATAGTATCATATTATGATTTATTATAAAACGTATAAGACATTTAAATTACTCACAATGAATCTTCTTGGAAAAATTTTACAGCAGCAATTATAGGCTTTTTTTCAAATTCAGCTTGGATTTCTTTTGGTAATTTTTCTAAACTGATAACTTGACCTGGCCACCAGTAAGATCTTAATTTTACCCATACAACATCACCATCCAAATATTCAATAGCAGTTTGGTCACACATGATTGCAAACTAGTTAATAAAACTTTCTTCAATATTCAATTCATACAACCTATAAAATAGAAACAAATTTCAAGATTAAAATGAGAATTAAGGAATTGGTGAAAGTACGATCATTTATAACTGCTATTGGAGAGGGCACTATTATATAAGGTAAAGATGTTTAGAAAATAGTGCAAAAGTTTTTTTATTTGAATACCTTTGAAGTTGGTAAGTTATCAATATATTAATTCAATATATTCATCAAAAGTCTTAGAAACATGATTTTATGATTCAAATATTCTGAGCATTGGATATTTAAAATGTAATCTAACATTTATATTTACAACTTCAAGTTAAAAAAAAAAATTTAATTTCACATAAATTAGCGCGAGTATAATTCTATGCACAGGAGTAAACAAAGTTAAATCACGTCTCACATGAGGAAAAAATGACTTTAAAATCCTTAGAAATACCTATACACTAAAGCCGAGTTTTCGTATGAAAACAATGCGGCAAGTTCGTCTGTGTTTATTTTCACTAGAGGCTTATTTTGACTCGGCGTGTTATTCAAATCGGCTAGCTCTTTATGATAATTAAGTCGTACGACTGTCACTGTCCATCCGATATAAATGAGCTCTCGCGGATGAGGCAAAAAAAAGATGATGGTTCACACGTTTTGATCGAGTCAAAGAGTCACGGAGTCGTAATCAAAGCCATAAGATCTACGCTTCTCACCTTTTTCACTGATAAGTCTTCACAAACGGGCGAGTGTAGTAACTCATTTCCTATCGTACATAACTACGGCACACAGCAGTTGTCCCGTTTCACATAACCTCTCCGAGCGCAAATCTTCTCTTCTCTTTCTCTCTGTCTCTCTCTTTCGGCAGCTACGTCGCTTTGCTAGTCGATTGTATAGTTATTGCGCCTAGCAGTATAGTTGTACGGGAAAAGCGGAAAGTTTACCAATTGATCACTCGCCAAACCCAAGCGTTCTTCTCGTGTACGTATATCGAAAGCGGGGGGATATATATGCCTCGCCGATAAGTCGTGTCTCTCGAGGGCCCCGAGACTTATCTCGAAGAATCCTCTCTATATGTTAGCACACACGCAGCAGCAGAGCGGAGCAGCACTTCTTATAACGCGCGACTCGAAAACATCGTCGAGGCGCGTTCGCGAAAAAGTCCGCCTACGTTGGTATTATTATATACGCCGTGCGCGACGAAGTACGGAGAAACTGACTTACACTATAGCGTCGCTTATATGTACATATATTGTTGATACACTCGCGCAAGGGGCTTGATTCTATCTATATACATATAATGTATATTTCATATATATATATAGCTAGCGCGACTCCTAAAAGACTTTGGCTGCGTGGCGGGTAAGTTGGTATCACTCGTGCGATATGTACAAGTGCGTCGCGGTCGTCGACGTCGTCTCGCCGCCGCAGCCGCAGTATATGTATTTACAACCTAGAGGAGAAAATGCGGAGCGCGATATGGTCGCGCAGACGTTAGTTCGTCGACATTAGGCACGAAAGGGTTGTGTGTACAATGGAACTGCTGCGCGCCGATTTTGACGCTTGGCGATAATAGCGCGAGTAATCGGAGTCGTTGGCGTCGGGTGGCGCCACCGGTCGGTAAATTTGCGCGAAAATCGCGAGCGACTCCGAATTCCAAGTGTTATAGTTCGCTGACTCGCCGCGCCTCTGTTGTGATCGCTGTCAAATTATGTAAACAAAGCCGCATAGGAATATAGGATAGGAGAAAGCGACTTCTATTCGTGTCGTGTATATTCATAAAGCACATGCTTCCCTCAATTAATTTCGATATAAGCCCCCCTACGTAAGATAAACAAAAACATAGAAGTTAATTAACGCATCGCGCGTTATAGGTATAGGTAAGATTTAGCTCCGTATTATTTTATACGAGTAAATGAGTAAATATATTGTTTATAAGAATAAACTATTTGTACAAGAGTTTCCAAGTATAGATTAATTATCTAAAACGTTTTTAATCTTCCATCGATTAAATTAGTATTAGTTTCGCCCATGAGAATTTAGATATGTTTTTTAGCTTGGTCCAAACGAAACTAATAACTATGTTACATCATCAAATAGAATATCCGCTTCGAAAGACTAATCAAAATCATGTATAATTTCGCTTCTACAAATTACAACATTAATTTGTGATTCCCTTAACCGAAAATCAGCCTTATTAATTACAGCCATTTACAATGGTTGAAAATACGCAACTAGTGCGCGCGCGAATACTACGCGTCGGGGCATTTTGAGCTTTACGCGTGTATTAAATGCGTCAGGTGTCGTACACAAAATGCGCGAGCTGCCAAAATACACGCGCAATATTTCATGTAATTCGGCTCGTGGAGTTTCAACGGAATCATAAAGCTGTATCTTTAATTCATAAATGGACTCGCGCTCGCGATTCGGCACACGGTATGCATGTACACGTCTCTTTGCCGAATCAGTATGTATAGATAAAATATTCAAAAAGCTCATTCATATCATCGCAGCGCGCGTATGATATGTACGAATGCACATATTATATACGAATTATATGTATTACAGCGTTAATCGGGAAAAAATTGGTCGAAATCGATAATTAAAATATTTCGCATCGTTTCGCGTTCTGTACAACTCTCTCTCTCTGTGTACGCATACAACTGGTGTGTATGTATGTAATACATGTTACAACTACTACTGGTAGGTATGCACTACCCCCCGCGCGCGCATTCTGCAAAATCTTTAAACTTTAACCATTATCTTTGCCCGGGCTCTCCCGCGCCGCGCTCGCTCTCGCCTAGGTAGGTAGAGAGCTTTATTGCGCTTTATATCTATACATACGTACACCTTGCCTCGCAGCTCTCCTCTATATATATGTGTCTCTCTGCACCGAGTTCTCGCGCGTATATATAATGCCCACGCGACGTATAGGTATACAACACGCAGACTGCACGCGGCCCAACTTGTGCAGAAAACGCAATAACACTCGAAGCCCCCGGACCTGCACAGCTCTAGCATATTACAAGCGAGATATTATTTATCGCGCGAGTAAACTAACAACCACGCTGCCGAGACACAGCGCGAGAAGCTATATGAGCGGTGCGGCTGCGATACATGTATAGAAAAATATCACGTGCCCATAAATTGTCAATGTTTTCTCCAGTAGCTTTTCCGGGGGCTGCTGTTGAGGGTAAAGGTGAGCGAGAGAGAGAGAGAGAGAGAGAGAGAGAGAGAAAAGAATGCTAAATTTAGCCTCGCGAGATGTATGAGTAAAAACGATGATTCGATGATTAATTTTCCGCGGAACAATTCCTGTCGTTGCTGCTGTGAAGCGATGAGATTAAATTTTGTCACCTGCGCGCGGATTTATTATTCGAGCGCGCGGGCGAATATCTTATATATTTCTCTCGCGCGGACTGAAAATATTTTCTGAAAGAGTCTCCGGGCGCCCGAGTGCCCCAGACGACGACAACGCGCGACCTAGTGAGGGGAGGAGGGAGTATTAATTTTATAAAGCAATCATAATTGATGATAATTAAGCTCGAGAGTAGAGCGAGTTTAATGAGATTATAATGCAAAGATTAAAAGTCACTGTTTACGCTAGCTCTCCTTAATAAGACGTATTAAGAATCATTATATCGAAATGTTACGTATACAATTTCCAAGTCCTCGCGCGAGTGTTGTGCGAGAAATTGAAAAAAATAAAGCTCGACTTTCTCTACCGTACATTATACAGAACTTACGAGCTGTAAAAATTCATTCGACGTTCATATATATTTAAAAAAAAAAGAAGAGAAATGTAATTTTCAAGTCACACCGTGTCGTTTCCGTGCCGTATATGGAATTCATCATCAAAAAAAGCTCGCGCTGTTTTTTTTTTGCTCTTAATCTAGCGCGCTTAATCGTTAAAACGTTCGCGAGCATGAGATATAAAAAAAAGATGAAGTAGAAGAAGAAGATATCAAGAGTACTTTAATTAACACGAACGAGCGGCCGGAAAAATTGCGTATAAAGAAAACTTAACTATCGCGCGGCCTAATACCGAGCAGAGTGGCTCTCACGTCGTCGTCGAAAGCTCTGCACTATCGGAAAGTGTATAAATTCTTTCCTTCCGCGGATTGATTAAAAAAAAAGTCTTTTTTCCTCTCCAACGAAATCATTATATCAAGAAATTATGACAAATAGAAGCCTCGAAAAATTGATGATCGCGCGGTCGAGCAGCGCGCCGCGCTTATACGCTCAAGCTGCTGCAAGCTCTCTCCGCGCGCCGCGCTTACAAATATATAGAGATATGTCGCGCGTGCGAAAAATTTCCCGCAGCCAAGCGCATCATTATAAAGACAAACAATCACGGGGGAAAACTGGCCTAGGTAATGTTACCGCACCACTAGGCACTGCAGCCGAGCGAGCGAGCGAGCTTGCGACGTCGGCGGCGGCCGCTGGGGTACGGTATAGCTCTGCTGCTGCTAGCCTAGCTTACATACAACAGAGCCACAGCAGCAGCAGCAGTAGCAGAGAAAGATAACAAATTCCATTGCCCGGGAATCAAGGGTACGCAAGCTTTGGTGCGCAAGCGCGCCTGGGCACCCAAACCGGAGGCTATATCTTGTCGTATTCTTCAATTTTCGCCGTGGCAACTATATATACGTGTATCCGATAGTAGCAGTATATACACTATGTATATATGTATATATATCGGCTGCCGCGCGCGCTCGCTCGTGGCAGGTAAAGATAAAGACAGGACCTTGCCACAGCCGTATACGGCACGGAAGTGCCGCCGAGCTTGCACTGCCAGCCAGCCAGCCAGCCAGCCAGGTAGTAGTAGCAGCAGCAGAGGTATATACCGTGCACATGCCTAGCTCCGCTGCTACTGCGGCGGCGGCGGCGGCTACGGCGGCGGCAAGGTAAGAAAAGAGCAGTCGCGAGAGACATGCATGCACGCTGCGCTAGGTATATAGGACTATACACATAGCAGGCTAGCCGGGCTTTTCGCCGCAGCAGCATCAGCTCTGCCGAGGCGCGTGCGTGAGCTTGCCAGACCGAATTCTCTCGGGCTCCTGCTGCTGCTGCTGCTGCTGGGCACATGCCATGCACGAGCGAGAGAGGGAAAGAGATGGGACGCTGCTGGAGCTAGGCGGCAGGGAGGTAGGAAAGGGGGAGGGATTGAGCGTGTGAGCGTGTTTGAAGCTTGCAACGAGCGAAGCTTTGAAGCGCTCTGCTCTCTGTGTGTCCTGGTAAAACCAGACTCCGCTGCTGCTGTCCCGGGATAGAGCAGCAGCTGCAGCAAGCGGCAGCGGCAGTCGAGTACACTGCTGCCGAGGCACACGCATTATAGCAAAAGAGCCTAGGAGGAGGACACACAGAGCTCTCATGCATCTCGCGCGGGCCTGCTGCTGCTGCTGCTGCACGAGCTCCTTATTCTTCTTTCCTTTTTGCGAAAGAGAGCGAGAGAGAAGGAACGACGACGGCAAATCGGCGTGTTGTGCGGCACGAAAGATCACAGTCGCGATGACTCGATGATGATGATCTTTCGATCGAACTTGCAATCGCGTTGATCGGTGCTTTTATTGTATAGATGAGAGAGATCATTTTTGAATCGCGAGATTATCATGCATCGCTCGAGGGAACAAGTATTACATAGGATATTATTTATAACTACTTTGTTGCTGGGACAAGTGATAACGGTCTTGGAGACGAAAACCATCGGTGAGAGCACGGATCGTGGTGAGTTTATTTATTTATTTTTTTTTTTCGATTTTAAAAACATAAAAAATTTTCTATATTAATATTTCGAGCTTTAGCGAGTGCGCTTGATTCGAACGCGTAAGCTCCTTAGTTTTGAAAATTATGCTGCTTTGCATAGCTAATGAAATCATTTGAATGGTGCACGATTTGTTCTAGAAATAATTATTAATCATAATAAATAATTCTTCTTCATAAATCTCAATAAGAAACGAAGCATGTACGATGTATACTATTAATTTAACATTTTTTTATAGCTGTAAATTTTTTATTTTTGGTGATGAAAAATTTAATTTGAAAGACGACGAATGACGATCACCACCTACAACCCGCTGATAATTATTTGATGCGTTTCACAAAGTAACGGTATAATTTCAATCGAGTAATTACTTTTAGCCGCGCGTCGAGAAGAGAAGAGGAGAAAAATTTTCATTTCCGTAAAATAAATTCATATATACTTTTCACGCGTTAACGCACACGCATTGAATGGTGGCTTAAAAAATAATTTAATTTACGAGTGAATAAAAACCGATGCTTCTCCTCGCATTATAATCGAAGAGCGAAGATTACTCGTCGTCGACGCTTTTCACGGAGAAAAAATCCGTTTCATTTTCATGACTTTCTCTTTTCTTTTTTTTTTTTTTACGGCCTGATATACATTAACTAAATTCAAATTGAACCTTCCTATCCTCTTCTTTTTTTTCCTTTTTGCTCCTGGCCTATAAATCGAATTTCATGGCTAATTTGCCCCGTTATACGCATATTTTACTTACCGATGAGAGGCTCTAGCGCTCGTATAATTTTGCATTAGATATATTAAAGCCCGAAATAAACTTACGTTACCGCGCGCGCCCGCGCTTAAGTAGCTTTTTTATAAATTTGTTTTTCCGTTCGAAGGGTTTATTAATGCATTATTCAACTAGATTTTCCCTTTTTCGTCTAATTTTTCAAGATACGTCCCTTTTATTAAATATTTTCGTAAAAAAATTCTTCTTTCTCATCAAAATCGGATCGAGCTCTACGATAATAAATGCACGAGAAAAATGCAATTGTAGCGAGTTTATTAAACGCAGCTTTTAAAACAGATGAATTCCGTCGGATAAGCTCGAATCATGGAATCATATGACATCAATTTTTCCAGCTCGTCTGTACTTTTCAAATTAAAGAAGTAGCTCGCGCGGAGAAAAAAGTTTATACAGTACTAAACGACGAGTACTTTCACGAGTGCTTACTCTAAAATAGACAACGCATCCAACTTTTTCGTGCCCTTTTTTTTTTTTATTTTAACTCTGTACAAATCACCTTTTTTGTTCTTCAAGTATTAATTAACACCTCGACGCGCTTCGCACCCGGGTGGTGGTGCAGTTAAATCGTTCATCATTTCGAGCTCGCGCTGCCCTTTGAAAAATCGGTTATCGCTTCCTTTTTTTTTCTCCTTTTTTCATTCGCGAACTGCTACAACGTGTAACGTTCGCGCGCGAGATAAAATTCGTTTCCTCTCCTTTTGAATTACATTCGTGATGAAAATTTTGGCGTACGCGCGGATTTTCATCTCTCTCGGGCTGTAATACTATATATTTTTCTCCGGGACGACAAGCCTCATGGCGTTTTCTATATACGATCATTCTTTACACGTACGCGTTGGTGGGCTGTCAGGGCTGCTATAATGAACAATTTTTCAGGCGGTTTATCTTATCACAATGGACCAGAATTTATTGGGCCGGTGCAGAATCTTACGGTCGCCATCGGACGCGAGGCGACTTTCTCCTGCAGCATCAGTAACATCGGCAAATACAAGGTATGAACTATTTCAAATCGAATTAAAAATAAAATAATCATTAACTTTGCCAATAACTGTTCTATTCCGCGACTTCCACTTCATTTTAAAATCCGATAAATCCGTTATCCGATATAATTATCGGATTGTGGTAATACGGTGCGGCTGTAAATGTTCGAATAGAAAATTTCACGATAATTTTTTTCCCCCGCGCGCCTCTCTCTAGGTCGGATGGCTGAGGGCCTCGGACAAGATGATCATATCGCTGCACACGCGCACCGTGATCCAGAACGAGCGCATCGTCGTCAAGTACGATCACGCGGACAATTTCAAGAGCAGCAGCAGCAGTCAGGAGCAGTGCAACCACAAATCCAGCAGCAGTAGTGGTTGCGGGGACGAGGTGGAGGAGACGTCGAACGGCACCTGGCACCTCATCATACGCAACACCAAGGAGTCCGACAAGGGCTGCTACATGTGCCAAATCAACACCAGTCCCATGATATCGCAGATCGGCTGCTTGGATATTTTGGGTACATATCTACAGTCGCGTATACACCGAGCTCTTGCATTATGTATACATTAATTATAATCCGATAATTGATCGATTCGCAGTGTCGCCGGACATTCTGAACAACGAGACGAGCGCCGACCTGTCGGTGGTCGAGGGGGAGAACGCCACTCTGGTCTGCAAAGCCGTTGGCAAGCCTCCGCCGCGGATACTTTGGAAGCGCGAGGATGGCCAACCGATTTTGCTCAGAACGCCTTCGTACAGTGAGTATCTTAATTCGATTCGCGACAAATAAGAATTGTTAATGAGAAAAAATTGATGTATGAAAATATGTATACATTGCAGGTAGCGTTCAGTTTCACGAGGTGCCGTCGTTCAACGACTCGCGATTAGTTTTACAACGAGCCGACAGGAAGCAAATGGGAACTTATTTGTGTATAGCTAGCAACGACGTGCATCCGGCCGTGAGCAAGCGCGTCACCCTGTCGGTCAATTGTAAGTCAATTATTATCGTAATTTATATAGATTTTCCTAATCATCGTTTAACTTCAAAATGTTTTCTTTTCTTCATCACAGTTTCACCCAGTGTTCAGGCTATGAATCAGCTCCTCGGAGCGCCAGTCGGTACCGATGTTATTTTAGAATGTAGCGTAGAGGCTCATCCAAATACCGTGAATTATTGGCTAAAGAATCCAAATAAAATGCTTTTAGAAGGGTTCGTATTTGAGTTAACTGTACTTACTCTTTATGATAATCAGTTCTTTTAAAAGTAAAATTTGTTCCAGACCAAAATATACAATCAAAGAAAAACGCGAAGGCTATAAAGTCGACATGATACTTATTATACGGCAATTTAAGGAAGATGACATTGGCAGCTACAGTTGCATATCAAGTAATAGCCTAGGCAAGGTGGAGGGCGTATCTCGATTATATAGTAAGTATCGACAACCTTCATAAAAAAAGGTCAGCTAGCTCAAATTTAATTATGTTTTTAATTATACAGAGATAGACGATATCAATTCAAATAAGATTTCACACGCGTCGCATCATTACCCAGCTTCAGATGGTGAGCTCATTAAAGATATTGAATATTACGTAGAGCATTTTTTACAATGCAAATCTTAATTTATTACTTTTTCTAAGGTATAGCAGATTCAGCTCAGAACTCTGGTGGCCAAAGTATGATTAGTGCATTCGAATATTGCCAACTTCTTGTGCTTATAATTAAGGCTGCTTACTTATTGACTGCAATTTCATAGGCAGAAAACTAAGCTAAAGTAAAACTGCTGTAAATATAATGTTACCTCTAATGTACTAGTATCTAATATGTACCATCGATTTACAATATGAGCTAAAATTTAAAAAGAAAAATAAGAGATTATTTTATCTGTCCCGAATCCATTATATCAAAAGAGTATTCGTGTGAATTATTAATTACTCAATGAGCCAAATGTGTCAACTGATTGTGATTGATACATCAGTTACATTATAATTAAATATGTCAAATGGTGGAAATTATAATACAGTAAGTATGATGCATTTGTGTAAATGATGAGTATTTATTCGTACTTTTTTAACAAATTTTTTAATACAATGTTCGGTATAATATAAATTTTTTATATATCATGAACATGCGATGAACGTGTTTGTGTGATCAAAATCAACTCAACTTGAACTAAAAATCTATTTATTTCATTTCAATTGAAGCTTTTTGTCCGTTAATGGGACGTAAACGACCCCCATTAATTTTTTCTGTAAAATTGATCCATCTTCTGCTTTGTCAATTTGGAATAACGTTTGATCGGCATTTTGATAACCAATTGGTACGATCATACGACCTCCAGGTGCTAATTGATTTATTAGCTAAAATAAAGGTATAATATCATACCACTTCCTCAAATTTTTTTTATTAATCAATTAATTAGAATTTTGAATGATTTTTTCTTTATGATTATTTTGACTTGAAATTTTAATATTTGGAATGATTTATGAGAAGACTTACTTCTTTTGGCGCTTCGGGAGCCGCTGCACCAACGTGAATAGCATCATACGGAGCTTTTGATGGGTAACCTAGCCTACCATCTCCAACTGCAAAATGATTAATACAAAATTGGCTTTTTGATCAATCTGATTAAATTTGTTTTCGAAGAGAACGAAAAATACAGTTATCTCGAATTATAAATCGTAAGATCATTTCAAGTATCTACGCGTAATTTTCAAATTTGTGCGACATATCGAGTGCGGAAACATGTTATTTTGCACACTAGTGCATAATGCACAATTTCGAAAGCCTAAGATTATACGAAAATTAAAAATAATTCTTATAGATTTGATCTAATTTAGACTTAATTTTAGTAATTTAATTTAATTATTTCAAGAAGAAAATTAATAAATAAAATAATTAACCCTAAGACTCACCGACCAATTTAATTCTTTCACTTTGAAGCAATTCAGGATTATCATTCTCAATATTTCTTTTGGCCATTTCTTGGAGTTCTGGCATGTGTTCAATTCCAACTACTGTGCCACTTTGCCCAACCATCAAGGCCATGCATGTAGTTAAGTAGCCAGATCCTGATCCAACATCCAAAGCTCTCCCACCATCACGTAATGCACTGGATAAATATTCTAATGCATATCCATGCTAAAAATACATTGAATTTATTTTGTAAGAAACTAGATCAATCTAAATTAACATTTCTGATTTATCACATACAAAACTATGATTCGTTAATATCAAAAAGTATACACATTTGGTAGCTAATCTAGTAAAAATATTTTGTTAACAATTAGCATGTTCATGCAGGCATATAAAAAAATTAAGATTATTTATTGTAACAAAAAAAAGCTTCATGCTTCACTCTATTTCAATATGAAACTCTCAAACTCAAAGTATGTTTAACTGAAAAATTTTAAAAGCAATTACCATATGTGGAGCACTTATTGTTGCACCATATCCTATACCTTGTGGCGAGTCAACATATGCAATTTTAGGACTGATATATTTACCCCTATCCACTTTACACATAACGTCATAAACTTTGCTTGATTTGACAATACCAGATCCTAAGAGAAATCATTATCAATAAACATAATCATTTCTAAAACTTGCAAGGCTACAGTTAATTACATCAAATACATATAAAATACAATTTATTACGTTTTTCCCTAACTTTTGATAAAATTTTTATACTTCTTTGGTAAAGTTGAAGAAGGTACTTGTCAGTACAGATATAACTCTGCATTTTAATAATAATAAAATTATATTTAAAGAATCAAGTTGAAAAAAAAACGGAATTAAACAAATATCATGGATTTTCGTGTAAAAGTTAATGTATACAAAATAATTTCAACTCACGTTTCAAATGATTAATTAATTCTATGTGATTTTGACCATGAAATCGTCCGGAGAAAGACATCGGAAATATGTCAGTTAAAACTACACGAAATCAATAATTAATTAACGTTATAAGCATCAAATATCACAAATTGCTAACAGATAAATGTCATTCTTGCTCGAGCATGAACTGATTCTTCAAGACCATAATATAGCAGGTAAACAACTCGGTTCAGGTTATGACAGGCAAAACAACACGCATATGATGACAGTAGACTCCCTCTACGTCTGTTTCTACTTTCTACTGTGCATTAACCTTTCTCACGTAAACTGTCAATGCCTTAAAAAAAACTCAAGTCCGTCTGCATTTTTAAATGACACGATACCAATGTGGTTTCATGATAGTTGATATTCTTAGCATGTATGTAGATAATCGTATTATAAATCATTGACGCTCATTCATGGCTAGGTAAACTTTACTTCATGTAGTGGAAATTTTTATTGAGAGAATTTGATTTCATAATCATATTCACATGATATTGATACTGATTCATCTCGTTTTCTTGTCGGCTTTACTTTAGGTATTATTAGTTCATAAAATTTAGATATTTCATCTCATCATTAATAAATTCATCATTAAAATGCTTGAAAGTGTAAAAGTGTAACTATTAGTTTATTATATTGCATAAATAGTGTTTATGAAAAGCATGAAAGATAATTTTACAAGAGCAATATCAATAAAAATTTAATCTTACATAATTGCCTGAATTATGGTTAATAATTTAAAAGAAGCACTCAATCTGTATTAAAGGCATTTGTATCATATGATGAACAAAGACATTTTGTAGCTATCAAACTATTGCACAAGTTATAAAAAGGAAAGAAAGAAACTTGAAACCAAGTGCATATTTTATTTACTATTAAAGTCAAACAGTTATTCTAGCATATGCTTTATCTGTAAATTAAAATGAAATGATTAACTATCATTACATGATGATGCTTTAGACATTATTAAAGTTGGTAATTGGTTGGTCTGTATAAACCTCATTTAATTCATTAGTGTCTAAAATTGTTAACAGTTAAAAAGACTTCAAAATATAAAATTTTAATTAATCATTTAATAAAAACTCAAATACCATCCACATATTTCAACTGAATTTGTTAATTGATTACATTTTTAACTTTACCAACGGTTTTATGAAGGAAGATGACTTACACATTCTATTTATTTAGTCTAATTTGACAATTCAAAATTTTTATAGAATAATTTTATTTATATTATCTTTTGTTTTTGCTGTTGCATTGTAATTAAAATGCTTCATTTGAACTCGTGTTTTTTTTTTTTTGAAAATTCAAATCATAAATGGTCAAGAATAAAATGGGTTTTCAAATTATTTTCAAAAGAAAAAGATCCATTCAAATCAAAAATATCAACATTTGAAAGAAATCCAAATACCGATATTATAACTTATGGCATTGAAATCGTGCTTGCATAATCTTTATGCTTTCGCAAGTACGAAGTTACATACTCAAATTATTTAAGCGTCATTCATTATTTATACTTTTCATTCATGCACGAAAAGTCAACGTAACGCTGAACTCGTATACAATACTAATTTTTTTTTGTCTATTGCGCACGAACAGATTTCCAGAATGAATACATTTTACAAGCAAATCTTAACTAAAATTAAGACACGCGAATTGCCGAGACACTCTATTATCCATCGATGCGACAGTTCGCTCGCCAAGTAAGTCCTTTTTCTCTCTCTCTATCTCTCTGATAGCACACGCAAATCTTACGTAAGTAATTTGCGAAAAAAATAATAATACCCAATTTGAATAATTCGTACACGACAGAAGTCCTTCGACGACGACGTACGACCTCGTTGTGGTCGGGGGCGGAATAGTGGGATGCGCGACTGCCAGAGAGATGAAAAAGCGGCGACCCGATTTTAAGATAGCTATTGTCGAGAAAGAGAATGAACTTGCCAAACATCAAACTGGACATAATAGCGGCGTTATACACGCGGGCATTTACTACAAGCCGCAAAGCATAAAAGTAAGCCTTTCCAATAAACTTACAATGACGAATTATACGATCTATCAAGGCTCCCCTTTTTTTCTTAATTGAAAAAGGCTGATGCTTTTCTCGAGCCAAGCGCGCGTAACGCGATTTCTTGAGGTTTGAGCTTTTTGCAAGCACGGAATGATACGATTCAATTTTTCAGGCAAAATTATGCGTCGAAGGCTTGCATTTGTCCTACGATTATCTCAACAAGAACAACATACCTCACAAAAAAGTCGGAAAACTTATTGTAGCTCAAAATAAGAGTCAAGTTGCGCAGCTGAATAATCTTCACGAACGAGCTTTACAAAATAATTGTCCCGATATAAAAATCGTCGACAAAGATAAAATTTCGAGCTATGAAGGAAAGTGTAAGGTATAAATAATTTTTTTGAAAACAATCATATTTCTGTTTCAGGCGTATGTACACTCTTTATTTTATATCAAAATTGCTTTTATATAAAAATTATACATGAATCGTGTATAAAAATTGTTCGTGATTGAAATCATTTACAGGGTGAAAAAGCGATTTGGTCGCCGTGGACTGGAATAGTTGATTGGGCTTTGGTTTGCAATCATTTTGCGAAGGATTTTCAGCAAATGGGTGGCGATGTATTTTTAAACTTCGAAGTGACTGGATTTGCAGAAGCCGAAGACTCTTCCGCGAAAATAGATTCTCATCATATTCGCGTACTTTCTAAGGGCAAGGTGAGAAATTATTTTCATAACTGAAATTTTCCTCAATTTTCGATAATAATATTTTCCACCTTCTTGACTGTTCATTAAAATTTTAAATAATTTTTGCAGCATATCAAGGCAAAGCATGTATTGACGTGCGCAGGCTTGCATTCGGATAGACTAGCCGTTATGAGCGGGTGCGACAAAAGTCCAGCTATAGTGCCTTTTCGTGGAGAATATCTTCTTTTGAATAAAGAACACTCTCACCTGGTTTCAACGAATATATATCCGGTACCGAATCCAAAACTTCCATTTTTGGGTGTTCACTTCACACCAAGAATCAACGGTGATATATGGCTAGGGCCAAATGCAGTTTTGGCATTTTCTAGAGAAGGATATCGCTGGTCAGATATCAATATCCGAGACTGCATTGATTTTTTGAAATTTCCTGGATTTTATAAACTTGGTTTGAAGTATACTTACCCTGGAATGATAGAAATTCTCAAATCTGCTTTTTACTCATTAGCAGTGAAAGATTGTGCAAAATTCATTCCTGATGTAAAAACAGATATGGTCACACGGTAATTACTATTATTCAAATTTTTCTAAACATTCCATTGTATATTAAAAACCAAATACATTTTCAGAGGTCCGGCTGGTGTTCGTGCCCAAGCTCTTGATAGGGATGGGAATCTTGTCGATGATTTTGTTTTTGATTATGGTACTGGAGAAATGGGTAAAAGAATTTTACATTGTCGTAATGCCCCATCGCCAGGAGCTACGAGTAGTTTGGCAATAGCAAAGTACATTTCTAATAAACTAGAAAAAGACTTTTATTCCTGAACCTTGTAAAAGGTAAAAAATATAACAATCACATTTTTATAAATTACTTTATCTGTCCTTAAGCAATTATGGCCAATCATAAAATTTTTAATCCATTTCTAGATATCAGAACACTTCTTCCAGCAAAATCATATGCTGCAGTTACATGAAATCCCATATTTGTTAAAACAACAAGATACTCCGCTAAGGCAAATAGTGAATAGACTGGAAAAAATATTTAAATTAGTTAAGATTAATCATGATATAATTTTTCTTGTAGCCTTTTTTTCTTACCAAAAGGTTCACAGTATTTATTGTGTCTATAGAAAAAATAGCAAGCTAAAATTATTCCAGCTAAGTTTGAGATCAAAGCTCTTAATTTCCATCTGAGCGAAATTATATCATGAACCTCTCTTGTTGTACTGCGGCACATTTTTGCAATTATGTATGAAACATTCATGTATATAAATGATGTGAATAAAAATATCATAAACGAAAGCTTGTGCAATGCTGAAAAAATGTATTTTATTAAAATAAATTTATTCTATTATCTACATTAATTTTTTCTTTTATGTATTCTTTATAAAAATATTATATGAACTAATTAAATAAAAATGTTAATTTTTAATTAAAATTTTCTTATTACTTTTTTTGTGTGGATAAAGTTAAAAATTATATCTACAAGAAATGCAACAGATAGTAAGACATCTTATCAAGCAGCTTATGTGCTAATAAAGAAATTAACTTATTTATCTATAAAACTGATAAAATGAATAATTTGATAAATTACCATAATTTTCATTTGACGTCCAAAAACTGAGAGTCACTAATGATGTATTTTCAATTACATAAGTCACAAGAGCTAACCGAGTTAGCTTATGAGTTGTAGGATATGTATTCTTTTTGTAGTATTGGTAGTGCAGGATAATCATGTAAAATCTAATGATTGCTTGGATCACAGTGGTCATCTTCCAAATGTTTTTCTGCGGTTGATAGTGACCAATGGTAGCAGAAACCGATGGTAATGCATTATACACTTTGCAATGGGTGTTGGTCGACTCCTCGAAGTTGTACATTATTGTCCACAAAATGCAAAAAATAAAACTGAAGCATTGTATCGAGACGGTGAACCACGCGATTCTCGCGAACGGTATGATGACACGAAAACTGCTAATTTTCTTATCGACCAAAGGAATGTAGTCGGATTTTACACTAAACTCGTTCATGATTTGAGATAGTTTATTTGCTCCGAATTGTAAAACTATGATAATTTAGATTGTGTAACGAACGGAGGCCTTTTGTGTTGTGTGGCTCGCATACCGGTCAGCGAGCTTCAAGTCAGACTGTAGACATTGATAGGCGAATCTTATCTATATATACACGACTGTACACGGCGCGTTTGCAATGCAACTAAAGATGCAGCTGTTTTCGTCTGTATACTAATATGGTTCACTGACATTGGACTCGCGAATTCGCAATGAGCCGTCTGCCGCGAGCCGAGGAATGGACACGTGACCATGTAAGGCGGCCAATGAGAAGGATTACGAAGCGCGTCATTTGAAAAACTTTGTATAATCAAATTAAAGTCTTAGATTCAACGGTTATCGTATTTTATTCAAAGAGCTTCTCGCCTTTTGACGTATACAAGTAAAAATAGTATTGCATTGTGTCTCGAATCCTTAAAAATGATTCGAATAAAAAATTTTATTTTATATACAATGTACAATTTATAAAATCAATTTCTCCAATCGATAATTGGCTTATTAGATTGTGAAAAATAACTGTACGAGTCCTTTGGCAAATTGGATTATTTCGGAGCCGCCGAGTTTCGAGCTTCCGTAGACACGATCAATGAACGAGATGGGTACTTCTTCGATGGAATAATCAAACTGACGAGCTTTGACAATCATCTCCATTTGAAAGACGTATCCTTTGGATATACAAGACGAAACGAGATTTTGCAGCACTTCTTTTCTGTACAATCTGAAGGGAAAAAAATTTTTTGTAAAGTGAAATTTTATCCTGAATTTTACAGTTAAGAATACGAAGTTAAGACGATATTTTACCTAAAACTGCCTGTCAAATCGCTAACTCCAGGCGCCAAGAGGACTTGCGTCAAGTAATTAGCTGCTCGACTGATGAATTTCCTGCGAAAATCCCATCCATAAACGCCTCCGTTACCCGCGTAACGAGTACCGGTGACGATATCACAGTTTGTTTCTTTTTGACGTTTGATCATTTCAGGAATGAATTTTGGCTAGAGAATAAAGGTCATAAAGATCAATTACTAATTTTTGACCCATTTTTAAAGTAACAACTAACAAGTTCTTTTTGTTTATAATTAAAATGCATTTTGTAAAACCTACATGGTGTGACAAATCAGCATCCATGATAATGATGAAGTTTCCAGTTGCTCGTTCCATTCCATGAATGTAAGCTGTGCCTAAACCTAATTTTTTGGCTCTAGGCTCCAAACGAACAATATCTGTTCCGTAAACTTTTTGCAACTGTCTGGCCATATCCTGAGTGCCATCAGGAGAATTATCATCAATTATGATAATTTCATAACTGGCTTTCCTGAAGCATTTATTAGATATTATACATCAATTAAGTGTTTGATTTTTTTAATCACTATTATTGTGATATTGTGATATTGTGATATTATACTTACACATTATTCATATGTTCACAAATAAGCCAAACAATCAAAGGTAAATTATCGACTTCATTGTAAGTAGGAAGCAAAATAGAGTACTTGTGAACCATTTTGTATGACTTGATGAAATCAATATCTTAAAGAAGTTAAGTCCTGCAAAAAAACACTCTTATCAGTGATTGCACATTTTTAATAGTTACTTTCTTTGTACGTGGTTAAAATGTTGAACTGATTCTACAGCCAAGACTAAAACTTTTTAGACAAGATTTTATTATATTAACAAATTGCCACATAGGCTCTCAATTTAATCAACACAGAGATAAAGAATATATTCAATAAAATTTCAAAAATATTTTTAGAGCCATTATCACTTACCAAATGTCTATAGTATTAAAAATATAAATACAGTTTTTACTCTCCTAATCTTTACTTAAATGATACAGCTAATGGAATGAAAATACTGAGTTGATTTACAAAATTGTACTATAATGACAACATGAGATCACTATGCTGCTATTGCTCTGCTGTCATATTTCATTACGATCAACAGTTGTGAGTTGGAACTTCGAAAAAATAGGTTATGCACCGTAAGTGGGCGACAAAAAAACAAACACCCAATTCTACATTCAGCATGCCTAAAATCATCGTTGCAGAAGAAGCTTGAAAATTGAGCTGTGAGCACGTTCAATTTCAGTGCATTTTTGTTACTCTGTCTGCTAACCAGCAAACCGGTGCACGAAATTTTGCACCATCAAACCAAAAGAATTCTTTTATTGATTATATATCAATTTATTAACAATGCGAAGATTATACTTGAATCTTGCCTCGGGATATGGATCTCCAGCAGGAGATACTTACCCGAAAGTTTTAAGATTTATTAGATACGGCTGTGCGAATCGAGCATTTTATCACCTCACCTTAATGAATGTAAATATACTTTTTCTTAATTATTATCTTTAAATTATTAAGCTTATTTGACGTAAACAGAAATTTACTCTATAAAATGTAAGTCTTCAATGCGATTTCTGAAAGTTTAAAATTTAATTGATCTTTTTTAGCAAAAAAGTCAACAAAAAGTCAGAGCAGTTGAACAACTTGGCAGTTATGACACAGTACACAACAATCACAGTGAAAAACTTGTTGCTTTGAATCTAGAAAGAATTCAATATTGGTTTACTAGAGATATGAAAGTTACTCGGCCATGCCTAGAAATTTTAGGATTAGCAGGATTTTTACCAGTTCATCCAAGAACTTACATGAGAGCGTGGAGACAAAGAAGGTTGATCAAATATATGGAATAATTAATGTAGTATTTATAATTAAATTAATTGTACATCTTATTGTTTGAATTAAATGCATTGTTAAATTGAATTATTAGTTCATCTTCATTTCAACTAAAATAGAATCATAAGGTATTGATAAAGGGCAAAAAAGATTTTATACAAAATATATAAATTTATCAAAATGTTGTATGAATATACAGAAGTCTTAGAGTGTTATTATTAACATACTCTCATATAAAACAAGTTATAACAGTTTCAACAAAATTTTAAACAGTTTTAATAAACTTTGAAACTAGATGTTTTAGTGTATTTCTTAGCAAATTCTTTTCCACTAATAGTTGGCGTGGAAAAAGCAATATCTTCTGTAGACAAGATTATACCATAGTAATAGCTTGATCTAAAAATTGAAATCCAAATCAAAATACTATTTTAATAATCAAGTACATCAAATAGAAATTCATTTAATCATCTTTACCTGAGAATATCAATCATTTTTGAAGCAATACCCTTTCTTCTATGACTTTCAATTGTCCACACAAGAAAAATCCCACACTTAGCATCTGTAGATTCATTTGAACAACATGTTGTACCTGGTACTAAATCTGGTAATACAGTATAAGCTGATTTAATTTGTTCGCCTATCAATAGACCTACAATTGTTTTTTTCTCTATGTACAGGTATGCCTAGCAAAGTGAAAAAAAAAAATACAATTGAATTATTATATAAATAAGGAATTGTTTATGTATAAATTATAAATTACTTTTTTGGTTTCAACATTTTCACTTGTAAAATCAGAGAAACCCAAGTCTTCATTAGCAATATGAAAAATTTCAAAAACTTTTTTCCAATGAGAACTTGGATCATGAGATTCTACCAATATAATACGCACATCTGCTAATTCATTATTATAAACAATGCGTTCTTTTTTCCAGCCCTGAAAAAATCATTATTATTATTAAATTATTTTAAGTAGTGATAAATTTTGGTGATGTTCAAGTTATATTTAGATTTTGAAAACTACCTGGAATTTTAATACTTTATAAGTATTATGATAATTGTAATGGGCAGTCTCATCTTTTTTATCTCCAATTTGATATATCATTTTACACTCACTGCATTTTATGGCTCCAAATTTGTTTTGACCTGCATCTATTTGATATTGATTTTCAGAATCACTATCTTTCATGGATTTTAAAACATTAGTTGTTTGTTTTTCAGTCATCTGATTACTAAAAATAAATGAATAACATATTAAAAATTACATCAGTTATATGAAATCTTCATTTGGATAATAAATACTTACTTTTTAGAAGTTGGATTAAAATTCTTGGAAAATAAGGGAAAATATTTTTCTTGTGTTTCTGTATTGTTACTAGAATCTTTTGAACTTGTTGAAGAACTAGATAATTTAATTGAATCAACACTTGTTTGTTCTGTAGGGCATTCTTGATTGTTATCCATAGCTTCTTTTGTTATAATACTTGTTTTTACATTATATGAGTTATCATTACACGTAGTTGATAAATCATTATTTGTATAACTGATTTTATTTTTTAAATTTTCTTCTTTATCTTCATGCTCAAGTTTATTTATTATATTAACTACATCTATCTTTTTTACAGCTTCATCTTCCTCAAAAGAATAAGATTTAGATTTTTCCTCAGTTGACATGTTGAAAGTGTCTGTACTAAGATTTGAGTTTGCTTTTTGCAAAGTTTCTGGATTATTACTTTTTTTTGTATTTATCACTTTATTTACTACAGTAGCATTTTCTTTGATATTATTAGAATTAATTATTTTGCTATCTTTGCCTTTTATTTGTTCAATTTTTGCTTTATTAATAACTGGTTTGGGCTTGGGTTTTGGTTTTTTTATTCCATGCCCAACTCCAAAATTTATTCCACCATCTCTTCTTTTCTTTTTATCCATTGCTTTTTTATTCTTAGCACTACTTTTGTAATATGAAGGGTTGTAATAAGATGATTTTTGAGTATTTGGTGGTGTTTTTATCTTTGGTGGTTGGTATTTTTCTTTAATATCTTTAACAGATTTGTTCAGACTTGTACTTACATTAGAATTTGAATCTCGGTCTTGGAAAAGGCTTATTTTAACTTTTGATAAAGGTTTGATTAAACTTTCACTTTTATTAATGTCATTTGGTATTAAATTGTTTAAAATTTTCTCAGAACCTTGTTTTATTTCTGGAGATGGGGTATTTTCAGTGAATGATGCATTTAACAATTTTCCCTTCTTCTTTTGTATTCTAGGCAATGGTATAGCATATCTTACAGGAACTTTATTTCTACTTTTTTCTGGTGTTTCAGGCACACATTCCCCTATTGGTAAATCTTCTGATGAATCTGAGAACTCGTCACAAGAATCATAATAGATTTCTTCATTACTTGATATACTATAATTATGTAATGAACGTTTTTTATCATTCACAGAGCGGTCATTTGAAAAATTCTTAAATGCATCTGTGGGCTTAATACTTGGTTCTTCCCATTCCTGGAACATTTAAAACATTCATTTTAACTCAAATGATTGTTCTCTTGAATTAACAATTATGCAGATATAATGCTTACAACAGGCATCTTAGATAAGTTTTTTATGAAGAGATGCTTTGCAATAATTCCTTGATTTGATACTAGTAACAACTTTCTTGGAATGTCTTTGTCACCAATTCAAATTGGCTAATATAAATGAGTGCTATTTTTAAAAACGTGCAGTATAACTTTATTGTATAAAATTATAAGTGTTGCAAAACGAGCACATGTCAATTCCTATAACTTACGAGTTTCTTCGTACTTCCAAATATCACACCGATAAAGAAAATATTTCGCGCCTAAATATTATTTAAAACAATACTGCAAGATACAGAATTATATACAAGTTCTTTTTTGTTGATCAAGATCATAAAATTGTAACTACTAATGTTAAGAAAAGTAGAAAATTATAAAAAATGAAGCATAAATCTACTTGTCAAACTTAAGACTGCGTGTTTGGACTTGCGACTGAAGCAAGAAAAATTTGCCGGGAAAAATGTGTCAATGTGTGTTGTGTATGTGTATAGTATGCGTGCAGTCTACAATGCCAAATCGAAATTTCAGTGACAATTATTAGTCAGTATTTATTAAAAAAAATTTAATTAATCACAATATGTTTACAAAAAACCTTCAACTAACAATTTGTTAAAAATCATTTTATTACTTTTAATTTTATTTGATTCAGCAGTTAATGAAATATTGACCGAGGCAAAATTTGACGCGAACAAGAACCGTCTGCGAATTGGTTTCTCATTCCTCCATTGTACATGCCAGAATCATCTTTTGATTTCTGCGTGTTCATGTCCTTACAAACTTTTCAATTTGCAAACGCGTTGTGCTTGATCATCCAAAATTTTAAATCGCCGGAGCAGTGTGTTGATAAGTGTCAACCAGAAAACAGGATTCACCCTTCGACGCCAAGTCCATAGGATTTGATTATTTTTACGTGCTCTCGCAATTTAATTTAAAAACCGCATTATCACGATGAGCTCCATCGGCACAGGGGTAAAATAATATTTTCAATCCTTGCCAATTTTACTTTTTCGCAGATTTATTTTTTTCATTTATTTATGCATTTTTTACTATTTCTCGGACTATATCCTTAAGATCAATTGGTAAACATTCAGTAGTCTATGAAAATATGCAATGATGATACGTTGAAAGAAATTCAACTAAACGCCGTAAATATGTGCTTGTTTAGCACAACAATGTAAATTTGGTTAGAATTCTTTTACTGCTCATTAATGAAATTAGTACAAAAATATGAGAAATTGATGAATTCTCGTCAATTTGTTTATTCATTTAGAATACTTATGAAGCAAACAATATTTTTATAATTAATCTCCATCTTGTCTAACTTGAAATTGTCAAAATGTGTATGTCATTCTATGACTACTAGAGGTATTTTTGTAATTTCAATTTTCTTCTTCAATTTTCTAATTTACTTATACCATATCAGCTTATTTTTGGGATTAAAAAATGTCAGCTATAAACTGTTGCCAACCAAATCTTCAAATAATTAATTAATTTCATTATGTTTCCAGTATGATCTCTCAGCTTCACAATTTTCTCCTGATGGACGTGTATTTCAAGTAGAATATGCCCAAAAAGCTGTTGAAAATAGTGGGTAAGTTGATAAATCTAATTTAAATATCCAAATATAATTTATTCTGTCAGTTTTTGACTTTTTAAATGCTTTCAGAACTGTACTTGGACTGAAAGGAAAAGATTGTGTAGTTTTCGCTGTAGAAAAATTAGTAACATCTAAACTCTATGAGCCATTTTCAAACAAACGAACATTCAATGTTGATCAGCATATAGGATTGGCTGTATCAGGACTTATTTCTGATGCACGTCAAATAGTTGAAACTGCTAGATTAGAAGCTTCAAATTACAGAGGACAATATGGAGTTGGTATCCCATTGAAATACCTTAATGATCGTTTATCAATGTTCATGCATGCGTATACTCTGTACTCTGCCGTCAGACCATACGGATGCTCAGCAATTTTGAGCTCTTATGAAGATAATAAACCAGAAATGTATATGATTGATCCTTCAGGAGTATCTCATGGATATACAGGATGTGCTATTGGTAAATTTTAATTTTGTAATTGTGTAATTAAATTTTGAGTGTTAAAAATAATACAATTTTTTATCATTTTTTATGCCATTAGGTAAAGCGAAACAAGCTGCTAAAACAGAAATTGAAAAACTCAAGCTTTCAACACTGGATCACATTGCTCTAGTAAAGGAAGCCGCAAGAATTATTTACTTGGTTCATGATGAATTGAAAGACAAACAATTTGAGCTTGAAATGAGTTGGGTTGGTGAATGTACTCAAGGAAAACACGAAAAAGTTCCGTTGAACATCAAAACCGAAGCCGAAAATGCAGCCCGTCAAATATTAGCAGATGATTCGGACAGCGATGTCGACGAAATTTAAAAATATTTCAAGTTTTCCGTTTAATTCTAAAAAGAATCGGAAGTACATTTTGTTAATTTGCATAAAAACTTTATTCTTAAACATCGTCGTAACTCTTGAGTCAAGATGTATGATAAATTTGATTTTACATAAAAAAATATGTTAAATCTTTATTCTCAAAAGAAAAAAAAAAACAAATAAATATAAGGAATGGTTTTTACAAACACAATAACTCTTTTTAATTTTTTGACTTAGTACTCCATTTCTGCAAAAAATAATATCAAATAATTACAATAGCTTAAAAAATGGTCTATCTTGATGAGTAAAATAAATAGGATGGGAAAGATAAGGATCAGTGAAGAGAAACCATGTAATCTTATTAACTATCATTATATTATAGAGCAATGATCTGACTCTAAAGGTCTTAAAGTATATAAAACATGTATGTTTGAAAGCTTCAAATCACTTTTGGTAAATACAATTATGATTAATCTATGGTTTGAAATAATACAAGTGTAAAATTTTGCTATTCATTGCAAAACATTTGTACACATTTTAGCTATTAAGGTTTATTTATGCAATTTTATAAATAGTTCTAGACTCAAAATGAATATGGGTCAGACCTAATATGAAAATTAGATGATCAACATGCAATAATTAATTTTATAATCGTCAGAGATATATATCTCTAAGTGATTCCTGAATCACAAGAATAATTAATGAATAGAACAAGACAGTGATTGCTCATATAGGACAAAATTTTCACTACAAAGATCTTTTAAATGTTCACTTATTTCGTCTGTGCTGTTACTCGTTTGCAAATTTCATTGGTGTATTCACTACATTTAGCAGAACCTCCAAGATCACCAGTCAAATATTTGGCTTCTTTGATGGTTTCGTATGCTGCATTTTCAATAATTTTGGCATGACTGTTGAGACCCATATGTTTCAGCATCATGACAGCCGAAAGAAGAAGAGCAGTAGGATTGGCTTTGTCTTGTCCAGCAATGTCAGGTGCTGTTCCATGGACCTAAATTTATAAATTATATATTTATAAAAAATTGACACATAAAAAAGTATAATTAATTTTTTTTAAGTATTAAGAACTTACTGATTCAAACAGAGCTCCATTTAATCCAATATTTCCACTAGGTGTAAGACCTAATCCTCCAACTAATCCAGCACACATATCTGATAAGATGTCACCATAAAGATTAGGCATGACAAGTACATCATATTGGCTTGGATCTTGTACCATATTCAGACACACAGTATCCAAATATCTTTCCTCGAATTTAACATTTGGGTACTTTTGGGCTGCTTCACGACAACATCTCAAGAATAATCCATCAGACATTCTCATAATATTTGCTTTGTGAACAGCTGTGACCTACAAAAATTAATTCATAACATAAATATTCTATTTTATGTCAAATGTTGAATTATTATTATTAGACACATACCTTCTTACGATTATTGCTTTGAGCATATTCAAATGCAAAATCAGCTACTCTAGATGAAGCTTCTTCAGTAATGAGTTTGATAGATTGTACCACTCCTTCAACAATTTCATGCTCTATTCCTGAGTATTCACCTTCAGTGTTTTCTCTGATAGTGACAACATCAACATTGTCATACAGAGTTTTGTAACCCTCCAACGATCTGCATGGCCTTACGTTGGCATAAAGATTGAATTCTCTAAAATGATCAATGATTTTATGATGAATTAAATATTCTAATGAAATGTATTAATAGAATGATGATTGTATTATCTTTACTTTCTGAGGGCAAGATTCAAAGAACGATGGCCTTTGCCAATTGGTGTCATCAATGGTCCTTTAAGACCGATTTTATTTCTGTTGATAGAATCAATGGCAGCCTGTGGGATTCCAAATTTGCCATCAGGCCCTCTCACTGGAGTAACATCTACAGATTCCCATTCAATGGGTACCTTAAAAAAAATAAAAGCATCCATATAACATTTACAATACATGAAGCCTTTTAAAGCTATACAGATATAGCAATAAACATAGTTATGTAACATATTGTAGTTTATTTTTAGAGACTCCAAATTAATTTTTTTACAATCAGAAAAAATGTGTTTGATAGTATTACTTGAATTATAAATAAATATTATAATTTCATTTTATGGATCAAAATAAGTACGAAACATGCAAATTTTGAAATTCGTTGTAACTGATTATTTTGAAAACAAAAGTCACAGTTTGTGAAGCACAGTGACTGTAACCAAGTATTAAATTTTTAATGTACAACAATTATAACATACCTTGGCTGCCTCGAAAATTTTCTGCACAGCTGCAGAAATCTCAGGGCCAATTCCATCTCCTGGGATTAGAGTGCACTTGTGTAACTGACTAGAATACAAACGAGCCCCGCTAATTTTGCTAAGGATCTGTTACATAAATGAAGTACCATGTTAATAGCGAAAAAATTGACTTCATCTTTATGATTCTAATTAAAGATCGATCATTTGTCGTTACGATATTTATAGACGTCGCTCATTTCTGAATGGAAGACAACGTGATAATAACCATATTTTTTATAACTATACTTACGGTATTGCGGATCAAATGTAGAGACATTGCTAAAAATTTATTGTCTGGAATGAAATGTCGATAAATAGAACACTCGTGCAAAATCTCTCAGTAGGGCAGACTTTTTTTTATTGAAGAAGGTAGTAGTCTGCCTTTATTAAGGCCTGTACGACGAACGCGAGCGAGCAACGAGTGGAGGGAATAAGGCAGCAGTTTGACTAAACACGAATTTCTGCACAACGTCCTGAAATATCTGCGCGAAGGCGCCACACGTGATACGATCAGGTCGACTCGAGAGCCACAAACTACCGTCAATTCTGCACAGCAATACTGATCTCAATGCGAGAATTTTTTATGTAGCTCCGTGGAGTCGAAAAAATTTTTTTGACTCGAGTTTCGGAGCTTTACCACTGCGCGACTCGGTCACCGTTCTCCCATTCCCGCCGCCACTCAGTTCGGATCAATCCCGCAGGCGGCTGCTGCGCCAAAAACTTGTCGTGAGTGAGATCTTATTTTGCTCTCTATGACATAACGTTGACTATAACAACATTCGGAGTTTGTCAAGTCAACGATCGTTCGTGTTTTTCCAGAGCTCCGTAGACGGTAATTTCACGAAAAATTAGCCGACAATGGTTTTGACGGACAAGTTCGACCTCCCCACGATCGAGGAATTGACCGTGCCAGAAATCAATCTGACTTTTCCAACTCTGCAGGCTGCAGCTCATCATTTGGGCAAATATTGCGAATGGAAAAATCATGTGAGTTTATATTGTGTTTGTATTTAACCTTGCGATGCTTAGACTGTTGATGAAGCCTCACAATTTCTACGAGAACATTGACACTTATTTTATAATAAAGTTTAAAAATCTTAAAAATAACCAATGTTTTAATGCTAGCAGACGACAACAAGCAATAGAAGCAATCTTTCTTTTTAATATTCTGCAAATTTAAAGTGTTAATGTAAACAAATTAGATAAATTTTCAGTAATTTTCATTACCAACTGGTGACTATTAACATTAAGTTTTGAAATCTTATATTGTTGCCATTTCTAAACATTAATGATGCTTAAATAATTAATGCTAGCATATCACTAATGTATGTTTACAATTATTTTTTACACTTCAATTCAAAACACAGTTGTGAATTACTAAAATATCTTGACAAGTCAATATTCCCATATATTTGATATTTCTTTGTTATAATTACTCTGGCTGCCTTATTAATCAATCTCTTATATCCTTAATTAATTAATTCATTCATTTGTTTTAGGAATTCATGTTGTGTAAAGTTGAAGAGGAAGATCCTAGAAAATGTGTAAAAGAAGGAAAAGATGTAACTGCTTGCTCTTTAGAGTTCTTCCAGAAAATTAAAAAACATTGCCGAAAAGAATTTGATCAGTATGCTAATTGCATTGATAAATCCAGTGGAAGTTCATCGTTTGCTCCGTAAGTAAAAATTCACGAATGTTCTGAACAAAGTTGAAAAATGAAAGGTCTCTCAGAGTCATTATGTTATATTACATTATAATATTTGCTGTTTGAACCAATGACTTTACCAATCTTGAAACTACTGTCATAATTGTGATTTTATCTTTGTTAACATTTTAATTTATGCTGTTGTGATATTTACAGTTGTCGCAAAACACAAAGTGTATTTGATAAATGCGTTTTGGATAACTTGGGACAAGAGAGGCCAGGATATGGTTATTTCTGCGAAGCAAAAGTTCATGAAACATCAAGACCAAAACCAACATATAATGCACCAGAATTTCCAAATGCTGCTGTACCAATGTCAACAGATGAACCATTATTACCGCCTAGATATGGCTCAAGAAGAGTCTTATCGGCTAATTAAGTAGCAAAAATTTTTATTTAAAAATCATTGAATTATTGAATAATTAAAAAGAAAATATTCTACACCTTGATATGATTTGAAGGTTATTGTCTTTGTTGTAGCATTGTTAAAGAATAAAATAATATTCGACTTGTACATTAATTAAAGAGGTATTATTATTTTTATATCAAACATAATCAATTATTTTAACAATGTTGGAATTAATTTCAGCAGGTTGAAGGAATCTTCAGTACTACAACCTGTTGACGGCTAGTTTATTAAATATAATTACTATATTATGAAGATTTTTTTAAAACTAAATCGCGATGTGCCGTTCAATTATCTGGCAAGGATAATACACCTTTATACATCAACGTTAAATAAAAGTTAAATTTATTACAATAATTATTTTTCACATTGACTTCAATGCTTTCTCATTCGCAATTTTAATAAATACAACGTTACAAGAAAATATTTATTTTTCAAATACTTTTAGTGATATTTTATTTCTACTGTATATGGCTCTAAAATCAAAAACTCTTTATCATCAATATAAATCATCTTGTATGTACAAAAGATATTAAATTTTCATAATCTGAATGACTTGTCTACTCCAATTGTAGATTTTTTATTTCCACTTGTCGATCTAGGACTCTGCTCAAGCGATGAATCAAATACATTTTCATACGAGGTATCGGATAATTGAGGATATGTTTTTTCCGGGGTCATTTTCAATCTGCAAAAAATATATAGGCCATAAATAAAAATTCTAAAAATAAAAGCTTTTGAAAAATCTATGAAACTTTTTGAATTTCACCTCATAGATTCTACTCCACTGATATCCAAGGGATTTGATGAATTCGATCTAGGGGTTGAAAGTCCAGGAATTAACGAGTCTCCTCTTCTTCCCGATGTACTACTTCTTCGACTGCTGGTCGGGGTATCGCCGGTATTAATGATTTTTCTTGGTATTCTGCTTGGAATGCTGGTCTCGTCTGTTTTCAGATATAAATATTAGTAAAAATTTCCAATTTCATCCTTTTAAAATTATCCCACGAGTTAAGAAATTTTTATTACCTGTACTATTAAGTGACTGAGTTGATCCATATCGACTAGGTGGTCTACTACCTTGTTGGGAAGGTGGTCTACTACTGGTTCGACTGGCAGGTCGGCTTGCTGATCTACTGGACGGACGACTACTTCCTGAGGAAAAGAGGCTCTTTTGCGACGAGCTGGTCTTTTTCAAATTCTTCAAAGAATCCAAGTCGCTCAAATTTTCGGGTGTACTCGCACCAAGCGATGCACGTATCGACTGAGACTGTCCCATTGGTAAGCTTCGGTAACTTCTCTCTCTTACCTATGAAAAATCATTAACACGTTACAATGGAGGAACTATGACTATTATTCATGTATTTGGCGGCAAATTTTTACTACTATCGCAACAACTTACTTTAGTGATTGGGCCAGTTGATGACAAATTATTTCTGTTCATAGAAGGAGATACTTTCGATTTAAATGCTGTCATAGATTGGCTTACACCATCTGCCAAGATAAATTGCTCGCGCAATTCAATGTTGGTCCTTCCTTTGACTAATTATTTAAAAAAGAAGAAGAAGGAAATATAAATAAGGTTTTTGTAATCTTGCATGAATATTATTGCTATAGTTTGTACTTACTTCTGCAAGGATCATTTTTCAGTAAAAATTCATCAAGAGCTACCCAACCACCACCGACTCGCACCATAACGGTGGATCTTAAAATCCTGACAAGACGAAGTTTTTGACTATCTCCAAACTGAAAAATAAGTAAATTGTAGATAAACTTGTTCAGCTCCGAGAAAATCTATAATTCAAAGTCTATTTTATTTGTACTCACTCTGTATTTTCCCTCACCAACTTGGAAAACACGGAATTTCTGCCGGCAAGTACACAGCATGATTAATCGCTTAACTTCGTCATGGATTTTATCACCGTCATGTGCGGTACGACGCTCTTCCCAGTCGGGTCTCAGCGCAGCAATGAATTCTTTCCAATCGATGAGGCCTTCACCGTTACGATCGAACAAATCGGATACGGCTCCCATTTCAAGCCGCGAAGTGTCAAATTCTGAAAATTTAATAAATCATTTTTAATATCAATTTATTTTCAAGATAATTTTACATAATATAGCATTGACAAACTTACTGATATTAAGAATTCCTTGGATAAAATCATTTCTTGGAATAAGTCCATCGTTATTTTGATCCATTTTTCTCAACAGATCAGTCAATCTTGATTTCTTGTGGTTCATGAATTTCAAAAACTTCTTGCGCCAATCTTCCCAGCTGAAGTTGGCCACACGGTCCTTTTCAATGACATACTGGAGTTGGTCGTACAATCGTCGCTGATGTTCCCAGGCTAGGAACCACACGTTGCGCCAAAGATCCCAAAGAAGACGAACTTTGGGATGTCTGAATTCGGGATCAGCTTCCCTGCTGCAAAAGTAAAAGTAATATCGAGCATTAAACTATGAGTTATTATTTATTTCGACGTTAAAGAATATGTTTAGAAAAAATACCTTTCTTTCGATGGGAAACTTGGTCCAATATGAGGTAACTGGGCCTCGTTGTTTGAGCGGCCATAATTACGCCTAAGTAAAATGAAAAAAAGAAAAACATTATATTTAATTTACGTTTTACTCTCTGAGGAAGTAATCAGAAAGTTATACGTACGACTGAATGACAGGCTTAGCCTTGATGTTCTTCTTGACATTCTTGATGGTAGGCCGAATGATTTTGGATTTGCATATGCGATCGACTTCGTCTTGTCTCTTGGCGGTTCTTTCCATAAATGCGCGATGTTCGGTGATCATCTCCTCAAGCACTTCTCTGTCCTCCGGCAATTCTTGACTGTTTACAGTCTTCAAGTTATTTTCCAAATCTCTGAGCCACGTCAGCAGCTCTTCCAGTGACTTATCGAGATCCTAAAAAGAAAAATTAAGCGTAATTAGTACATGATAGTTTGATTACTGATAAATAGTCGGTGAGAAGAAGAATGTAACGATCGTTTACCTGAAGCGTTTTCAGAAGATTTTCAAGTTTCTGTCTTCGTTCGTACGACAGAGCGGATATGTCGTCCCAGCGTGCCTGAATGACCGATATCCAGTGCTTGAGCCCGATCGCACCATCGTGATTGGCCTTGTTGAGCAGAACGTTCGCAAATCGCACGACCTCCTGCTTGTCCTTCTCCTTGTCCTGCAGCTCCTCGATGAAGTGGTTCTGATCGTCGAGTAGCGCCTCGCATTCCGCCTCGTCTTCCGGGAAATTGTGGAAGGTGTTGAGTCGACGTTCGGCTCCGCTCATCCAGTCCATCAGCGTCTGCATGGAGTTGTGCAGCTGCTCGGCGTCATTGAGCGCCTCCTCCAACAGAGCCGATCGGCGATCCGACAGGTCAGACACACGATCCCAGAGCGAGCGCAGATCCTCGAGTTGGTGGCGAATGGTGTAGGCGTCGTCAGGCGAGGCCTTTGACTGCAGCTCGGTACCGATTTTCACCACGGCGTCCATTTGCTGGGCGCGGGATTTGAGGTCGCTCTCGAAGTTGGCGAACTGCTCGAGCAGCACGTTGACGGTCTCGAGGTCACCGTGAACCAGAACGTTGGCCGACAGCTGTTTCTCGGTCCTCGTCAGCCAGTCGATCAGGGCCTGTGTCGCCTCCTTGAATTGTCCCGAATGCAAAAGCGATTCTTCCAGTTGTCGTTGGAAGTCGATGCTCTTGTTGTACACAGACAGCCAGGTGGATTTCAGCTCGTTCATCATGTCGCGAAGATGTGCCTCGTCGGTTCTGGCGGCTCGCTCTTTCAGTACCTTGCCGCACTTCATGGTGGCGTCGTAGTGCGTCTGCTTCTGATGCAGCTCCTTCTGGACCTCGCGCTGCTTCTGCAGGCGGGCCTTGATCTTGTCGGGATCGTTGCCGCCCAGTCCGTCGGAGCGCAGATGCTCGAGTTTCGCGTCGGTCTCGTTCAGCCAGCCCATGAGATTGTTCCAGGCGTCGTCGAACTCCTTCGCCTCCTTGTAGCCGTAATCGAGGGCGCGCGTGCGTTCGGCCGATTTCGACACGACCTTCTCCCATCTGTGTTGCACGCTAATCAGCAGATTCTTAATGAGGATGACGTCCTGCTTCTGCGAGAAGTACTTGAGGTGCGTGCCCTTCTTGTCGAGATTGAGCATGGTCTCGCGATGCACGCCCACGTCTTTCTGGAACTTTTTGTGATCCTCGATCTGGTCGAGGATATTTCGCATGATGCGCGAAACGGGCTTGAGATTGTTGAGGAAGCTCTCGGCATCGGTGAGCCAATCGACGAAGTTCTGCAGCGCGTCGTTAAAGTCTTTGGCTTCCTTCAAGGCGATCTCGAGCTTGATCTTTTTGTCGCTGGCACGACCAGTTATAGCGGTCCAGCGCTGCTTGAGAGTGCGCAGATTCTGATTGAGATGAGGCATGGTCTTCTCGTTGTACTTCAAGTACTCCTTGCCGCGCTGCATGATCGACTCGTACTTGGGCCTGTTGTCCTCGAGCTCGTTGTAAAGCACCATGAAGCGCTCCAACTGCTCGGTGGCGGTCTCGGGCAGGCCACCCGCGGGCTTCGACGACACGATGGCGCTGTCGATGTCCGCGAGCCAGGAGAGGAAGTCTTGGATCTCGGCGCTGAACGATTGTGCCTCGAGTAGGCCGTCTTCGAATTCGCGCTGTTTGTCGTGGGCGCTCTTGACGAGCTCGTTCCAGCGGGTGTTGAGGGCGGTGAGCTTGTCGGCGGTGCTCGATGCCTCCGCGGAGTTCTTGTCGTCCTCGATGATCTGGCGACCCGCGTCGTTGAGCGTGTCGACGCTGTTCTGATGGGCGTGTATGTCGTTGTTCAGCACCTTGAGCTTGGCCAGCTCGACCTCGATCATCTGCGAGTCGCCGCCCACGGGCCTGAGTTCGCCCAGTTTGCGCGACGTGTCGTCGATCCAGTGGAGCAGCTCGTCCAGCGCGTGCTGGAACTGACCGAGGCGCAGCAGGGCCTTCTCCAGCAGCTGCTGGCGATCGACCACGCCCTTAAGCAGGGCCTCCCATCGGCGATTCACGGCTCCCAGTGGCTCCTTGATGCTTTGAGCCTGCTCCGACGACGTTTTCTCGCTCAACTCGGCCGCTTGTCTGTTGAGCGCCTCGATCTTGATCATGTACGGATCGGTTTCGGCCTTGAAGGCCAGCAGTTCCTTGATCTGATTCTTGATGGCCTCGGTGTCGCTGCCCAGCGTGCTGAACGAGGCGAACTTCTTCTCGGCGCTGTCGAGGAAGGCGCGCAGATCGCCCAGTGTCTCGTGGAACTCCATGGCTTTCTCCATGGCGTCGATGAGGTTCTCCTCGCGTCGGGCGTACAGGGCCGTGATGTTGTCCCAGGCCTGGTCGAGATCCTCGATTTGCTTTCGTACCTCGGGCTTGTCAGGCTCGCCGCATAAGTTCATCAATTCTCGACCGGACTGTCGGACCTGTTCGACTCCGGGCGCGGTCTGGTCGATCTCCTGGCGAATCTCGTTCAAAGCCACCTGTTGTTCTTCGATGGCACCCGGTTGGGCGGCCGGTGCTATCTGGGCTGCCAGTGCGTCTTGTATATCGGTGAGCAGTCGCAGCACGTTGTTCAGGCCGGACCAGAAGTCCTCCGCGATCTCGAGGGCCGCCTGCAAATTCTTGGCGCGCTCGAGGGTGGTGTTCTGTAGACCGTCCCAGAGCTTGTTGACCTGTTCGACCTTGTTCTGGATGTCGCGTAGCGATGGATCTGAGCCCGAGCAGCGACGCGCCTTGTCCAATAGCTCGGTGGCGGCGCGCTGTACGGCCTCGAAGGCGTCCGAGCGGCCAGCGAGTTCCGCCGACAGGGCCATGTTCTCCTCGATCTGGTCGCGCAGCCGCGGTGGATGGGCGGACAGTGGCTCGGCCGATCTGATCTGATCGGCGGCGTTGCTGAGTGCGCGCAACATGCCCTCGAGTTTGTCGGCGAACACCGCGGACTCCTGCAGAGCCTGCTCGAGCTTGAGCTGGCGATTTCTCAGCTCGTCGCGCAGCGCGGCGTAACGTTCGCTGAGGCTCATGGCCGTCTCTTGAAGTCGGGCAGCGTCGTCTGGGGCGCAGAGGGCCATCAGCGCCTCGCAGGTCTTCTCCATTTTGTCGATGAGTGGACGGTGTTCGGCTATGCTTTGGAGCAACAGTTCGTTGCGGTCCTGTTGCAGAGCTATGGAATCGGTCTTGAGGGTCGGGCTGGGCAGCACGGCGACCTGTTGTTCGGTCTCAGTGAGCCAGGCGGCCAGGCCACTCTGACTGTCGCGGAAGTGCTCGGCCAGTGGTAGTGCCTGCTCCAGGGCGGACAGTCGGGCGTTCGAAAGACTAGACACATTGTCGGCGACCTCGCGCAGCTCCTCCAGGCGCTCGCGCAGATCCACGACGCCGGACTCCTCCTTGTGCAGCTTCTGCTCGCGCTGTATCTTCTTGGCGCGCGCGTTGAAGTCGCGCAGCAGATTGCGCTGGCTGTTGACGTTCTCGTTGAGGGCCCGATGCTCCTTGAGCTGGACGCGCACCACCTCGGGCTCGGTGCTGGGCGGCTCGGCGACCTCGAGCTGGCTCTCGGCCTCGCGGAACCACTCGAGCAGCTCGTACAGATCGGCGGCGAGCTCGAGCTGTTGCTGCTCGAGCTGCTGCATGGACTCCATGCGACGAGTGATCTGCTCGGCGAAGATCTCGAGGCGGCGCTGATCGCGCGACAGCAGTATCTCCAGCTGGCCGGCGATCTCGGAGCCGGCGACCTGGCGCAGATTGCCGATGAGGCCGGTCAGTTTGGCCAAGACACCGCGCTGCTCGGCGATGTCGCTGTCCATGCGCACGAACTCGTGCAGCTGGCAGTCTGGCTGGGTGGCTCGCGTCTCCGCGGCCTGTATCCACTCGATGAATTTGTTGTGCTTGTCGTCGAACTGGCTGGCCATCGGCAGGGTCTGCTTGACGCGATTCAGCAGCTCGGCGGAGTGCTTCTTGAGCTCGGTGTGGCGGCGTCGCAGCGCGTCCATCTTGTCGCGCAGCTGCATCGCCTCGTCGAGATTGATGTGTCTGGTAAGCTCGATGCCCGCCTCGTACGTCTTGTCGAGCTCGTTCTGACGTTTCGTGAGGTCCTCCGTAACGGCGTTCAGCTCCTCGAGCTGTACTCGCAACTTGTCCGGTTGGCTGACGAGATTGTGCTGATTGAGCTGCTTCTCGATGCCGTCCATCCAGTCGCGCAGCTCTTGGTAGCTGAGAACGAGCAATCGCAGGCCCGTCTTGCAGCGGTCGAGCATCTGCTTGAGCGACTCGGAGCGCTCGACGAGATTCGTGTAGCCCTCGGCGAGCGACTGCAGCGAGTCGGCCAGGGTGGCGGCCTCCTCCTCGCCGATCAGGGACATGAGGGTGCTGGCTACGTCCGTGAGGTCGCTGAAGCAAGACTTGTGCTCGAGCAGGTCCCGATGGACCGCGTCGTGCTCCTCGATCTTCTTCTCGATCATGATCTCGTCCGTGGGTATGAGCTCCATGTCGTTGATTTGTCCCTCGCAGCGCTCGAGCCACTTGGCCAGCGGCTCGAACTTCTCGCGGTACTGCGCGGCCACACTCAACGCGCGCTCTAGTTGGCTCATGCGATTGTCCGAGGTCTCGTTCAGATTCTCGAAGCGTCCCATGAGGTTCTGGAGACGCGAGTTGATGTTGTGCCGGTCGTTCAGGTCCGCGTTCAGAGCCATCTCCTCGCCCATGTCCTTGATCGACGCCATCGACTGCTGATGGTCTAGCAGCATCTTGGTCAAGAATTTCTGCTCTTGCAGTTGGGCCTTGATCACCTTGTAATCCGACGATATGGGTTTCTGGTTCATCACCATCTCCTCGGTGTCGATCAGCCACTTTTCCAAACTGTTCAAAGCCTCCTGGAATTTACCGGAATTCAATAATCCACTGTCGAGTTTTCTGTCACGCTCGTTCAACTTCTTCTTCAGGCTGTTCCAGTTGTCGTTCATCGTGTCCAGGCTCTTCTCGATCTTCGAGGTGCTGACGTCTCGGCCGGCGGTCTCGATCAGTTTCTGTCCGAGCAAGTTGCACTCGCCGATCACTTGATTGAGCGGCTCGACGTGCGCCATCTTGAAGTCGTGGAAGTCCGCCTGTTGCAGTCTTATTCTCTCGATCTCGGGCGCGATCGGCTCGATGTGGTCCATCTCCTTGCTGATCTCCTTGATCTTCTTCTCGTTGCTCGCGTGCAGAGTCGTGAACTGCTTGATCTTGTCGAGGGCGTCGCCTAGTTCGTCCAAGCGAGCTTTGCCCGATTCCTCGAGCTTGTCGAGCTGACTTTCGAGCGTTTGCACCTGATCGCGCACGGAGGTCGCGTCGATGGCGAAGCCCTGATCGATCAGGCTCTCCGAGTGCGAGTAAAGATCGTTGATGCCCTGCGAGAGTTCAGCGATCTTCTTCATCAGTCTTTCAGTTTGGTCCAGCTGATCGTTGACGGCGTTGATCTCGCGAGCCGGCGCCGACATGTTCAGGAACTCTTTCTCCAGTTTGTTCAGCTGCTGACGCTGACTGCAGAGATTCTCGGAGAACAGGTTGATGGTGGAGGCTGCGCAGCGCAGCTCGTCGCTACGGAAGTTGAGTTTCGCGTGCAAGTTGTTGACGCGATCGACGATGGCCTCCACCTCGAACTTGATGAATTTAGCGTCGACTCCGTTCTCGCAAATCTTGAAAATGAGACTCTTGCTCTCGTTTTGCAATTCCATGGTTGGCTTGACCAGCTTCTTCACGTCCTCGTTGAGATTGCTTATTTGCTCGAATAATTTTGGATCTTTCTCGGATCGTCCCAGCGAGTCGTGGAACGTCAGTTTATCCTCGTACTTGTTCACCTCGTACTCGAGGTCCTTGAGCTTCTTCATGAAACTTTCCAATTCTGTGGAAGACGATTCTAGGGTCGTGATATGGTCGGTGAGAGTCTCGTGAACCTTGTTCCAGCGAAGTTTGACTTCGTTGAGATCGACCTTGATGGCGTTCTGATCGATGTCGCAAAGATTCATGAAAGTCTCGCCAAAGGCACAAACATTATCCAACTCTACGCTCTTTCGCAGCATATCGTTTTTGAAGGCAGTCAGGTCGTTTTGTCGCTTGTGTATGTCCTTGTACTTGATCAGCACGGGCTTCAAATTTACCAATTTCTCCTCGGCCAGGCGTATCCAGGCGAGCAGCGACGTCTGCGCCTCGTGATACTTCTGGCTGTGCTCGATGGACGTGGTCAGTCGGGTGTGACGCTTCACGATGTCCTTCTTCAGGCGATCCCACAGCGACTGTATCTTGTCGAGGTCGCGATGCAGGCTCTGATTGTCGACGTTGTAGGGCTTGGCGACGATGCTCTTGCCCTTGTTCAGCAGCATGACGACCTCGTGCTCCTTGCTCATCACCTCCTTGTAGAGAGGCTCGTAGTAGTCGAAGGTCTGCTGAAGCGCCTTCTTGTCGGCGGATATCAGCAGCTTCTCGGACACGCTGCCGAGCTTCTCTGCGAGCCATCCCAGCGTCTTCGAGCAGTTCGTCTCGAAGTCCTTGGTGTCGCGCAGATTGCCCTCCACCTCGGCCTTCTTGTTGTCCAGCTTCTTCTGCAGCGACGCGTAGAACTTCTTGACGGACTGCAGCTTGCCTTGGATGTCGGTCTTGAAGAGCGGATCCGACACGACGTCGCACAGTCGCTGACCGGCCAGATCGACGTCCGCGAGCAGCGGACGCTCGCCCTCGAGCTGGCGCGCCAGATTCTCGATCTTTCTCAGCTCGTTCTCGGGATTCTGATCGACCGACAGATCGTCGAGGTTGTCGCTGATGGTCTGCAGCGCGTTGCGGAAACGGTTCAAGCTGTTGTCGAACTCGCGCGTGGTGTCGATCGCGTCGCCCAGCAGCAGGGCTCGCTCCTCCAGCGAGCTGAACAGCGAGCGCCACTTGTCCAGCAGTCCGTTGACGCCCTTCTTCAGCTCGCGGTAGTCCGCCGAGTCGGGCTCCAGTTCCGAGGCGATGTTATCGCTGAGCCTCGTCAAAAAGTCGAACTGGGGTTGTTGAGTGCGGAATTCTTCGCGCAGAACCTGTACCTGCTGCACCTGGCTGGCCACGATTCTGGGATCCGACGATATGGGACCCAGCACCTTTACCATGTTCTCTTTGGCCACGATCCAGGAGCTCAGATTGTCGTAGACGTCGTGGAACTCCTTGATGTTCTCGAAGAATTTGACTCTCGTCTTGGATTTGTCCATGAGGTACTCCCAGCGGCGAGCGATGTCGCTCATTCCAATATTGACGCTGTCGGTTATGAAAATATTGCTCTTGCTCTTCAGCAAGCCCTGAATCTGATCCGCTGTATTGTCCAAGAGCGACTGCTTCTCGAGCATCTCTTCCAGTATCGCTTTGTTCTGCTTGATGGCGTTGTTGGCCTCCTCCTTGCTCACCACGTGTATGCTCTTGGGGAAGTGTCGCTGGATCTTCTCCAGGAACGCCTCGAGCTGCTTCAAATTGTCCATGCACTTCTTCAGCTCGTCGCGCATGCTCTCAAGCTCGGTCTGCCTGTCCGACAGCCGAACGCCGAGTAGCTCGTAACGGTTGTTGATCTCCGAGAGCTGTTGCTGTATGTGCGACGACTCCAGGTGGAAACCATCCTGACTAGATCTGCGACTGCTGAAGCCGCTGCTAATACTGGAGCAGACTGGGCTCTGGACGCCCGAGCCCTTGGTAGGCGACGGCGAGCGATTGTCCTGCGAGACCCGACGCATGCCCAGACGCTTGCTGACGTTGGCCACGCTTCGGCGCTGCGAGTAATTGTCGGACTTGCCGTTGATCAGATTGTCAATGACCACACCGAGATCGTTGACCTTCTCGATGGTCACACCGTAATCGTTGTACTCCTTCAGTATTGGCTTGAGATCGTTCAACCGATGCTTGATCTCGTCGGAATTGATAGCCACCGGCATGAAGTACTGCATGGAATTCTCCGTGGCGTTGAGCCACTCATATATCTGATTGTAAAGCTTCTCGTAAGTGGCCAATTTGTCCTCTCTGAGCTTGTGGAGACGTTTCTTCTCGTCGATGGAGTCGCCCATGTCCTTCCACTGCGATTCCACGACCTTGATCTCGTCGCGGATTTTCGTGATATCGCACACGTCCTGCTTGGCTATGAGCTTCTTGGCGAAGCTGACGAGATTTTCTTGTTCGGGTTTACGGTCTTGATAGGATTTCTGCAATTGAACCAATTTCTCACCGTACTGAGCGGTGTTGAGCTTATTGAAGTCTAAGTAATCCAGCAGCTCGGTCATGTGCGAGAACCACCTGTTGAAGGCTATTATCATGTTGTTGTACTCGTCGACGTCTTGGAAAATTGCGTTCATGAACTCGGTGCGCTGAACCGACTTATCGTGCAACTTTTCGAATCGCCTCTTGATATCTTCGAGCTTGTTCTCGGTTCTTTTAGAAATTACGGCATTTTTCGAGCTTCTTATGAGGTCGTAAATGATATCGTTGACCGCCTCTATGCTCGCACGGTGATTATTCAAATCGGCAAGGAGCAAACGCTGTTCTCTCTGCTGCTCTTCGAGATGGCCTTTTTCGAGACTTACAGGCCGATTAAGGTTTTTGAATTGTATGTCGGCTCCGTTGAGCCAGAACATTAGGTTGGTTAAAGTCTCCTCGATACCCTGATTTTTCAGTAAAATCGTATCGAGCTCCTGGCACTTGTTGGAAATCGCCCGGTCGAGATCCTCGTACTTGTTCTCGATAGCGACGAAGGGCTTCTCGATCTGATCGTTGTCGACGTTGGGCTTCTGCTCGCTCAACAATTTCATCAATGCGTTGATGCTCACCTTGCAATTGTCGATGTACTGCTTGTTCGAGAGCAGTTCCTTGTGCAGAGCTTTCATGCTGCTCAGGCGATCCTCGACCTCGCTGGTTTCCGACGTGATTGGTCTCGTCAGTTCCTCGTTGACCCGCGCCTCGAATTCGTTCAGATAGGCGCTGGCCTTGCTCAGCGAGTCGCGGAACTCTTGATTCTTGCCATTGAGCCGGGAGAATTTCTCCGACAGCTCGTTCGAGAGGCAGAGCAGATCTTTGTAGCTCTCGGTGAGCAGCGAGACTTCGCGGCCGATCCACGACTCTTGACAGGCGTGCTCTTTGTAGGTCAAGCACTGAGGCAAGCCAGTCCTGAAGGTGTTGAGATTTTGCAGATAGTCGATGCTCTCGTCGGAGAACTTCTGGGCCACCATCGTGATGAAGCGCAGATCGGCTTGGTGAGAGATGACGTTGCTCACGAAATTACGTATTGTTTCCGAATTCTTCGATAGCGAATTCAGGTCATTCAGAAGGTTGGTATGTTTTTCTAATAAATTCTGTGTTGTCACCATCCATCTTCGGAACGAGTCAGTTTCATCCCTGTGGCGATGTAGAAAAAAATATGCAATTTACCACTGATTCCTCGAAATTATCCATAAAAGTGTATTTATGCAATGATATCGGCATAAAAACAGGAAGCCATACATAAATTGTAATCGACACGCGCGTTTTAATACCGGAAGAAGAGATTGCTTAACGACCCGAGTGAAACGATTTATTTAGCGTATAAGTCTTTTCGCGTGCTAACAGTACATTATTCAACAGGTATTGAAGGTCGCCTCTCTGTATCGGTGTTAATTTATTATTCGAGCCGAGGGTCGCGAGTTAAGAATAAAACAAAATAAGGTGGGTAATATCATAAACCGATGCGCGCGAGATTCGTGTTGAACGATGTAAAAATAGGCCTTAAAGTGTAAGTTTAACGTGGTAAGTGGTACTTACATGAAAGTAACATATTCGTCTTGAGAAGTTTTAAGGCTCTTCAATAGTTTGTCAATAATGCACATAACATCGTCGTAGCGACGTTTTAGCATGTGTCCGTCTTTTTCTAGATTTTCTATTTGCTCTCTGAACGTGTCGTTTTGATGGGCACACATGAGCTGGTTGATATCGTCAAGGCATTTCAAAATTACTTGTGCGTATGGAGTGATATCCTCTTTTGTACGCTGCAGAAAAAATATCGAAATGAAATCATGCAGTGCAATTCGAATTTGAATTTCATGAATGCGAAGATAACGAAATTTTTACCTTCAGATTATTCATTTGCTTTTTAATCGAGTCCAAGTCTTCCTGTATGGCGTCTTGGTTAGCAACAGAATTTTCAACTTCCTTCATCCACAACATTAATTCCTTTAATGAATCGTAAGCAAGCTCGTACTTTTCTTCCATCATTGCCTGCAAACATTTTAAAGTTTAAAAAATTTTTAACAACATTATACAGATGAATTGAAGGAAAGACAGAATTTCATTGAAACGTACCTTGACGGACTTTCCGTCGTGCATATCCAAGTGTGCCGTGGAAACTTCGCTCTTGTCCTTCGCTTTTTCGTAATAAACCTCATTGGCGAACGCCATCTTCGGTGGAGTCTGGCACATGTTCTCGGACGCACGCAACTGATCCACGAGCTTTCCGCAAATACCGGCCCACTCGGCGTTCAGCAGATTGATTTCCGAGTCCATCAGATCGATTTCCCCGGCGAAGTTGGGCTTCGCGGACTCGCACATGTGCCTCACGTTCTGGGCGTTCTCGTTCAGCTGATCCAGCGAGCTCTGCTGCTTGGTGATCTCGTGCTGCAGATCCAGGAGCTTCTCGAACACGTTCTGGCCCTTGTCGGCCATCTTCTCGTACGTGTCCAGAGTGGTCTGTATCTCGTAGATGGCAGATTTGTTCTCTCTGATACCCTTCTGTACGAGCTCGATCTGTTTCAGTCGGTCGATGTGCAAATTGCTCATGTCCCAGATGCCATCCCACTTGTTCATGATCTTGTCGACGGTGTTCTTCATCGTCGGTGTCTTGAGACTTATCGAGCGGAAAGTTTGCTGGACTTTCTCGATTTCTGGTGCCAGAGTGCGCAATCCTTTTTCGAAGTCCGCGTGCTTGTCAATCGATTTTTCGATATTGGGCAAATTCCACGACGACGCCTCGGACATCAGTCCGCGCAATTCTCTCTCGGCCTCGTTGAGCTGGTACTGCAGCTGCAGAGCCTGCGTATTGAACACGAGCTCGGTCTGGCGGGTGTCCTCCTCAGCCTTGACTCTCTTCCGGTACTCGTCCAGCAGACGATTGATGTCCGATATCTCGCGCTTCAATCGCCTCAGATGCGGGTCCAGCGGGTCACCCTCCTTCAGCAGTTTGTTGGCGTCCTCGTTCAGAGCTCGGCGGATGGCGTCGCGCTGCTCCTCGCCCATGTCGATGAACTGCTGCAGGCTCCAGTCCTTGACGACCTTGATCGTGGCGAAGATCATGCTCTGTCTCAGACGCAGCTGCTTGCGCTGCCACAGCGCGATGCTGTTCTCGTACTGATTGCGCAGCTTCTCGACGGCCATGAGGGCCTCGTCGTCGGGCGACTGCAGCGAGAAGCACACACCCGGCACCAGCGACTCCTGTCCGCTCGAGTTCTTCACCTTCCACTTGAGCCTGCCCGAGTTGTCGTAGAGCGTGCACTGCTCGTTCGGATTGATGAGTATGTTGACCTGATTGTACACGCAGATGCAGGTGACTCTGATGGGCCGATGAATGGGCTCGCTGCGCTGTCTCACGGGCACGATGCTCTCGGCGCGCTTCGTCAGGTTGTAAATGTGATCGCCGTAATCGTTGAGCTCCTTTCTCAGCGACTGCATGCCCTTGAGCAGCACCTCGCCGTCGTCGAGATCGAACTCGGTCTGCGAGTAAGAGCTCGTGAGCAGCTGATTCTTCTTCACTATCCACTGCTCGGCCTCCTGGACCTGCTGGAAGAACAGCTGTCGCTCGCGCGAGTACTTGAGGTGGACCTCGAGACAGAGCGTGAGCTGGAGCAGCCAAGCCCACTGGCTCTGCATGGCCGATATGTAGGCCTCGATGGTGCGCGAGGCCGGATGGCCCTGCAGCATGATGGCCTCGCCGCGGTCCTGCACCGCGGTGAACTGCGACTCGCGCTTCTCCAGATCGCTCATCAGCACCTCGTAGTACTTTTCAATGGCGTCGACGTCCAGGCTCTTGTCGCTCCAGTCGCGCGTTATCTCGGTCTCCTCCTTGTTGTTCAGCCAGACGAGCTCGTTCGTGGCGGCCTGGATGAAATCGTCGAGCAGCTCGAGATCGGCCATGCGCTTCTTCGACAGCGAGACGAGCTCCGCGTAGGTCTGCTGCAGATCGAGCAGGTGCTGATTGTACAGCGCCAGCTCGTTCTCGTGCAGGTTCTTCTTCTCGTGCTTGCAGTTCTCCACCTGCTTCTGGAAGTCGAGGATGGACTGGTGCTCCTTGGCGAAACGCTCGAGCTCGGCACGGACTCCCTGCTGGTCGGAGCCGAAGTCGGCCTCCTTGACCGACTGTATCTTATTTTTGCACCACTCGAGACAGTCGCGCAGCAGATGGAAGAACGGATTCGTGTCGACCAGTCTGGTCTCCGTGACCATGGTCCTGTGCTTCGTGACTATTCTCTCCTCCACGGGGAACGATACCTCGGAAAGGGGTTGTACCAGTCGATTGTGAAGAAGCGAGCGCACGGTTACCCATTGTTGATGAAGTTTTTGCACTCTATAATACGAAAAAACGGAGTCACAAATATGCGCTATAAAAAATAGTCAATGTAAAGTATACACACCTCTTGTGTAGCTCGGCCGCCTGATTGTACTTGCCGTCGGTGAGCGTGTGCACGTCCGTGAATATGTTCTGCACCTGTATCTCGGTGCTCCTGATGTCTTGCTCGAGCACGTCGACGAGGTGCTTGGCCTCCAAGGGATGCATCTGCCCCAAGCGATGACTGCTGTCCATGACCTTGCGCTCGAGCTCGGCCAGATGATCGCCGGCCGACTTGATCTCGCGATGCGCCCGCTCGGCGATGCGCTGCAGCTTCTCCAGCCTGTGTATCTCCTGATGGATGCCCTGGTCGCGCTCCTGATGCAGAGCCAGCAGTCGCTGCCAGCTCTTGTCCAGCACGTCGTAGTGGAGCTCGGGCTCGAGATCGATCTTGCCGATGATCTCGAAGTAGTGCTGCAGGTCTTGATGGATCTTGTGCATGCGCTGCTTGTCGCGGAAGCGCGCCGGCACCTCCTCGTTCTTGAATTTGGCGCTCTCCGTGGCCAGTTTGCGCATCTCGATGAGGGTCGGCGGATAATACAGGTCGCTCATCACGCTCGTCTTCTCGTGTATCCACATCTTCAGGTTGTCCGCGAGGCTGCAGTACTCGCTGAGCCGGCACTGGGCCTCGGCGTCGTACAGCGGATGTATGGGTGGCGGCTCGGGGAACACGTCGTACAGCGACGATATGTACGTGATGAGGGACTTCTCATCGGGCTCGGGTGTGTCGACATCCTCGGGATCGAGCAAGCGCGTGACGCCGTACTCGTGCTCGACGATGTTGAATATCTTGTCGAGTCTGTCGCGCGCCTTCCAGCTGCTGAGCGTGTGCCAGTCGAACAGATCGGGCCTGTTCCGGTGCACGAGGGCGCTGAGGGCCAAGCCGTCGCGCCACGACTTGGTGAAGTCCGTCACGTGCACGCCCGGATAGCGAGCCGTGGATTTGCGCGCCCATTGCATGAGGGCATCGCGGGCCGTTACGTTGGTCTCCTGGCCGAATATTATGTCCGATATCTGTGTCGAGCAGAAATTATAATTCGTGTTTAATATAATCGTGTGAAATGTCGAGTAACGTCGGCTAGCTCATTGATTATCATTATGTATAGGATATGGAACGAGGAGGAGACAAACAAGGTTTTAATGAATGATGTATTATAATATTTACATTTGCGAAAGCGGAGAAATCGCACGAAAGTTGATGAAAGAGCGCGTGATATTTCGGAGACATTAAAAAAAAATTAAAAAAACTCGTTTCAAATTATTTCCGTTTTAGCTTGAAAAAAAAAACTACTTTAGCTCCTCCGTAACGATGCGTAACATTTGAGTAGCGGCTGGTGGAAACAATGTGTACCGCCGCCGCAATGGAATAAGAATTAAGGAAATTACAAAAACAAAAACACAGCTGTGCCGCTTTTAAATTGTATAATATGCATAAATGTTCCTTCAACGAGTAATTATAGAAACTAAAACTATGTACACGGACGATTTTTTGCTTCGCACGTCTCAATCACTATATATATACACGTGGAAAATTTTACGTATAAATTAATTTTCATCGCGAATTATATTAAATAAATGTTGGGCAGGGAAATCCCTCGAGGGCCGATCTCGGCCGAACCGTGGCACGTTTGGAACTGACGTTTCTAAAAAGTGCTCTCCATGCGGAGCCGTCGTGGGGTTTAAAAATATGTAAAATAATGTTTTTCTTTGGAAAGCTGGCGTATATTCCAAAGCGCTCTGTACTGTGCACCTAGTACCTGACCCCTCAAGCTCGAGTCAAAACAAAACGCTTTTTTTCGCTTCTTCCGCAGAAAAGCCAATATTGTACAAAATTACGGATGTATTTTGTTTAAGACCGTAAGGGGCAGTAAACAGTACGTGTCGCAATGGCTCGTTGGAACTTTATATTTAGAATTATTAAACGAGAGAGTGGAGAATTTTTGCCAACTGGTTCTGCTACTGCTGCTGGTCAAAGTGGGCCCTTATCGGACTCTCCTACTCTGTCTTTCGTTATACATATACCAATATTCGTGGTGTTATACGCGCAGCAGCTGCAGTAGCAACAGCAGCACTCGAGTTGAAAAGCTCTTATCGCGTCGCGGTTTATTATATCAAACGGTTATATGTATTAGCAATGAAAATTATAAATACAGTCGAGCAGCAAAAAAAAAAAAAAAAATTGAGCGAGAGAAAAATTATCAAAATATATCTCTGCATGTATAAATAAGTTGGTGCAAGAGATTTCCGGTTGACGCACCAACCAACGCCGTGGTTGTCGTCACACGAGCAGCGTCGCATATGCATGCATTATATATCCTATTTTATTATTATATATGCCGCGCGTCGAGCAGTGTGTGTGGGTTTAAAATATTGTTTCTTCTATAAAATTGTGGGTTCGAGCCTTTTTTGCATTCGCGAGGTGCGAGCTTGTTGCTCATATTATATGTTTTATAATATGCGTGTGCCGTTTGGTTGCGCTCGGCAAAGAAGTCGCGCGCGCCACGCAGAAACCATTGCGAAGTAGTAAGTATTAGTTTTAACTCAAATTGATGGATTTTTTTTTCTTTTCCTTCTTCGTCGTCTTCTTCTTCTTCTTTGCCTCTCTTTTTTTCATTTCTGCGGACAAAAGGCATTGTGTCGCGTGCAGTACACTGCGTATGTGTGTCTATAAGTTCCCCCTTGAGCTTATGTAGCACACACACACACACACACACATTTCTCAATGACCTTGGAACTCTCTCGGTTTTCACATAGAAAGAGAGAACCTTTTATTCGAGCTCGCGCCAACGAGTCACGTCGCCGTCGTCGTCGTCGTCGTAGCTCTTACGGCATTTTACGACGTGATTAATTAACTTTTATACACGTCCGATCCTACCTAATGCAATTTTCCTATATACAAGCGGGTCGCGACGCTTTTTCTCTCTCTCTCTCTCTTACCTGATGCAGATTGTTGGTGGACGAGGCCTGCGAGCTAATGGGAGTAGCTCGCTGCTTGATACTCTGATACTCATTGTGATCGAGGATACGATGTTGCTGCTGCTGCTGCTGATGATTCTGTAGTTCATTGCGGCTACTGCTTCTCGACAGATTCTCTTGCGAGTACTGTCGCTGCTCGTGATAATATTTGATCGGTATGTGCTCCTCGTTGCCGCGGGTCAGCGTCGTGGTCTTCCGTATGATATGGGTCACGGTGCGCCGGGCGCCCGTCTTGTCGCGCCTCGACGTTTTGCACGACTCGACCGACGAGCCTGGATTGACGATATAATTTTTTGCACAAACACGGGTGTTAAAAAAAAATATATTTTTTGCGTGTGGTGTTTGGTTTTCGATCGAGAGATACGAACGCGTTATCGGTAAGAGATTTTTATGGCGGGATCGGCGGACGAATTTTGCAACGAAACTCTTATTACATTAGCGCGTTGGCAAATCATTAACTGAACTTTTTGTTTTACGCCGACCATTAATAGGAAATACACAAAAAAAAACTAAACAAAAAATAATAGAAAATTTCAAGGACGCTCGCGAAGATTCGCAAGTTTAAAAAATATATAACTTATATTAACTCGACCTTCGTCGAGCGGAGCCAGGCCTGCCTGCGCTTTGCCGAAACGAAGGTACAGAGTAAATATTAGTTGAATGCTGTGTCCACACACGAAAAAAAAACTTTTGTATCTTTGAAAAAAAAAATTTTTTCCCGCGAATTCGTTTAGGCGCAGCAATACACAAGAGAGCAAGACTGAAAGATTCGAGATTCTTGAAACGCGTCGAAGCCTAAAAGCTTACTTCCACTTGCACTTGAGATAAAAGTTTCTCCTCTTTCAAAAGTCGTAAAATAAGAGCACAAGCTCGTTAATTAATCACCGAGTTTTTTTTTTCTTTTTGCAAACTTTACAATTAAACACTATTGAGACTGCCTGCGTCTCGTTCCGTTGTCACGGCTGCACGTCATTTACCGAACGAAAGTCGAATTCTATGAAAAAATGCTTGAAAGATTCAAGTGTTAGACACACACGTTGAATGTTTAAATTCGGGCCATAAAAATCTCTCCGACAATGTGTATCTCTGTCAACGAATGAATAAATAAAGGATCATACCCAGCACTTCTGTCGATAATTTTCTCTTAACATTCAACGCCTGTATGTCCATTTTCACTTTTTTTGTATTTATTTACGCTCCCGTAAATACTCGTTCATTGCACGTCGCTTTGTTTTTTTTTTCAACTTCGCTGTGGTCCAGTTCCAAAAAATCTTCACTTCCAACACGACGAACGAACGAATTAAAAAAAAAGTCACAAAACACAGAAAAAGCGCGAACGTCTAAACCATCGATTTATTCGAACAAATTAACGCTCTCGACAAAGAGACGATAAAAGGCCTGAATGTAGGCAGGTAATAAAACTTCACTTGTGAAATCTATTCAATTACGAAGTGGAAAAAAGTCTGTCCGCGAAACAAAGTTCACTGGCTGTTGCAGTGAACTTGTCTCTTGCCTATAATAGCCGAGGTTCGACTGAATAATAAAAAAAAAAACCAAGAAATAATCGCAGGAGGCAGGATCGAATTTTTATAAAACTGCGGCCTGCTCGCCCGCTGCCGCGGAGTTAATGGTTCTTGGCCGTGTAGTGATTATAAGAGTGCGTGTCTCAAACCTAAGTGCACGCCCGTGCTCCCGTACCAGTGACTATTAATTTGTATATAGGAAACCTACATATTTAATGCCATTCGAAATGAATTCAGCGATTGCGTATATAGGATATATATGTACGTGAGTATGCGTGAGAGAGAGAGAGGAAAAAGGAGAGGAGAGAGAGAGACTCGTTTCCGAGTGTCAACCGTTGTTGAATGTATCGCCGCCGCGCAACGATAAAATCAATAAGCTCGTGTGTATAATATATAATATGTAATATGCGCAATAATATTATATTATATACCACACGTGTGTATGTGTGAATGTATGAAATTAAAAGAGAGATGGACGGGACCGGATGGAGGGAGGGAATTAAAAAAAAAAGATCGATAAAAATCGGGGCTCACCTGAAAATGCAATATAATGGTCCATATGAGGCCGAGTGAAAGTTTCGGATTGCCGTCAACGATGTCCTCCGCTTGGATATTGACGAATTTGATGTTTTTACAGTGCAAGAAACGCAGGGCTATCCTCACGTTGTCCAGCATGTGGAATCGCATGCTACCCGACGTCTCCCTCGGCTGCAGCGAGAAAAATCGGTTTTTTCATCATCGTTATTGTATTACATCGTTAAAACGCAATGTGTCATAATGGGGAAATAGCGCGTTTGCCGTTGGCATATTTTAATGTCGCATACAGTTAATAATAATTTACTGTCTTATAGATATTGCAAACGCGCGTAAGCACGCAGCACACGCACACACACAATGGAGCATTGATTTGCATTTGCATTTTGCATTTTGCAACGACTTCTCTCTGCAGTGTTACCGCATCGGAAGCAGCAGCGTCGTAAAAAAAGGAGAAAAATGCGAAAATCCAAAAGAGAAGAAAACGACAACAAGATTTTCTCCTTACGAGCTCGTATTTCAACGCTTTTCGATCGGGGGGTACTTCACGCGGTCCGCGATTTATTTTCGGTATCGTGACCAAAAAATAATAATGTGATTTTTCGCGCCCGCTCGTGTGTCAGTGTCTGTCTGTCTCTGTGTCGCGCTTAATAGGCGTCGCTCGATGAGAGAATTTTTTTTTCTCTTTAACGACGAATATAGAAGAAACAAAAAAAAATCACTCTCTCGATCGACAGCACGGCGCGAGACAGAACACACTCTATGATGCAATATATGCTAACCATTGTGTTGTGTGTGTGTGCGAGAGAAGAGTGCGTAAAGACCGGAAGAAGTAGCACGAGAAGCAAAATAACATTAAGATGCCAAGCCCACGCGTTCGTTTTTTTTGCAAAGCTGCTGCTGGTTTGCAAGATTACATACTTATTCAGAAAATGAATTAATTCCTTTTCGAAGCGACTTACCAAATGCTCACCGGAAAGTACTTCCAGCAATGAAATGAGATCATGTCCATCTCGAAGATCTTGAAATAAATCTCCAATATGTCTATTTGCCTGAGAAGAAGTAGATTTGCATAAATTATTCGCGAATTGTGTATAAACATTTATATAAAAGATTATAATTTTAATTCGTGCGTGGGCGTGTAGGTTCGCGAACGTTGTGTATATGGATTATAAAAATATTATTTTATCCTCAATTTTTTATAATGCGCTTTTATAAGGCATTACGCGTGTATTGTAAAAATGTTGTTATTCCGAAATCAAAAAAAAACACTCGAAAAATACGAATCAAAGTTGACCATATAGACCCGTTTCACAATGCGCGTCGCATACACGCGCACAGGCTCGTATAATATGGGCAAAAAAAAAGAAAAAACTCATTCGTTTGAATTGCGAAAACATCGTTATTGCAAAAAATGAGAAAAAAAATTTGAACGCAACTTTGCGCGCGCGAGCGCTCTCGAATATACTTTACCTTTTTCAGATGTTTATTAACCCATTTCGTGAAAGTCTTCTTTTGAATCGCATCTCGCTCGTCTGCAAAAGAAAAATATTATGACAAATTTCTGTAATCGATCTTCGGGGTAATGATTGAAAAAGCCTAAGTCTGTGTTTTATGTTTACTTAGTCGCGTAGGTATGTGTGGGCGTTAATGTAAACTATAATAACTGGAATCTCGCGCGCGTAAGCTTATCTCGTTCTTCCCGTCGAGGGTATAATAAAAAAAGGGAAGAATGGTGGGATTTGATAATTGATAGGTAAAAATTAAGTGATTGAATTTATCGACTTACCAGCGATTCGCAAAACAGCTCGATCCGCTGGGTCGAGCTGTAGGACGCTCAGAGGCTTATCCTTGGCCCACTCCTTCAAGCTTCCATCTAGCTCGAACTCCATTTTTCGACTATGTAAGACACTTTTTCATATTCTAACATTTATATCTGAAAAACAGAATTGAATATCGTTAACGTTAGCGATGAAGTAGATCGATATACTTTCAAAGTTTGAAAATCGTTATAAGAGTGCCGAAAAAGTGAAAAAAAAGAACGACAACACTCCACGGTACCAAGAAGAAGAATGCGTAAAACATTTTTAATGCCTTTTTAATCTACATATATACATTTTAGCCTCATAACTCGTATTGACAATGCGAGTCGTTGTGCAAAAAACGAGGTAACTGCGACGACAATGGTCCAACAAAATAAAAAAAATAAAAAAAGAAGAATCAGCTGTAATAGCTAAGGTACACGATGATGCGTCAGGCAGCGTGCGTCAAAAAACGTATGTGCTGATAATTTGTAAATACATTATTTTGTCAATCTTATCAAGAGTCAATTTGAGGAATATGCCGCGGAAAGCGATACAACGAATTTATTACACGCTCGTACATATTTTAAATTCCTTTTTTAGACTATATGTATTAATACGTACTTCAACGAGCCGAGGCTAATTAGCGATTTCGATGATTCAGTTCGATAATAAAAAGAGAATCGCGATGTAACGAGCCCAATCATCTCTCGAGTGCCGAAAAAGGAAGGAATTGAAGAAGCATCGCTCGATCGACTCTTGACGAGCAGTAATAATGATGAAAAAAATCGATCGAACGTTAGAATCGGAAAAAATTAAGACTAAAGTGGATCAGCTGCTAATTCACGGTGGCACAGACGGACTACGACTAGAGATGTGACGATGATCGCGAAATTTTTGGTCAACTTGTCATAGCTTGCGCGCCGCGACATAGCAACACGTACACGGAGTTATGCCGCATAGTAGCTTCTTCTTTTCAAAGGAGTGATGGACAAAAATAATAACTGTAAACTCAAATTACGCCTTATGTAAGTGAGCGAACGGAGAGCAAGTACAATTCTCGAGGTGTCTCGTCGGCGCGCTTCTTTACTTCTTAAAAAAAAAAAGAGGTGTCTCTTGGCGCAAGGAAAAATCAAGACCATTTTTTTGACGTTTTACGATTTTTCTGAGGTAAACCCTCCTCGCACGCGCGAATAGTTCTCTGCGGTCGTACGCATGTGCTCCTACGCTCGTAAAAAACGATCTCTGCGCCGTTTAATAAATTTTTCCTCCTTTGTTTTTCTGAATATAATATGCAACCCGAGCTTTAATATGCGTGACATAATACAAAACGCATCGGGCTCGCGTGTGTGGAAATCCATCGGAATCGCGGTAGTATTATACGGATACGGATGAACACAAAGAGAAAGTATACACATGTGTGTGTGTGTATCTGCTTCCTTTCGCAAAACTTATGGTGACGTCGGCACGTATGAAGGTGTTTTTCAAGGAGTGCCAAAATCTTGCGTTACACGCAGCATTGATTTCTTGGGGCGATAAAAAAAAAAAAAAAAGACAGAGAGAGAGGGAATTAAACGCCTCTCAATCAGTATTTGGAAATTGACGGATATGTGCCAGACGGTAATTGAGAGAAATGCGATCGATTCGAAATTTTGATTGACGCGGAATTTTGATTAATGATATTATTAAAAGTTAAATTAACTCAACGGGTATAGTCGGATATCGTACGATTTGCATTAGCTGAAATTTCATCCTTCAACTGTATGGGTATGTAATACGATGAATGAAGAATGGGTTCTTTACATACACCAGGAGAGAGATGATCTAAAAATTGAATGAAAGATGTGTAGTGTGATGTTTAGTGCAGCAATGACCTCTCTCGGGTGTTGCAATGAATATTACAGAAAAGAAGAACAATCACCATTAATATTAAACCAGAAACCACAGAAACTGTTACATATACAGCGTTACATATATACATGTATACCTTCATGTGCATTCAATTGATTGTGTAATCTAAAAGTTCATTCAGTAAAAATACATGTGATTTCATAAGTCAGGAAAATGTATTACAGTTGATGCTAAATGAAAAATGCAGTACACAAAAGTCACAAGATGTCAAAACATTTCTTTTTAGATCATCGAGTCATGTAAATGAAAAATAATGATAAGGTTTCAAATGCACTTTTTAGGTCACTTTATCAGACACCCAAATTCAGATTTTTTGTTTTGAATATGTATCACCTTGTGATAAAGATAGCCCGTAGATAGTATACAACTAAGAAAGACACAAGTCATATGGAACTTTTGATTGACATTACTTGTAAAACATTTTTGACATACTTTCTGTGTTAAAATTATTGAATAAATTAATATTATTACAAGAATCATATTTGTAAACATAAATACCCGACACTTTTTGTGGAGCTTAGCACTCTTAATTAATATCAATTTAGGCAATGAAGAATTTATGAATTTATGAGTAATTTTTCATCAAGAATGCAGAGCAAAAACTTAAAATAGTTCAGTACATTGAAAAAATCATTGGTGTACAAGACGACATTTCACATTAACTGGTTAGTTGTAATTTACATGTTCAACTGTTAGAAACAATCATAAATACAATGCCATAAACTGTTATAAGTATTTTTACTGAGTCATAGATGATTCTAATAAAATTTCAGTGAAAACAACCTGCATCTACATTACTGAACTATAGATGAATGTGTGCAGCACTACTTGATAATTTTTTCCTTTACTCTTGCTTCTATTTCATTTTAATGGATTATATTCTCATGACTATGGATGAAAATTAGTGACATAATAACTAAAAATGCAAAACAAGTATTAATTAAGATGTGTTTGCTTAAGTATTAAAATGGCTTAGAGACTAAAAAAAAAACACTTTTGAATAAATAAGAACTCAAGAGATTCAAAAAAATATTTTGTTATTCACACCTACAGTCCAAACGAATTTTTATTAACACACATTTAATATAGTACAAGTGTTAGTCATTGCAATATCCAATCACAAACAAGTCAACAACGTTAACTACAAGTGCAGGTATTATTATGAGCGATATCGTGTATTTTTTTTCTTGTTTTGTTTTTTTTTTTTATTTACTTACATATTATTATAGAACAACACAACACTATACAGAATCTGTATAACTATCGGATCGGTCGGAGAACACACGCACGGTATTTTGAACTTATTAAAAAAAACCTTACTTCGATACGAAATACTTATAAAATTGCAAAACGATTACAGTGTCAACAACAGTTCTCCGAAATTAACCTAAACTCATCGTGACTCCCAACCCCCGTCTCTCGGCTCAGTTTTATTTCCTCTTTTTCTCTCTTTCACGCTCAGTCTCGGCCTCTCTTCTTGCTCTCTCTCTTTCTCGATTATGCGATTAAAACAGCTGGAGCAGACACACTCCCGTGAATTCTCGGCACACTGTACACACGCAGGCTCTGAGTAGTGCAGAGCAGAGAGCACCGCGAGCACTGAGAGAGAGACAGGACACCCCGCTTATCAAGTTTTTTTACTATTGAAACATATTATATACATGTATATATGTATTCGCTAACACACTAACTGTCGGAGTAGAGGCTGCTGCTTGTATATCGCTGCTCGCGCCTCGCAGGGCAGGAGTAAGTTTACGAGTCGGTCTCTCTCTCCTGCGATCCTCTACGTCTATGCAATAGCTGCTGCAATGGATACCCACCCAGAGGCATGATTCGTGTGTGTGTGGTATCCTACACTAGCACCTTCTAGTACACTATCTCTACTACTGGTGTGCCGCTCTGCGCCGCTAGGCTCTGCTGCTGCTGCCTACTCACATTCCCCGGTCGTTCTCGGGCGGCCCGGTATGTGTGCGTGTGTATGCGTGTTAGAGGTTCGTTATTAGAGTATACACACAACACAACATACACAACACGCGAGTAGTACAGTACTTACGCTATCGAGAGAGAAGCGGCTTCTCTCTGACACTTTACGATATCGGTAATTGGATAGCTTGATCTCCATCTATATACGTATTGGTTACTTCGTGCACACACACGCGGCGTGTGTAGAAGACCGTATACAGAGCATTAGATATATTAAAGTAAAGAAGATGCGAAGAACTTCTGTGCTGTCCCATATATATCATCGACAAACGAGTTTTTGAATTTTTTTGTTTTTGTACTCACGCACTGCACCCACACGACGCGATTGCCGCTATATTGCACTTGCCGCATGACCGATTTTTCCGTTGACTGGTGGCACCTAGAACACGTGTGCGGCTGTATCGAGTTGCTTCGCCGGAGCGAGATCGATCGACGATCGGTAAGCAGATCGCCTCAACCGATTTTTGCGATTGATGTATCGTACGTCTTCCGATGATTAAATAATTACCTCCAACAGCGAAAGTTGAATTCCCGCCCGAACGTCCGGCTCGTATACTACTGGTAACCGATACGGCGGCGGTCGAGCATGATGCGAACAGCGTCTCATTGTATTCGCGGCTCAACGTGCGTGCGTTCCCCGTGTCTCTCGCGGCGTTACAGCGTATATAGTTTCGCGACACGACCGCCAGATGCTGTCTCGGAGTCTCCGTTTTGCAGCTTGCGCGTGTGTTCGTGTATGCGTGCGCTATGTTGTGTTGTGTGTTTGTGTTATTATTGTCATCGCACACAGGCCGCATACTTACGAGACATCCCTGTGCTGCGCGAGGCACTTAGCTCTCGCTCTCGCGGCGATCCAGCGCCGAGATAAAGTGCCAAGATCCGTGTTCATGTAATTCCTTTTTTTTGTTGTTGTTCGCAATCCTTCCGAATGAGTACATTATTTATTGAAAATTTTTAATGTTGAAATAATAAGTGATATATAAACGGATCTCATTCTCTCGTATGCGGGCGGCGATCTCAATGTGCTAAAGTTTTTTTTACCCAGAGGATACCGAAGAAACGCATCGTATTGTTTGAAAAACAAACACGATCACACCATTGTCAAAAAAAGGATACATGACGGCTGCATCGAGCGTGATCCTACCGCATAAAACGTGTGCGTTGCTGCTTCTTTCTAATTAACGAATTTGTTCATCAGGAGAGAGGCCATACGTCAAAGTGTGCCCGCGTGTGTGTGTGTGTGTGCAACAACAATCATGTCGTCTCACAAAACTGTCGGTCAGAGTTCACGCAAAAAAGTACAGGTGAGACTGCGATAATTTCTGCTTCTTCGTGTGCTGCATCGGAGGAAAAACCCCGACATATTTTTGTTTACGCGATGATATCGCGTACCGATAGTTATTTTCGTTTGCGGTATATAATATTTCACGCTTCGGCGTCTATTTATAATCAAAATATTATTCGTTTCGCTCGTCCCCCAAAATTGCAAGTGGTATCGATTATCTACTCGAGCTTGAGTAGAATTACAACTAATTATGCCGCTTCTCCAATCGATAACTCGATGACAGATGACTCGATGACCTTTTTCATTATTAATGAAGTATTCGACCATTTTTAGGTGTCTATGGTGATAAGAGATGAAAAAGAAAAAAGACACCGTGCTGGAGTTAATTCACTCCAATATGATCCCATTTTACACAGACTGTATTCGGCTGGAAGAGACAGTATAATAAGAATATGGAACTGTAAAAATATGAAGGATCCTTACATGGATTCGATGGAACACCACACAGATTGGGTCAACGACATAGTTTTATGCTGTGGTGGAAAAAATTGTAAATTAATATTTTATCACATTGACATTGATAAATGCATTCATTAGACAGTATCTCATGTATTTGTTTTTTTACAGTGATATCTGCGAGTTCTGATACCACAGTTAAAGTTTGGAATGCACACAAAGGTTTCTGTATGTCAACACTTAGAACTCATAAAGACTATGTAAAAGCCTTGGCATATGCTAAAGAAAAGGAGCAGGTGGCTAGTGCCGGCTTGGACAAAGCTATATTTTTATGGGATGTTAATACTCTGACGGCTCTGACAGCTAGCAACAATACAGTTACTAGTGAGTTTTATGGAACAACTTTTATACTTGAAAAAAAAAGATAAACAATTGGCCCTTTAAGATAATTGAAAAATATTGTACAATGGTGTAATTATTTCAAACCATTTTTTTAGCCTCCTCTTTAACTGGAAATAAAGATTCCATCTACAGTTTAGCCATGAATCCACCAGGGACTATGATAGTCAGTGGCAGTACAGAAAAGATATTACGACTTTGGGATCCACGAACTTGCACTAAACTTGTCAAATTACGTGGGCATCAAGACAATATCAAAGCCTTGGTTTTAAACAAAGATGCTAGTCAATGTTTATCCGCAAGTTCAGATGGAACGATAAAGCTTTGGTCAATTCCACAACAGCAATGTATTCAAACATACAGAGTTCATACTGAAGGAGTTTGGGCATTATTGGTGAAAATTTGCTTTGATTCTTTTTCTTATAAATATTTTGAAATGATATTGAAAAAACCAAATATGTTTTCAATCTAGGCTACTGATAATTTTAGTCATATCATATCTGGTGGCAGAGACAAAAGAGTTGTTATGACTGAGTTGAGAAATCCAGACAAATCTGTAGTTATCTGTGAAGAAAAAGCTCCTATTTTAAAAATGATCATGTCTCCAGACCAATCAAGCATTTGGGTTGCTACCAGTGATTCAACCATAAATAACTGGGTAAGTAGCAATGCAAAAAAATAAATTTCACTTCAAAAACAATTTAGATAATTTATATGTAAAGCAATAAATATTAACTATTTTATATTCATTTTAGAATATAAATCAAAAAGATTGGCAGTTCAATGATTATTGTGCAGACACTGGTAATTTGTTAGAAATGTCAACTTATAGAAACACAGAGCCTGCTCAAAAAATATTGGGAGGACCAGCCATTAGACATTGTTACGTTTTAAATGATAAAAGATTTGTTTTGACAAAAGATAGTAACAATAATGTTGCTGTTTATGACATTCTGAAAGCTTGTAAAGACTGTGATCTTGGTCAAGTTGACTTTGAACAAGAAATAAAAAAGCGTAATAAACTTGTTTATGTGCCGAACTGGTTTAACATTGATCTCAAAACAGGAGTAAGACCATTTTTAAGAATTAAGTTATTCAATTATATTTTATTAATAATTTTTTAAATACAACTTCTAGATGCTAACAATACATTTAGGCCAAGATGAAAATGACTGTTTATCCGCGTGGGTATCTGCGAAAGAAACTGGATTAATAGAAGATGATAGCGCGGATACAAAAGGTAGAGATGATGAATTTTTTTTTTAATTCCGTAGGAAATGATTAAATAAATAGTAATCAAAATGATTTATTTTATTTGCAGTTAACTATGGAAACCTACTTTTGCAAGCTCTTCTTGAACATTGGTGGAGACCAATGCACCCAGATGATGAAATGGATAATGATAGCAATAATGGAAATGGCCAAAAGTCTACCCGAGGTGGCAATCAGTACTTTTCTGTGCCTGGACACACCCCGGTGATTTTCAGGTTGGTGACAATTTTTTTATGACAGTTACAATTTAAAATAAAACTTTTCATAATTTGAATTTGAAATTGTTTTATAATTGACGTTGCTCGTACTCTTTTCAGTGAAGTAGGAGGCAGAACTCTGTATCGATTGCTAGTGCGTGACGCTTCAGGTGAAACGGAAGGTGTGCTTTTAAACGAAACTGTGCCATCGTGGGTTAGAGATATCGTCGTGGATAAAAATTTACCCAAGTTCATCAAAATTACATTCCACCTTCTTCAATACCCCACTCCAGGGGCCAAAAGTTTAAAAAAGTAATTTACCACGTTATAAAAATTGAACATTTTTTTTCAGTGTTAATGAGATTTTTACGAAATTATTTTTTTTAATAATGAAAAGAATATTGACTTTACTTTCTCGGCGTTTTTTGAATTATGAAACTCGATCTTCCAGAGATCGGCTAGTCGCCAACGACTTTATTCAAGTCCGAAAAGTTGCCGAGCACGTTTTCGATAAAGTGCTCGGTGGCGGGAGCGATTCTGGTTCCGTTGCTGGTGGAAATGCCGTTTCGGGAGGATCACCTGCCGGCGATCGTAATCGAACGAATTCAAACATGGATATTTCATCTCAAGCAGAGGACAAAATAGAATTACTCTGCAATGATCAAATTTTGGACCCATCGATGGATCTAAGAACGGTAAAAATATTGAATATTCATTTTATTCTAAGCTGAGCTTCGCCTTTACTTAATATTGTTTATTGTCATCAGGTCAGACATTTTATTTGGAAAAGTTCCGCTGATTTAACGTTACATTACAGGCGGTGCAGCGACAGGAATGCTTAATGAACAAAAAAAGTATTAAAAATGGACTTTGTTAGAGCTGGTGTATTGACCGATTCTAACCGATAATTCCATAAAATTTTCAATTGTGCTGTTATATCTTTATCTTTTTCGAATTACAATATAACTGATATTAATATTAATCATAGTTTATGGAAGAAACTGGCTGTAGAATTTTTATACTTTATGAGGTAATGAACAAAAAAAGCAAAGTCATTTAATAAAAGAAGTGTTTTAATTAATTGCACCAAACAGTTACTTGAAACGATCCAACTGTAAGTACAGGTTTAAAATATATTAAATTAAGAAAACTACGTTTATTAATAGAATATTTCTTAAAATCAACAATTTGTATTGAATTTTCGAAGTTCAGTTCCAAAATTCAAGAATTTACTGTACAATGTAAAGGATTTTGGACTTGTTGGCGATAGCACGATTTTGCCTTTTTCTACTTCGTAAGTTGGTTTAAAGCTCTTTTTATGTAGTTTTACCGGTTGGCTTTTTTCTGCGATCGAGGCAACCCTAAAAAAATAATATTTTTCAAAACGATTCTTCAATGATTCGAAAATTTTAATTAACTTTTAATACCTTTTGTAAGTGGCAAGGTTTTTGATTGGATATTTATACTCTAACCCATACACATTTTCAGTCTTTTGAAAAAATTGCTTGGAAATTATCTTTTTGCTCTCATCTCTCTTAACAACTGGAGTTAAACTTCTACGACTTATGCTGTCTTCGTCGTCGCTACTGGTGCCGCTGGAGCTGAAAATTAATTTTATCTTGGTATAATTCGACTACTTAAAAATTGTTAAATTTTTCACGAAGATTACCTAGCACTGGATTGAGTACTGCAGTGGCCACTGAGCGACGGATTTTTAGTTTGATTTTTGTAACCGGCCTCCTCTTTTCTTCGTCCCGGCCTGATACGTATACTAAAAGGACTGAAATCCGTCGTGAAATGAGGCATGAAATCTCTGACGGAATGACTGACTTGATATCCATATACTTCCGAGAGTAATGATAATTCCGATGGTCTAAAGGTAAACCAAACTTAATTTATGTTTCTTAAAACGAATATAAACGAGTAGGCATATTATTATTACCTATAAAAGTCATCGTAAACGTCGAACTGTGATTTTACATCATCTTCCGTTTGATCCGTACAATCATTGGGATTCTTATAGTTATCGCCGTCGCCCCACCAGTGGGATATAACTTTTTTATTATGTTTAAAAATACGCGTCTCAATGTGATGAATGTAGTAATCGGTCGGCACTTCCCAAATCGGACTTCTTCCTTCTTCCGGAACGAATAAACCTGGCACAAAATATGATCGATTATCAACTAGAAGAGAAATTCGTAAACAGACTCCGACCACTAGTTAATTCACGATGCATTACCCAAGAACAAATTAATCGCCTGTTGCTTCTCTTGATCGCTGAAGGTGTTGCTGTAGTATCTGCTCAGCGTCTGCATTATGTCGTTTCCCTGGCTAGTCCAGGGCGCCGTTTTCCTGTAGGTCTTGACTCGGTGAACGAGCTGGGAGCCGCCATACTGCAGGGCGAGAGTGTCACCGTGATCCTCGTAGAGCTCCTCCAGCATGCGAACGCAATCCGTGTCGAATTCGAGCTGAGGCGCTTCTAGAAGGCCCAGATGATGCAGCTGATGGCCGAGGGCGCACTTTCCCAGGGAGAACTGCGCCGTATTGGTTCGGTCCAGACAGTCGACGCAATTTGTGCGGATGATGCCGGTTTGCAGGGACTTGGTCGTGGCTTTTTCGCTGGATCGATCGTCGTTGGGCGTCCACGATCTGAACATTCCCGTTTTGGCGATCGCGTAGTTGGCTATGTCGGCCAAGCGACTGATGACGTTCGATTTTTTGCTGAAATATTTAAACTTATCAATTTTTGTTCCTCTCTTTGTACTCATATTTATATACCTCTTGTTCTTTCTAGCCATGTCAAAATTGATGTAGTGTATGGCGTCGTTGGAGGACAAGAACTGATTCAGATAGGCCACGGACGACTGCAGCTCCTCGCTCAGGAGGCTCTCGTGCTTCTTCTTCTCGCGCTTCTTCACGAGATTCAGTATGAAGATGGGCGCGCCGTAGCGCTCGAGGAGGTCGCGAAAGTGCGCGGCTGCGGTCTCCACGTACGGGTCCGAGAGATCGACGGCGATCGTCGGCTTGGGCACGATCTTGCTGATGTCCTGGCTCCAGTGGCAGGGCACGGAGCCACGTAGCTGGACGAAGCTACTGAGACACTCGCGACTGAGGGTGCTCGAGCTGCAGTCGTGCACGATCTGCTCGGTCTCGACCTCGTTGGCCACGTCTCCCTGTAGGCAAATAAATTATTCTATATGGTTTCCGATCGATGCGATTGCGTGATTGTTATTACATTGAAATTCGTTCCACGCTTGAGAAATCGAGTGCCGGCGTATTTGCTGCTCCTGCGCGCTATCAAAGTGATGTAAGTCGATCGGCCGTAGATGCTGATGTTGGACTGGCCCACGAAGCCGTGAATGAAGAACAGCAGCCAGCTCGGATGAATCGTGTCCTGGAATTTCTTCAGCAAATGAGAGTTCCAAATGAAGCGTCTGTGTGGCTTCTTCTCGAAGCCCTCGCTGCGATTCACGTTTATCTGCAGAGTCGACGTCAAGTCGTACGAGTAGCTGAAGTAAAAGTTGCTGCTCAGATCGATGCTCTGGAACATCTTCACGTATCTCTGCTCGTCCGGATGAAATATCCTGACGCTCTCGTTCGGTATGTAGATCATCGAGCTGTCCTCGACTTTGTAGATGGTGTGATGGCCGATTACGGCGACCCGACGTCGCTTCGTCACCACGACGATGTAGTAGCCTTCCAGAAATCGTACGAAGCCTGGCGTAAATAAAGTTGTACGTTATTAAACGTATTGAACGTCTAACTATTATACATATAGTTTCTTTTTGTTTTTTTACCAATTATTCCAAAGGCGGATACGATTTTCGTGATATTTGATACTCCGTGCTTTCTCGACGTATCGTTGCCTTCGGAGTCGATGGCTTTGACCATCTCTCGTACCTCCTGTTGCGTGTACTCCTTTTCATCGTTGATGATATTCAATTCCTTGGGCTCGGATCGTACAATTCGCAGTACTCTGAACGACGTTAACGTGACGTTTGATCCAATTAAATAAAAGCTCTGAAAATAAAAAATGATTTCATTTAAGTTAACTGCAGTATCTCAAAGAACTGACTAACTCTAATTTCTCTAATGTTTATAAGAGATATAAGAGATATGATTCAGAAAATCAAGCTTAGAAAGAATATCATCTCAACTGTAGAATTTATATCTCACCTCATAGTATTAGTAAGTTAATGTGGTTTATCTTTATATAACGACAATATACAAGTGATAAAAGTATTTTAGTGCATGATAAGATTGCAACTAATTAAAATGTTATTTTAGTATGAATAGCATCTACTATGTATCTTTCATGAACTTCACCAATAATGCTGGTATAATGCAGAATAAATTTTATTTGATGCAAGTATTGATAGGCTACAGTTATAAGAATACTTACATTTTTGGTTTCGTACAAAGCAATCTTTTGTATCGATGACAAATTACACTTTGACAGCAGCATCTTGATCAATTACAAAACTAGGTAATTAAATAAATACATGAACACTGTTTTTAAATTAACTTTATCATGATCACAAAATCTTAGCAATCATTCTGATGACAGAACTTCCTTAAATAATAAACAATAAAGCCACTTGAGGTAAACATTGTGAGTCGTCAGACGTCAAGTGGGAGCAGTAAGTGCAGTGTGTCCGTGTAGCAGCCGCTTGTTGTTTTGGGTGAAATTCGACGCTGGCGCCACGATGCGAGAGTCGGCTTCGTGTCACTCAGCTGTGCGAAAACAGGTTATGAGTTCTTGATAAACTTTAGCAGACATGCTGCCGACTATATAGGTGAATGGGTGTTTAGCCAGTATACAATGTCAGTGTCAATTAATTGTATTGAAATAAAAGTGTAGTTAATTGTTAACTTGTGTTTTAAACGAGAATTATCATCCAACATGGAAGTCCTAAGAACACTGAGGAGAAATTGGAAGAAATCAACATTTGGTTTTGCAGCACTGGTTTATGGCACAAATTATGCTGTTAAATCCTATGAGTAAGTGTACTTCAATTGTGCTATGATTCATTGCAATTGATCTCATTCTATGAATGATTTCAAGAAATTGCAAAATGCATGCGTTAGCTAAACTTTTCAAAAGTTGACAGATATGTAACGTAGAAGCAATATCATATTTTAATATTTTTGATTAAAAATTTAAACTAACGTCTTATGTATTGAGTTCAAGTGGTTTAAAAATTACTCATTAATATAATTTTAAGATTACTTTTCATCCATCTTGTTAAAAATCATCTAAACTGAATTTGTCCTACTAACTTCATTCATATTCGATTACATGTCATTTTCATTTTTCCAATTGTACATCTTAGAAGAATTGTAGCATATCATACTTGTAAATGTATATAATTACATAATTGAGTAAAAATTGAAATTATCTTTAACTCTTGACTCACTTTTTAAAATCATTATCAATGTGATGAAATATATTAGCTAATCAATTCAATTTTTGAAATTCTTCTGATAAAACACTCAAGTTCAAAAAACTGTTATAAATTAATTTATCTTTTCAATTGAACAATTTATATTTTATTAAAAAAATTAAATATCTGTCACTTTAATAAGTATTAAAATACTAAAAAAGCTATTCCTGATACAATGGGAAAAAAAGTCCTTCAATCATGCATCATAAATTCATGTAAAAATTACTTTTAGGATTTCAGAATTGATGAAAAAAAGCTGCTTGGAGGCCGCGTCCGTTGGCAATCAATTGCTCCGGGAAGACCAAAACCCGCAAAAAATCACAGTCATCGTCAATCCAGCCGCCAGCAATCGGTACATCAACATATATTTCACTTATCGTCAATTACTCAAAATAGAAAAACTAACGCTTCGTTCCGATTTGAATTATCAGAAAAGCAGTCAAGCTCTTCGAGAAGTACTGCGAGCCGCTGCTGCACTTGGCCGGCTTCACCGTGACCATAAGACAGACCCAGTCGGAGGTGCACGCGCGAAACATTTATGGCTCGCTGAACAAGGACCAGGACGCGCTGGTGGTGGCGGGCGGCGACGGCACCCTGGCCGACGTCATCACGGCCTTCATGCGCGAGAACAGACACACCAACGCCGAGGAGGGCTGCCCGATCGGCATCGTGCCGCTGGGCAAGCTCAATCGTTTCGCCGAGTCCTTCCTGTTCCGAGGTGCCGAGCAGCTGCGCGACAAGGCGAAGATCATCGAGGCCACGATGTTGATCATACGTGGAAAGACCAAGCTCGTCGACGTCATCGAGATCGATCTAGTCAATGTAAGATTTTTACGAAAACCTATTTTCTTGGAAAATATGATGGTAATAAATTTTTTAATTTTAGAAAAATTCGGAGCAACCCGAACAGTCCGTTTACGCGTTGGGAACCATCGAAATGGGCATTTGGAAAGACGTTTTCTCGAGGGCCGACAAGTACTGGTACTTCGGAGCTTTGAGAAGGTAAGCTGCTCGCCCCCACTTTACTGGCGTCGGCGTCAAGCAAAATCGATTAACACTAGCTTTGTCTTTTTTTTTTACTTCAGATATGCAACGTACTTATTTTCGTCGTACAAGAGCGACATAAAATGGCAACACGACGGTATTATTCGCTACTCCGATCCATGCAAAGGATGCAGCAAGTGCTACAAGGAAGATCAGATCCAGCAGCAAACGACGAACAAACGTTGGTATCATCGACTTTATTCAGTCTCGGATAATAAGCCCAGTAAGTATTTTTTTTTTCATCGCGGTTGTACGAACTTTGTTTCTTTTTTTTACTATCGATCAACTCTTGGTATCTTATTTCAGATGTGAATGCAGTCGATCTTAGCCGCGTCGAAAATGATAAATGCGGCATAATGCGAGAACATCCATACGAAACAACGGAATTAAGGATATCGACTCAAAATGTTTACGAGGCTACCGACATCAAAAAACCATCTCTAATTGTTGAATTGGGTTTGTAAATTCGCAAATAATACCTCAGATATCATTTCGGAACTTTACTTAGATATGATTGCTCCATTTATTGCAGGTCGCCAAAGTTTGAGCTACTCCGAATACCTAGCCGAAGGCTGGAGGAGATTGAGAAATGGTCCACCAGAATGGCACGAAGTCTTATTAGTTAGAAATATAGAATTGACCCCTTCCGGCGCAGATGACGAGGTGAGTCGATGATCATTTGTTAACGACTATTATATAAATACTTTAAACATGGCATTTTTTCATTAAATTACATTTTTGTTGTTTGTTACCTTAGAATCAAGCGAAAAGTGACATTTACATCGACGGCGAAAAGTTCGAGCTGAAACCGCTGAAGATGAAATTATTGAAAGAAAAGGTAAAAGTATTTTCTCAATAAAATCGTACAGGTTCGACTAATTGAAGGCATCAATCGCCGTGTTTGTACAATACTACATCAATGTAAATACATGTATAAAAGATTTGTTATCTTGATAAAAATATCAACTTGATTAATAATCGAGTGAAGTGATGTTTTCATTTCCCCCACTTATACACATCCAAAATGCAATTACTTTTTCTTCGTCACGCAACAATCATCAAACGAACCGCAAAAATTAACATCTCGGTCTCGTTGCACGCTAAATAACGTTTATTGAAACAAAAGGAAGGAAAAAAATATGCATACAGAAATTCAACTCGTTGATTACACATGCGCGCGCGCGCACTCGCGTATTAAAACGAGGCGAGGGACAAATCTCCGATCAATCGCTCTCGCGTACATACTATATAACTGAACGATCGTCAATTGAATTCACCCTCGTAACTCGATTACATTGCCTTTAACCGCGTATCGAGGCGGTTAACAACACACGTGCACACATGTATTTGTGCACGTTAAAAAGGTCGTGTGTAGTATATCGCTCGAATAAGAATTAAATCTCTGCTGCTGCTGCTGTTGCTGCTGCTGTTCTCTTATAACTGGTGGCTCTTGTGCGCGTTCGAGTGTATGTAAATAAGTATTAACGTCGATGTTTACACCGTCCCATCCATCAGTTTTACTCTTTTACTTCTTTTCTTTTTTTTTTTCATTCATATCCAACCCGCGAGCGCAGAATTATGAGAAGTCACGAGTCCCTAAAATGCTTCACAATGTGAGAGAGAGACCCCCGTAAAAAACATAATACAGAGATAAAAATCTTTTTTGTTCACGTCGAACACATTTTTCATAATCGTTTTCGTTGCATATTATAGATAACGGAATACGACGAAATTTAACGCGTGAAATATTAATTTTTGATCGATGCATCGAGCATCGTGAATTTGATAATTATACACCATCTATACACGTAAACGTTCGTTTAAATGTCTCACGAACGACCGAGAGAGAGATTTAAAGCGATAAGTGTTTATACCCACAAACTGCGTTTCTTTTTTAAAAGATCATACGCGTAGCTGTGTGTGTCTATGCTGGTGCTTGCGAGTGTGCAGAATGCCGAAAATCCACTTGTATCGCGTTGAGAGATACCCATCGCGCACTCGCTCCAGACTGTTATTATTGATCTACGTGACAAGATTCACTTTTCAGAATCAGAGCGAGTGAGATGCGAAGGAAGAAGAGAGAGAGAGCAGAGAAAAAAAAGGAAACACTTGTATTTATAATGTATTCGCCACGAAGAGCTGCTACTGCGCCCCGTCGCCGAGCTTTTGTTTTATTTTACGCGTGTGTGTGTATGTAAGATCGAATATAGTCGTCGTCGTCGCGCCCCGCGATGCTTATCGCGTGTGCCCGCGGGACACCTGTAGTGATCTCGGGGCATCGCGCGCGGCATTTACAACGCAAATATTGTGTTATGTTTCGTATATTTATATATTATTATAATGCGTGTTGAGCAGAGGCCCATCGTTCATCGTGTGTTTGCTCATTTTTTTCATTTATACCTGAAAAATCGATCGATTAATACGTTCTAACTTGTTTCTTCCAAGAGCGAACGTCAGCAGCAGTGGCAGTGAAACGGCGCTGTCTGACAATAAAAAAAAAGACACAACTTTGACGAGTTAGTTTCATTTTTTTTTTCCTTGGATAAAAGCGATTTTATTCAATAACGAGATTTTTTTTTAGACCGTCGCGTTTTCCAGGTCGATTCGTAGAAGAAGAGAAGCCGCGCTCTGCGCTACGTGTACTATAAAGTAGTGTACTTGCATGCGCGCATCAAACTTGATGAAAAGTCATCAATTACTCGTCTCGGATCGCTGTGACACGTTGCGATACACACGTAAAACGCTATTATGAGTGTAACACCGTTTCATAAATTGCGCAGCCTCTTCTACATTATACGATGTGTGTACATTGTATACGTAACGCGGCATGTAATTGTTAACGATTTTTCAGAGACGAAAAGAAGACCAAGAAAAAAAAATTATCAATTCATATTACAACGCAACGCGCGTGAGAAATATTATGATCCGCATACGGTATTATACCTTTCGTTTTGTTTCGTCAATATTTTCGGGGCCCAAAACTATTATACGTATAATATAATATAAAAACGGGGCCACATCTACTTGCTCGTGGTGACACACGCAATCCCGCACCATATATGCATAATAGAATCAAAGCTGCTGATGCTGCCCGTATCATCCGACGAATCCGCGCGTCATGATACCACGATGCGATCCAAAACAGTATAGGTATGTAGAGCATAATAGGATCTCTGAAAGGGTGTGGCAAAACGAGGGGTTGTCTCTCTTTTCTCTCTTTCTCTCTCTCTCTCTCACATGCGCGCGCGTTGGCGCATAACTAGTCGTACATATTTATACTACTATACTATAACAGACATTCCTGCACACACACGCACACGGGGCATTATATTGTATTATGTTTGTTTTGCGCTTACATAATCGTCGCTTAATGATACGAGACAGAGAGAGAGAGAGAGAGAGAGAGAAAAGAGACCAAAATATAACGCGGGCAAAAAGCCGCAAAACTTCTCGAGCGGCGCGCAGCTTACACACGAGTACATAATAGGTCGGCCGAGGCATAGAAAAGACATCTAAATAATAATAATAATGATAATAATGAAAACGATGATGATCGGTGCGGATTTCTGGATGCTCTTCGAGTTATGTATTCCGCATGCTTTCTATTGTAGCGTAATTTATTCTCTCTCTCTCTCTTTTGCAGATCGAGCGCGAGCAAGACAGATTCATCGTGACGCTCGCTCTCGGTCGCGCGCGCGCGGGCAGGCCTCTCTTTATTTAATTGTCAACGAGAAAAAGATTTATCCCCCTCCTCATAATGCTGCGTGTGTTATATGCTATATGCGGCATGCACACACAGCATTGACTTCTGTGGCGGCTGAGCTGGCTAGTTATATAGGCGTCTCTCTCTCTCTCTTTTCTTTCTCTCTCTTCTCTCTCTCTCTCTCTCTTTCTGCACGCTGTATTTGGTCAAAGTCCCGATTTTGACTCTAATACATTTTGATTTAACGCCTGTATTTGTGTGTATACTATACGCGTTGTAAAAGCTCCGCGGGCAAAAGCTAAGCGCGACGGCGGCGCGCGTTCTCCAATACTTATTGAAGCATGCCGTAGTGCGGTGTGCTGCCTGCCTATACATAACATCGCCACACCCTTGTAAAACGCACGTTTGTGTATGTATATATATTTGTGTATACGCTACCTTTTACAAGCGCATCCAACGGAAAAAAAGACCGAAAGAGAGAGAGAAAAAGAGCCGCTGCGTGTGATGTTGCTGCTGCTGCCGTGTGTTATTATTATATACATAGGTGTATACACACATGTGCGTAAATGTGCGAACAATCAAAACGAATGAAGACGTAAAGTTGTACCTTTTTTTTTGGGCTTTTTATTCTCGAATTCTCAAAAGTCGTTTGCCGCTTCTGGAATAGAGATGTACCTATACTACAAATGACAAACAGCAGCGGTGCGGTGCGGTGCGACAGTAAGAGAGCCAATAATATATGTAATGCGGCTGCAGGAATCGAGGAATATACGTCTCTATAATATTTTAAGGGTTGATCGAAATTTTTTCTTCTTAATTTTTTTTTTTTTGCTACCCGGTAAAGGGGATTATATCGATCGATTGCTAATTTTTTCGGAGTTTATTATATGAGAGAACACGAAACACCGGGGACTAGCGCGTGTTTATCGGGCGCATTGCCCGGTCTTAAGAGTATTTAGTGGTGCAGCTTATAGGTATACGACGTCTAGAATATCCTTGCGTGTGTGTGCGTGTGTGTGTATACACCTTAAAGAGATTATGCGCTCAAGTAAAAAAAAAAGGAGAGCGAGAGAGAGAAAAAAAGGATGATGAACAAAAACAGAAGGACGCGGTCATCCGATATTTAATACGTGCTCCGCGCGCTGCAGGGAGTAGTACATGCACAGTACATTCATACGTATATGACGTTGTGCGCGTATAATAATAAGCTCAACAGTCCAGTACTGCCTCGAACCTATATGTATATGTATATAATGCGTATTCGGAAATTCATGATTCATTCGGCACGCATTTTTACTTGATTATACAGCTGAGTGTGTATATATGCGAGCTGCTTTATGCTACAGGCAGGGCCCTCGATTAAATACCAAGTCCACGAGACTCGACGAGCGATAAAGAGACGACGAAGAAGTAAGCAAGTAAGTAAGCAAGTAAGTAGTAGTATATGTAACAATCATCGTTGGTGCGTATGCGCTGCACACAGTAGTGTACAAATGACGAATCCCCATCCGCGACAATTAAACCTTATGTAGTGCGTGGCGCGCGACGAAAATATTAGATCATCCGGATGATGATGATCGTCGCTGGCAATAAAACGAGAAGAGAAGAGTTGGGCTGCATATGTATACGATCGTCGCGGCGACGATGATTGCGTATACACATTTTTATTTGCATTCCTTAAATTCGCCCCCCGAAAAAAGAAAGAGAGAGAAAGGAAGAAGATGTAAAGTTCAAGCGGAGAAGGACGGAAAATATTAGGACAGGAAGCAGATTATGACCGAGTAGAGAGAGATCGGAGCAGAGCCCGAAACGGTGTAAACAGTGGGATTACACGATTATGTATGCCCTACGCGCGACGACGGGCTGCTGCAGCTTGTTGTAAGTATTATAAAAGGCAGTGGCCGCTGCCGCTGCTGACTGTTGGCTTTTCAATGTGCGCGATGACTGCCGTTGTGCCGCCACCGCCACCGCCGCCGCGCGCTAAAAGTCATGTTATATACATACACACGCGCGAGTACACATTCACACACGTATAAAGCGAAGGGCCAGCGCGCAAAAGAAGAGAAAACAGCAGCAGCAGCAGCAGCAGCAGCAGTTGAATCGAGCATCTGTAACATGTTCATTAAACTGTTACCACTCTATAGACCGCAAGGTTCAATGCGGATGATGGGAAATATTTGTTTGTTGTGTATAGCGCAGTACAGTAAAAGCCAACAGCAGCAGCCGTTGTTGTTGTTGCTCTGTATGTGTGTACATCTTTATATACATTGGCTCCTTTTTTTTTGCACACACACACACTCTTTTTCTCCGTATAATCTCTATTCATGCGTAGTGACTCGGTTTAAAAAGTGAAAAAAAAAAAATCATTTCGGCACATATACGTGTATGCGTGCGCGCAGTCGAATGCACACGTATGGGCCCCGTAATAAAGCATATATATACATACAAACACGTATAAGTATTATTGAGACATATATAAACGATTACACACGCATACACATACATATATAGACGCGTATATCGAGAGATTGGTTGCACGCCGAGCGTGTCTCACACTGGGCGACATGTGATATAGTACCTCCTCGTGCGTGTGTGTATATAAGGCCTACTACAACATTCGATTATATACACATATATAAATATAGCAGCGGTGCAACGTGCAAAGCCGAACGTCTCTGTCTCTCGGCCTGGGCTGGCCGTGTCATTGGCCAGTTGGCCTTATATGCATCGGCAACAGTAACGATTCGCGCATCCGACCATTGCCGGGGCCGCGAGTCGATCCAGGCCGCCCCAGCCGCCCAGCCCGACGATTGGCCCCGGCGCGCGGCGCGCGAGCGTCACATCGGCGCACACGGGGCCCACCCTCGAAGGGGCGGAGCTCGCCGCTACCGCCCAACGAGCGCGAGAACTGCTGTGCACGACGGCAGCAGCAGCATATATATGTCGAATACTGTACCGTATACTGTGTGCTGCTACTACGATGCGATAAAAGCTCGCACACGCGAGACCAGCCCAGTTTTCTGGATCGTCGCGCGCTGTGCGCTGTTTTGTTGCTGCTGCTGCTGCTCAGTGCCGACGATGCTCAGTTCTTCTCGTTCATTCATCATATAAACTCGACGCGCCGCTCGATGCCGAGCGCGAGAGAGAGAGGCCATAAATTCTTACGAGAGGAAAGTGCATGCAGTATATACTAAAAGAGTGTGATATAAAGTGTGCTCGAGAGGTAGTAGTAGTAGTAGCAGCGGATAATGATGAAAATAATTGATGTAAATGTGGCGTGCAATTGATAGTTCAAAAAAATGAGAGAGAGAAAAACGGAGTCGTTCACTGCGACAAAATGATTATGTGATTATGTGATATTTCGTGCGTATAAAACACCCCCCAAGTGTGAGTGTGCATGTGCGCGCGAGTGCATCCGTTATATCATCGCTACCAATTATATATTAATATATCGATCGATATAAACTTGCGCGTTTCGTAAATTATATACACGCGCGAAATATGCTCAACATGGCATTACCCAGCGGCGGTGATCAATTGACCGCACAACAGCAGCAACAGCAACAGCCAACCTCTGGCGGTGCGACGACGACTACGACGACACTGGTGCTTCAGCGCAGAAGCGGCTTCAAGAGCAACTTCAGCATACGCGACCTCGTCCCCGAGGCCTGCGCCAATACCAATGCCTCGACCGCCGATAACGCCGCCGCGGCTGTAACCGCCAGCGTCGACGATCACCACCACCACCATAACAACAACAACAGCATCAGCAACAGCAACAATAATCATAACGACGGTAATAACGGGGTCGATAGGTCGTTACACAATCATCATCATCATCATCATCGACGTCAACGACGTAGATCGCGCATGAGCGGCTGCTCGTCGTCGCCCGAGCTCGAGAGCCCTGACGACGACGGCGAGTCGTCGAGCCTGGATCTCGACATAACCGGCGGCTGCAATTCGCCGGTGGCCACACCGCCGCCGCTCGACTGCAGCTCCAAGGCCAACAAGATGATCGTCGTCGACGACGTGGACGTCGACGTGGACGTGGACGACGACGAGGACGAGGACGACGAGGACAGTCGCAACAATCACGATTTCGGCAAAGTCGCGAAGAAGAAGCAGCAGCTGATCGACGCTGGTGGAAGCTCCTCGATAACTGCGACAACGGCCACCTCGACGACCTCCACGTCCACGTCGACCTCGTCGTCGCCGTCGCAGCAGAAACCACCCTACAGCTACAACGCCCTCATCATGATGGCCATACGCCACAGTCCGGAGAAGCGGCTGACCCTCAACGGCATCTACGAGTTCATAATGCGCAACTTCCCGTACTACGAGAACAACAAGCAGGGCTGGCAGAACTCCATCAGGCACAATTTGAGCCTGAACAAGTGCTTCGTGAAGGTGCCGCGACACTACGACGATCCGGGCAAGGGCAATTACTGGATGCTGGATCCGAGCAGCGAGGACGTATTCATCGGCGGCACCACGGGCAAACTGAGGCGGCGCACCCCGGCCGCATCGAGATCGCGACTGGCCGCCTTCAAGCGCACGGCTCTGCTGGGAAATCTGTACGGCTCGCAGTATCATCATCCGCACCATCATCCGCATCATCCTCATCATCCGCATCATCATCCTCATCATCCGCACCATCCGCATCATCATCACGGAGCACCGGTACCGGCGACGGCCGCGGCTGCCGCGGCCGCGGTGGCGATGCATCAGGCCGCCGTGGCTGCGGCCGCTGCTGCTGCGGCGGCTACGGTGCCGGTGGTACCGGCCTGGCACAGCTTCAATCTGCAGTACCTTCAGCAGCAGCAATCGAGGCCCGGCGCTGCTGGTGGAAATTCGCCGTTCGCGTGTCCCACCACCGCGGCGAGTTCGCTACCGTTCAAGCCGCAAGCTCAGCTGGCACCACCACCGCCACCGACAGCTCCTTCGACGGCAGCAGCAGCAACCCCGACGAGTTCGGCTTTTTCCGTCGAGAGACTGTTGCAGAGTACCACGACGACGGGTACTACATTGAGTAATCATCGGCATCAAGCGTCGTTTCCACCCAGCGTCAATTCTTCGGCCTTCGCCGCCGAGGATTATTACGCGACGCTGAGGAATCTGGCCTTTCATCAGCAGCAGACCTTTATGCACCATCATCATCAGCAGCAACAACAACATCAAATGATTCAACAACAGCAGCGAAACAGTAGCAAACAGACGCCAACGCCAACGACGACGACGACGGCGTCGACGTCAAGAACCGAGAGCTGCAGCAGTCCTGAGTCACAGTCGCCCAAGTCGAGTCCGGCCGAGCAGCAGCATCAGCAACAGACACAAATTGACGACAAATCCTCGTCATTCCTCGTTAAACCTTTTGCCGCGCTGGCGACTCATCAGAGCTAACTACATATGTCGTGTGCCAGCAATTATCTCTCGTCGTCGTCGTCGTCGTCTTTCTCTCTCTTTCTCTCTTTCTCGTGCTGCGTCGCGGTGGTGCGAGTCAGCGGCAAAAAGTAAGAAAATAAAATGACAAAGACAATGAGACGTTGAGAGAGAGAAAGAGGAAGAGAGGAAGAGAGTTTGTTGTCTCAACTATACGATACATACACATACGCACTCGCAATAAACAATCGATAATCGTGCGTAATAATTTTCATCGTATCAAAAAATATTAACTCGTACGATTTACACACACTTCTTTCTCCGAAAAAATTATTGTAAATAACTATACATTTCGATTTTTATGTAAAAAAAACAGCGAACATCGTCGTATTATATGTAAATAAATGAATGAATAAATTATTTGCGCGTTCGCATCGACGTTTCAATAATAATAATAATATAATTATAATAATAAGATAAATAAACGATGTCGTATAACAGCAGCAGCGCCGCGAATCCTAAGCGTCTCAGCTTATACGTCAAGAACTAATTGTATAACGATCTGGCTGTAACAAGCTTTATATACGTGTATAAATAATAAGTGTAATTTTTTTTTTTTTTTGTATTGCGCTCGGAAAAAAGCAAAAAAAAATAAAAGAATTAATGATAAGACGAAGAGAACAATAATGAAAAATCTGTGAGCTATATCGTTATAATAATGTTGTACATAAATCTAGCGAAACTTGTAAATTGTATAATGTATAAGATTCAATTGAAATAATAGATTCTGTTATAAATTTATATATATTAATGCTGTCTCGATTCTCTCATTTTGGCTACGATCCTTTCCCATATGTGCGGTCTGCATGCGTATATGCTATACACAGTATGTGCGATGCAGTGATTCCATTTTGACGACGAAACGGTAATACGAGGGTTTATAATATACACATATATACGTCCGACTTCCTACTACATACATCGTGCTACACACTGTATTAAACGTTCCGGTTGCTCCATCCAAAAAAAAAAAGTAAACATGGCTACTGGTTTCGAAAGGTACACGGCACATGGGGGGAGTCTATCGCAATCGTTTATCCTGAATCGTTGTCGCCTCTGTCGAGGTGTTATTTTTGGGACAGGGTGGGTATATACCGAAATGTATTACTGAAAAATTGACGACAAATTTTTTTTTTACCAACGTAGAATATCAATTTAAAGTATTGGACGTAGCATGGGATTTTTTTGATTCACAATGAGAAAATATAATTTTAAGGGTGTACCATGATCGGAGAAAAAATAAAAATTATCTAATACGTTTTCCAAATTTCTAATTTTTTGAAAATAATATTCGTGGATTGCCACCTTTTGATATTTCCTTGTATATTAATTGAAAAGAAACATGAAGTTAAAATCTTGATGTACTTTGGTATCTTTATATGAATTTTCGTTACAGTATCAGTTTAAGAAATAATATTTCACAGCTTTCCAATCACGACTAACTCGACCCAATCAACGACAAAATTAACTACGACTTAAAAAAAAATTAAAGACCTACCAAAGCTACGGTAAAAAATGAAAATTTTCAAATTTGTTTTCTGAGATTTGTACTAGATATTTGTTTCAAAAGCTTAGTAAATATCTAGAACAACAAAATGAAAATATTCACGTAATACTCTGCAACCAAAGAAAGTCATCACGGTTTTGAAAGAATTGAAACTGAAGTTCAATTCACATTTTCTGAAACGCAAGTAGCAAATTTACCAATTTCAATTTTTCTTGTTCATGCAGAGGTTGATGGAAAAACAAAAATTGAGTCTTAAAAAATCAGCTGAAATCCAAGAAAATTTTGTTGAAAATTTTTTTTTTACTGTAGCTTCGGTAGCTCTTTAAATTTCGTTTCAACCCATAAATATAAAGATAAAGCCTAGCTGAATCGTTGGTTCATACAAACGCATTGGACATAATTATTATTTTTAATGAAATGAAGGTAAGCATTCACAAAGCCAGTATAATCAAAAATACGCATACACAAAATAATTAAACAATATAACAAATTATCCATTTTGTAATATGGAAGCAAACAAATTGTCGCGAACGATATACAATTATAATATCCATTCACATTTTTTACACGAGTGACTTGTTGGAATATTTCTATTACTCACGCTCCCGTACCGGTCAATAAATACCTAATTTAGTATCTGAAATAAACCGTCAATTGATATACAATTGAATTTACAGCTCGACAAGTAAAAATCCCTCCGACGAAAATAGATCTCTCTCACTCCTTTATATCAAAGTCGTGCACACTCATGCCTCGGTATCGTGCACAATAGCAAAAAGCTAAATTCCGTCGTATGCGCGCTCGCGATTTAATAAATTTAATAATCGTGCGGAAATTAAACATTTGAAAACACGACAAGTGCCTCGCGCGCGCTTGACTCGTAAGTCGTCGTATCATACATACGTTTAAATAATATAATAATTATGTCTTCACCGTCGTCGCAGCGCACACACACACGATTCCGTGAAAATTACGCGGCACACTTTAATAATAATATACACCGAATCGTTTGTCGCGCACGAGTCATTGCCGTTATACATCTCTATACAGAATAATAAAAACTTTTGGTCAGTGCGGATATATTATAATACATGACCAGCCCTTGATTCATCGCGTCTTCGGGTACAAATGTATACATACAGCTTGTGTTGTGTGTATGTATAGAGGGGAACAAAAAAAGAAGAAGAAAAAGAGGAAGAAGTAGAAGAAGAATAAGAAGATGAAGAAGACGTCGTTGTCGCGCGAGCGCCTCGGTCAAAGTCAAAATCACTCGACGAGAGAATATATATTTAATAATTGGGCCGAGTGGCTATTATACAAGGTATATGGGGCAAATTTCCTGAAGTGTCCTAGCGCTCTGCCGCACGGCATTTTTTGGCCGAATCACTCAATTTCTAACTCGCTGTAAAAGTATCAAAACGCCCCTCAAAAAAATAACTAACTAATGATTTCGATAGGAAATTTCCTCAGCTTTCCGATGGTGAGGTCCAATTTCCTGGAATTTTCCATTTTCACCCGGAAAATTGTCATTAAACATTCAGAGCTCAATATCTCGAAAAACGCCACTTTTTTTGCTTTTTTTATTGTTTCAATCGAAAGATGAGGTCTTTTTACATCGGATATGGTAGTTTTCAGAGTGTATTTTTGATGAAAACTAAGGAAAATACGGGAGGTTTTAGTTAGCGCTCGGCCGCTCGGCGTGATTTCCAGCCTTGCGCGGCTCGCTGTAACATGTAACTCGCTCTTATGAGATAGTGATTTGGCTGGAAAAATAAATAAACATATAGTTTCGATAGGAAATTTTCTCAGCTTTTTCATGGTGTAGTTGGATTTTCCAATAATTTACATTTTCATTAGAAAAAGTAGAAAATAAACCTTCAAGTCCATTTTTTCTGGTGAAAATGTAAATTATTGGAAAATCCAACTACACCATGAAAAAGCTGAGAAAATTTCCTATCGAAACTATATGTTTATTTATTTTTCCAGCCAAATCACTATCTCATAAGAGCGAGTTACATGTTACAGCGAGCCGCGCAAGGCTGGAAATCACGCCGAGCGGCCGAGCGCTAACTAAAACCTCCCGTATTTTCCTTAGTTTTCATCAAAAATACACTCTGAAAACTACCATATCCGATGTAAAAAGACCTCATCTTTCGATTGAAATGATAAAAAAAGCAAAAAAAGTGGCGTTTTTCAAGATATTGAGCTCTGAATGTTCAATGACAATTTTCCGGGTGAAAATGGAAAATTCCAGGAAATTGGACCTCACCATCGGAAAGCTGAAGAAATTTCCTATCGAAATCATTAGTTAGTTATTTTTTTGAGGGGCGTTTTGATACTTTTACAGCGAGTTAGAAATTGAGTGATTCGGCCAAAAAATGCCGTGCGGCAGAGCGCTAGGACACTTCAGGAAATTTGCCCCATATATAGTCCAATGGTAGCGTGTTTCATTGAACCCTCGTCAAAAAAAAAGTACATAAGTAAATTTTCTTCGATTGAACCTCTCAGCTTTTCGCGCTCGAGTGCAGCAGCACAGACGCATCATCGGCCTACGATGTTACGAACTTTACGCACTCCGCGTAATTCTGGCAATTATTATTGCGCGACACTATTGGCCGACCCTCGAGTGGTGGTGTTAAAAAAAAGATCGAGAAAAATTACACCTCGAGGTACGACAGCAGCGAGCCCTCAGCACAGTGGCAGCAGCAGCAGCAGCAGCAGCAGCAGCAGCACACCTTGGAATTGAAAGGGCATATGTTACTGCTAACTTACAAGAAAGTTTTTGTACGATGAATCAGAGACATGTACTACAACATGCGAACGCATCTCTTCTCTCGCTCTCTCTATGTGCGAAGTGTGTTACAATAACATATAATGCGATCAGTCGGTGTGCGTTGTATGTACGACTAGAGCCTCAATGCCCGCGCCGCGCACATACATATATACTCGAATTACGCCGTTTATGCTGTCGGATGGAAAATCTTATTAATCGAATAAAAACCCTCCAGTCAAATAGGCTACTATAACTCCTCTATGCGTACTCCGAGTCGGTCGCTGAGTAATCTTACGGACGAAATCTTGTAATGCAATTTCGTTTCATACGTTGGGAATTATATACAGTTTCTCGCGTCTTCTCACTGTGTGTGTGTGTGTGTGTGTGTGTGGGTACACTGTGCGTGCGACCGCTTCTTTTTTTATCAAATTAAACATAATAGAAATTGAGCACTTTGTCGCGTTACATGCGCGCGAGCGCGTCAACTTTTTTTCTCTCCTTCTCGTCTTCTTCTTCTTCTTTCTCCTTTTTTTTTGTCGCCCAAAGGCGCGAAGAGCCGAGAAAAGGAGAGAAAATATAAAAACCCTTGTCGAGATTATCAAGACCTTAAGCGCTACCGAAATACGTTCCTTTTTCTTCGACTTGCTATACCCATTGTGTCATACACCTGAAGAAAATTCTCGTTAATACCCGTAAGTAAGTGTCTAAAGGTTTTAACGCGCGGCCGTGAGAATTATGTACTTGCACGAAATTTTTCGAGAAATATGTGAAAAATATCGAGTTTTATATTAAGAGATGAATGGATAGGATTATTTCGTATATCGAGAAAATCGTCGAACGAATTCGTGAATCGAGGTGAAATTTTGCGCATCTCTCCAGGTGAGGGAGTAGCGTATGAGAGACACAACTTTTCTGCCTTCTCTCACTTCGGGCGCGTTTATAAAAGGCAGCTTTTTAATATACACATTGTGCGTATGCAGAGTATATATATGCGGCGCGCGGCGCATTGTACACATA